CCATCATCAGGATAACGCCAATAAGATTATTAGATGCTACCAAGCCCATCATCAGATTTTAACAAGCCTATCAGCAGATTAACAGCAATCATCAGATGACTAAATGATAATACACATATCGGTATCCAAGACCACCAAAAGGAACCCTGCCCCCTATGCTAACAAATTCATTAAGTTATTGAAGTTATCAAACCAATCAGATCTCAAAAGAAAACCAAAAATCCTCCCGATGCCAGCAAACCAATSAGATGACAAGAAATCCACTAAGAACCATCTATCAAATGTTAAAAACACTATCAAATACCAACAAACATTACACATGCCATGAAGTAAAAAAAGGCCTGAATACTTCCTTTCTTATAATTTCCCTGAAACGAAAAATATTTCCAAGGAAAATTTATTTTTTCACACCAAACAAGAAATTTATTCTTTTATCAAAGTTTAAAGCAAGAGTACCACTTCACAAAACTTTCAGAATTTAATAGATTTATTAATAGATTTATGCAAGTATGCATTTTAATAACTCGAAGAATTCTGTATGGATATAGGTATTTATAATTRAATTACAAYTTTTTTTCAGTACATAATTACAAGATAATTTAAACAATTATATATGTATTAATTTAATTAATTATTAAATGTATTCATGACCCTTCTGTAATTTTAGTGTTTGCTTCATTATCCTGAATGAATTTTAATCATTTGATGATGTTTGATTATAACCATTTTATATTTACTACTAATATTTTAAAAACAATACTATGTATATGGGAAACTTCAATATGTAAATATTATTTGGTGTAAATTCTTGTTTGCTAAAAATCCTGAATWAAGAAAAGTGTGATAATTTTAAAAATAAAAAAAGAAGTGAAGGACTTTACTGGCATCATACAGCAGGAAGGGAAGCATCTATCACACCACCAAGAGTCTGGATTAGTAGTTCGTATGAGGAAGTATTGCCTCCGAATTTAGAATACTTTTATTAGGAATAACATATAGTATTCCTTACCATTTATGTTCACAGGATATGGGGAAGGAGATTGCAAAATGTTAGTGCAAGATTTCTTTGGGTGAACAAGTCCAGTAGTATGTATTYCTACTGTAATTTTCAAGACATGTAGTTTGCAAGTCTAAGTTCTAAGAAGTATGGTCCATGTTTAAATCATGTGTGTCATATAATACAGAAACATATTTAGTACCTTTCTGTAAGTATATTAACAACTACAGTACAAAGTCTACAGTAGACAACCAACATTCTACCAATATTCTACAATAAGGATATAATATGGTAAGGAGTAATTTAGGAAAAATCTGTTAATTCTGGCCCCAAATCATAAATGTGCCCATAACGACTCATCTTACARTGATGATCAACACAAAATGAAATTATACCATAACCCATAAGAAAGATGACAAAAAAAGCAATGATAACAAGTACAATAAGCAGTGTATAGTTACTACCTGTTTGTATCTCATTCCGTAACAGCTGCTGCACGTCCGCCAGAGAACCATTATTTGSTGCTGGTTTAATACCCAGAATATGGCACATCAAGGGATAAATRTCTACATTTTTGAAAGGTTCTGATAAATATCCACTTTTGAAAGCTGGCCCATGAGCAATAAAAAAAGGATGCATTGATTCATACTTGTTACTATACCCATGGTTACCCTTGTCTTTGAACTTGACTTTCCTGGACAAAGCTACACTCCAGCCTTCTTCCCCAACTACTAGTATAGGCATAATACGTCTGTTGTTGGTATAATGATATTCCATAGGAATGGCTTCTTTTTTGTAAACTTTGATGTGAGAGACGTTTTTCAGACGGTTGTATATATTTTCTTTATAGCCATTTTTTGGTTTTATTAAAGTAAATGAATCCCATTCTTTTGCTGTTATAGGGACATACCATTCTGAAGGTACATAATCTTGTAAATATACTGTATTGTTTACAGATATTTCAGTCATTCCATGGTCACTGGTTATGATTATATTGATCTGGGAAAAGAAAAATTCACATGTCAAACAGACCATTCGGCATGTGAATTATAATAAAAGYTAGTAAAAAGATAAATCTTTGTGTATGATATATTCTTTATGCATTTGCAAATTGCAGATCATTGATCATGAGTTCCAAATGACGTACAGCTGTAAAAGGTTAAAGGAAGATAATATATAATTATGAAGGGGATACATTTAACAATTTTTGACACTGTTTTCTTTGGTCCTGGTCAATAAGTGTTTYGTTATACACCAAGTGCTGAAGGGGACACAACAATCATTTGATTTTTTKATTATTTGAATTTGAAAAACTAAGAGAAACTACATTTCCAGTGAAATCACTTCCAGTATTGATATTCCCAGGGAATGTAAATGTAATGTTGACTGCTCAAAATGGTTGCCAGTGAAATTTTATGCCCATCCAATCTTGGCTAATGAAAAGAGACAAAAAATTGACTTTGACACTTGTTATATAACAATATAACTTGCTATAAGTCTGCAATGAATATATTGTAATGACTTCAGTAACTTATGTTCTTGACTGGCAAATCATTGCAACYTCCTTTATAAAGCACAAGCAAACATGGTTATTTTGGTTTGAATGACAACTGTTAACTTTCTAAATGTTAATTGATATTAGTGCTGTGGGGAGTAGGGGTGGTGCTGGAGGAGGGAGGGGGTGTTTCAATGACTGGAGAGAAGGTCAAGTTCATCACTTTCTAAATGATAATTAATATAGGTGCTGGGAGGATGGAATGGTGCTGGAGGGGGGAGGGGGTGTTCCAAGTTCCATCCAAGTTCCATCATTCTTGAGGAAGGTGTGAGATGTCTTGACTACCATATCAAATTTATTCACAAGTCATAAGGAATGGCAATTAGTTTATCCAAATACAGTCAACCTTCAAAGCTCTTACCTTGTCAAAAAGTCCTTTTGCTTTAAGATGGTTTATTAAATACCCAGTGACATTATCTGCAGTACGAATAGCTTTAACAACCTCTTTTGATTCTGGTCCATATGTATGACCTGAATGATCTGGTTCTTCAAAGTATAATGTTAATAATGTCGGTGGAWTTTTTTTGGTAAGCAAATCGACGACTTTATCTACTCTGTCTCTATAGGRCAAATTATGGTCGTATTTCAGATAATATGTCGGATATTGGCCTCTTATTTCAACGTTCGAACCAGGCCAGAATACAGTTCCACTTGTGCCTCCTGAGTTTTGGTTCGTGATCCAAACTGGTTCACCACCATTCCACCACCTTGGTTCAGTGTTGTTCAAATAAAACCAGGATTTGAATTCAGGGTCATACATAGTGTTAGCTACAATGCCATGGCTTTCTTCATAAAGACCCGTCACTATTGTAAAATGATTAGGGAAGGTCTTTGTAACGAAGGCATTTTTAACGTACTTAGCTTTGACACCAGTTTTAACGATGGAATCAAAGTTAGGAGTTTCAGTTTTATCCATGTAGTCCCAGCGAAATCCATCGAAAGAAATGAGTAAAACCGTAGATTTTGAGTTAATCTTGGCACCAAGTGAATTACATAATAGTAATATGAGCAAAGTTAATATTATAATTGATTTTATGGCTTGTTTCATGGCGAACTGGTATGTTTGGTTTAGGATTGTCTATAACTTTCCGCCATGACAGTCAAGTGGAACAATATTGACTAAGGACACAGGTAGCCCAATGACAATCAAAGTTAGCTCGTTCCAAATTCCTCTCGGCTTCAAACGAAGATGCGCGCAGGTCTATTTCCCGCCAAAAAGCTTTAGTATTATTACATGAAAAGAGAATCAACATTTTGGCGTGTACGTTCTTTCTCGTCAAAATGTAGAGAAATAAGAATTTTTATTATATGTATGAATATATAATAAATATATATATAGACTTGATTGCAAAAAGGTTGTAGTATACATTTATGCACTATCTAATGAGATGCAAGATATCAAATGAGATGCAAAATTTAAAAAGTAACACATTTGGTCTTCTTTATCTTCTATTGTATCAGAGACACAAGTATTGCGCAAAGTATAGTTAAAAAAGTATTTTCCACAAAATGTAGTGGCTAAGCAATCGTATTTTTAAAAGCATGCTTTGCGTTCTGCATCTCATTTGATATATGTATAAATGTATATTACGACCTTTTTGCAACCAAGTGTATATATATTATGAGTATAAAGAAATTTAGTTTTCTCTAAAATGTCAAAGCAATCAAGTTAGCCTGTAGAGTGTTTCAACCGGCCTGGTGGCTCTCGCTTCCTCGAACTTCCGATCATCAGGCACGGACACATWCCTAGGTGCCCTCAATATATATAGATTGCCCTTGCGATGGGCTCTAGATTCATCGATCCATGTTAAGCCTTCTTTATGTCGGTAACCCAGCACTCTTCTTTGCAATTGGCGAATGATCATAAGCCACACATTCAGTTCACTGGACAAGACTGARCATTCAATCGAGGCTGCAAGTCATTATCAAAAGATCATTACTGTTAGTAATTAATAGCCTAGGGCCTTCAACKCGATCGGGTGAATAAAAATGGTGCGGGAAGGCCTAGCTGGTTATATAGCATATCACTGAATAAGCTTGCCCCAGTGACCATGTGCACTTATTCTGTTAAGGTGACATATTCGGCGGTCTTCCTTATATACATATGGCTGCTTCATTTCAACTGAGACTGGTACCAACGGTGGTGGATCCAGGGGTGGTTCCATGAAACCCACTTGTAGAACCCTATGACGCTGATCATGTTCAAAAGAATGAAATTGGTCGACCCCCATTGTGTGAAGCTGCTTGCACCACTTTTTCTGCGTTGCGGCCATTTTGGAACCACCGCAATGGGCAAACCAAACCCTCGACTGACTCTCTGAAGTTAATGTYTGTAAATTAAGATTGACTGTGAACACTGGTGCCACGTATTACAACGGCAGTGTCTTACGATGCAGAGCGCCCTCGGGAATCAAATTCCTTTGATATTCTTTTATTCCGATCGTTGCTAAGATCTTTTGATTTAATAACTGTTATTAGAGGGAAAGATTCGACATCCCACAGCACATTCGATCAGGTCGTTTTTAATATTTCCCTTTTTTTAAATATCGTCCATCTATGACGGCCCYTGACGACCGGATGTATTAATATTCCTGATTACAGCATGTGTTTAGGTTTTATATTATTGGTAGTCTTGCTCTTTTATTAGTAGTTTTGCTCTTAATGGCATTCCTTCAACGCAAAAATATARAAAACAAGAAAATGCCATGGTACATACTCCCCGAATTCTCTTTGCTTAACTTATCATTGATCCATGACTATTCAAACGTCTTGCTGATAGACGATCTTGGAAAGGTCGTAACATTTTTTCACTGCAAGTYGTATAGTGCAAGCTAAAAAGACTGAATTCGACAGCTMAATACTGAGCCTTTAATCTACTTCCTGGGCGTCTCTTTACCGTTTCAKTAATCCACCAGTCAACTCATCATTRTCTAATACTTCATACAATATGCTAACACTCGACCATGAATAACATTGAAATGAGATTTGACATGACAAGGTGAAKATGTAATGAAAATTACTGTACACTGCTATATTAAGAAGTTGAGTGCTGGGACTGATACACCAACAGATAAACAAAAAGGATAAAACTAAAGTGACCCGCAGAAAATTACGAGACGCACTTGTAGACAATGAGTCAGGTGTTGCTATATCGCCTTTATATGTTAAGATTTAATTTATTTCTGGAATACAAAATGTGGTTAAAGGACTTGTATTCAGTCATGGTGTACTTGATTTTAACGTTTTGGTCATTCCTCCCCTATCAATGTCAAGGTTCCAGGCTACATACTTTGGCCAGTGCCGTTAGTCGTATACTACGCCGTCCACTGACCCTACGCAAGTTTCGACGGACGTCACCAACATTCTCAACAAATCACCATCTCACAAAAGATAAAGGCTTTCATCGGCAGAAAATGAAACAATAATATTTTAGCCGCTGGGGGATTCTAATTATAATATCATTTTAAAGTTGAAGCCTCAACAATACAGGCTCTTTATAACTTATGCACAAATACGAAATGTAAAATTATATCATGCGTTTTTACATCACAGTCTTTACCCACAAGWACATGGATTTCAAGTCCGCTATTCGCCTAAACAGCGAGCTTGCGGCTTGTTACGAGTCTCTGCGCACAGGCTTTCCGGAGTTGCAGACGCGTTGCATCATGGGGCTTGTTTTAGAGGACGCTTTCCCGCTTGCTGATAGTAAAAAATAATAAGACATCTTAATATAGCCTTGTTTGTTCTTTAATGCATAAAAGGTTATAACTGACTGATGTGATGAAGAGTCCCTCAAAACAGCCAAATATATAATGCATGAAACGCATTTCTATAACATACACGTAGAGACTAGATAAACTAGTTAACCGCGTCGTTGTTTGGAATCGAATAGTAGGAGAATTGATTTAACTTAATACACCGTATGGTTTGTGATGTTTAGAAACTGACGTTTCGGACGTTAGTCCTTCGTCGGAGTAAATATACACGTAAGAGGAATCTTTGTACGCCGTRCTCGTGTATATCATTTATATGCAATTATTAATAGAATATTACATGCAGGTCAAATATTTTGATACTTTCAAGTTTATTCAAATGATGATTTTATTATGATTATTTTGCACACGAGGCCTTCAGARCTGAGCTTTGCATGGCTTACTTGGTCTAAAGTGACAGGTATAACACTGTATGCAAACACTATACCAAATGGAAGAAGGTATCAATTCCCAGAATTCCATGTATTCTATGGCTTCAGTAATATAGGTTAAATATAACTTCAACTCTTCATAATTATTTATTATTAACACTTTATGTTAGCTGAATGCGCTTTTCTAATTTTACCTGGTGCATTTTCCTCCCTCTGCAAAACCGACTTTGATCTAAGAGTCTGTTTCAGGGTATCGATCAAATTTGGCAAGAATGTCGTGGCGGTAAAACGTCCTCATTTCAGCATGCCGCTGCCGGTGAGTCCTACAGGTCGGGCGTGTTGTGCGATACCCGCCGACATGTGAATAGGGTTTGTTTGATGTTTTGTTGTTTGTTTTTTTTTTGTCCCTTGATAAGAGGGTTTTTCCGAGTACTTCGGTACTTTCCTCCCTCCCGACGCCGAAAATGAAGAAATTAACGAGTGAGTTGAAATTCAATAACAAAGAATATTGAATGTAGTGTTGTGTGTCCAGTGCGTAAGTCAACTTGGGCCAAGTTGGAATTTTAGCCTATATTAACAATAAACTTGCTCGCCCATCATGAAAAGTACATAAATTAATACATTAAATTATTTTGCTATATATTAACTTCTTATGTGTAATTAATAATAAGTGTTCATATAATACTTTGTCAAGTTTTTTTCCATTTCACTGGCATGTTATGAGACCGTCGTTCTCCCCATTTAATGATAATAATAATTTTCCTATTCAAGGGAAATTCAAAAATTATGAAATTTTGTGACGAAAACCTAAATCAACAAAGGCTAAGTTTAATAAWAGTGGGTGGACATGTCAGTGGAATAGGAGTAAGCAGAGATCAAACAAAAGAGACAAGAATGGCTGTAATGAGGAGGCAAAAGACCTCATAGACATCATCCTTATTTCCTTCTGCTGCACCTGACAAGTACGATAATTCCATTTTTCACCAGCACAGTATTGTTTGCTTTACGCACCAGGATGATAATCGCCTTTGTTGAAGAGCAACAAGTTCTTGACACCCATAGCCGACCTGTGCTACTACTTGAAACTCATTGATGAAATATCGGCTTAGTGAATTGGAATGCTATCAAGTCTGACAAAAGAAATACAAGACCAATCATGGATTCCACTTGTCATCGTAGCAAATGACAGCCAGCTAGGACAGTTTTCTAGACTGATCGTCGTCCAGGTTTCGAAATAGCACAAATGCTTCCCCAATCTCATGGCATGYTCTAAAGGATTTCTCATTTTAGCGTTGCTTTTCTATTCGAAGCTGGAAAAAGCCAATTTTATGGTTGACAGGAGATAAAATGATGACCGACAGACGGGTTGTCAGGAACGGCTGACATTGCGCATGCGTATACTCGTGAATCCTAAAGCTGTATGCACTTCATTGACAGTAATAATAATGTACAAATTAAGCACGCTGTGTTGACGGATGGAGCTCTTTTGGAATTATCCAAAGCCATCAGCAAACACGGCCAGGTGGGATATTAGCGTGTCCAGAGATCGATCACTGTCGTGACTCGGGCATAAAATTATTTATTTGTAATCATAAATTTCTGTAATTTCATTTTTGTCTTGATCGGTCTTTCACCATACATATCTAGTTTGTCTGATGTAGACCCGATCCTCTTTGGTTTCGCAAAACACTGTTCATCTGCCCATTCAAGTCTTACACATTGTTTCGCTAGGTCTTCACTATATAGGATGCATCAAGCGCAAACCTCACATTGATAAGTAACAGAGGGACGTTTAAGAAGCTGGCTAACGCAAGGCAAAGCCCTCAAGGCCTACAAGCAACAGATTTCGAATAAGATAAGAGGAAGCAGGAGATTGGAGATCCTTTACTATTCCATCTGCACCAAGTGACCTGAAAGTTTGACGGAGATGAATGCGCTAGTGGTTGGCTTCTTAATTCTTGGACTACAGATTACCGGGTGTTTCGCTCTATGGGGGTAAGTAAAAGCGTTTTTCACTAATCACACGATTTTTACTACTCAATGTACAAGTACTTTCAATTGGGATTACCACTTGGCGGATTAATGTACGTAAACCGATTATTCTCATTTGGGTTTTTAATACAGAAACTTACAGATGTCATTTCGACCCAATCCGAAGGCCAATCTCAATACTATTTGCAAAAGAACTCAGTCTGTTCTGCAGGGTAATTCAGATTTTTGCACGTCTAAGCCGGAGCTCGTAAAAACAGTGATGAAGGGCATCGCAATAGCTGTAAACGAGTGCCAAATCAAGTTTGCCTCTCGAAAATGGAACTGTTCGACAGTCAAGAGATCGATTAGAAGAATACTCCAACATGGTTAGTAACGCTAAGATCAGTACTATACTGTCATGAGTGTAAGCGCCTATTGTTATTCTATGTTAAGTACCTCTGTTCATTAATCAGTTTATTTGTTCTGTTTGTATTTCTAGATTATCGTGAAACTGCTTTTGTATTTGCCATCGCCTCGGCGGGAATTACGTATTCTGTGAGCAAGGCCTGCTCGGAAGGTGACCTCGAAGGTTGTTACTGCCGCGGAAAGCAAGTCGTCGGTAACTCTAACAGTTTGATCACAGAAAACGCCGTGCTTGAAAGACGCTCTTTAGATCAACGAGAATTCGAGCGCAAGGGATGTCAAGCGAGCTTTGTCGAATTTGGATACCAAATTGCCAAACAGTTCATGGACCAAGGAAATAACAAAGATGCCAAGGCTTTGGTCACGAGGCACAACAACGAGGCCGGAAGATTGGTAAGCCACAGTTTAACAAATCCTATTTAAGAGTTAATGTAGTTATTTATTTGAGTACGTGAAAGTACAAAGTTTACGATGGAGTATCCAAATCATGATTCATAAGTACATATCACTTTATCGTTCATCTAAGACATTGTCAGCTTAAATGCCCTCTTAATACTAGCTAGCTTGCACCTAAGTGTTCAGTTAAGATCAAGGCCATCCCGACTAAACGCTTTAACACATGTGCCAAAGAAAACATCATCTGAATAACTCAAAACTCGAAAGTCTATTTTGCCACTTGAAAGCATCTCGAATAAATAATCCGTGATTGTTTAAGGAAATTCATTTGTTGTTGTTTTGGAAGGCCTTACTTCAGTTCGTCAAAAACAATACAACTTCATAAGGAGCTGCATCTAGAACTGATGAAAAATGGATCAATTTAATGGACTCGACTTCAGCCAAGTAATTTGTACAAATTCCCTATTCTTTGCGTATTCTTTTGTTTTTAATGTCTGGCTCTAATCCGCAGTGGTTTGCGAACCGCGAAGAAGATTTAGTGCGAAAAGCTACCACCTTTCATCAACAAAACAAACTTATGATTTGACCGTTTTCTCGTGTTTCTTCAAACGATAGTTTTGGAGGCTGAGTGATCCCACGCCACGCACCTTTTCCTGTCGCGTACACTCTTAGGTTAATTCATTCAAGCCGTTTGATCGTATTTGAATAGGTATTGTGGTATCATATACCCGTGTTTACCAGGAGAAGAAATGAACAGGATAGCTTTAATTTGTAATAGCCGAGGCGTGACTTACCACCTGAAACAGCCATGAAAGTAAAAAAAAAAAACTCGAAACAATACTTCCACCACGATTCTCGCTACGAAAACCATCGAACAGAGTGTATAACAACTGACTTAAAAGCTTATTATTTCACATCCACTCCATAAAACATTAGGCTCAACACTTTACACAATTAAGACGTGGAATGTGCTTTGCAAGTGTTAATTCAATGACATTTGACAGTCTGACAGATCTACAATGATCCTCACGAAACATTCATCCAGGGGACATTTTAATGATAAGCAGATTGTTACAAGTTTTATGATTTGTTCCTAATGTTCAACCCGGCAAAGTCCAAATTAGTCTTGAATTGCACATCCAACACGCACATTGTATTGTATGTATTTTAAGCTCTTGTCTTTAGTCATTTTCGGGGTGTATTATTCTTAACATTATCCCCGTCATGCAGTTGATGTTTTTGCAGGGAAAAAATGAACACATAATTTTGGTTGACGCCGCGGTTATTCCAGGGCTGCTCAATTATAGCATAAAATAAATCACAAAGTCTTCTTTTCCTAAGAAGATGTCACTCCGTACCTATTTTCGTGCAGCTTGAAGCCAAAATGTCTACCTTAGAAAAGGCGTAAGATAAGCTGGTCCAAATGCGCCATTAGAGGCATTTACCGAGTAATTGCTGGCATTTACTGAACTTTACAAACAAAAGTTTCCTGACGATTTGCGTTGGCGGACAAATCTGCTTTCCAAAAGAACTAAACCCAACGTTTAGAATAACATAACAAGAGAAAAAAATCAAAGAGATATGTCTGATTTTAGATTCCATTCTTTCCCTTTTCCAAGGAATTTTTAAGTAGTCTGTAGTCCCAATCCATTCCAATCCATTTGATGCTGGGAGAGCGAACAGGGGAGATACCCTCAATAGGAAAGTGTTATTTTTTGCTCTGTATCATACAGATCGACGAGTGACACGCATTGAAGGTCAAGCTCATTAGGAACCGAAATCAACCAGCAGTTCTAGGTCATTTTACTAAGACTGTTTACTTTTGAAACCTTTTTTAGGCTGTCAAAAATCATATGCATAAAAGATGTCGCTGCCATGGGCTCTCCCAAGTCTGTACTCATAAAACGTGCTGGAATGAGCTAGCTTCCTTCTACTCAACAAGTGATAGAATCAAGACTCACTTTGATGGTGCAATCAAAGTGTATGCAGACAACAAGGGAGAAAGCTTAATGGCCGAGGAACCTACTGTCAAGCCACCGACTTCTGAGGACCTTATCTACACGACCAAGTCTCCAAATTTTTGTGTAAGAGAAAAAGAGACGGGAACTCTAGGGACAAAGGGAAGAACCTGCAATGTCACTAGCTTGGGAACCGGAGGCTGTGATTTACTTTGCTGCGATAGAGGATACGAGAGTAAGAATGTAGTGGAATATGTGAATTGTGAGTGCACATTTCACTGGTGCTGTGAAGTACGATGCAAAACCTGCCGTAAAGAGAGAACAGTCCACACCTGCTTATAATCGCAGCGAAAGTTTCAGTGAACAACCACGGCCCTGAACTAATAGAAGTCTGTTCGACTATTTATAAAAGCTGGTTTTCATCAGACCCCAAATGACAAAAATACACAGCCAGACGATGTAGTAAATTTCAAATATTTTGAAAACTTTCTTTTTACTAATAGAGTAATCAACTGGTCGCGTTGATTAGCTACAGGGTCAATAGACGCTCGTACGAACAGTATGAACCCCGGAGCGAATTTCGTGCGGTAAAATAAGAATAAGCCATGTCAGTATGCAAAGCATGTATTTTGAGGCGAGCATAATTCTGCTCTTGAAAAAAATGGGAATACGTAAATGAAATTGTACATTCATGCCCTGCTAATCACGTTATAGCAGAATAAATGATTTTATTCAATTCAGTCCTAAAAGTAACCACTCAGGAGAGACATGGGCAGCACCTTTGAAAAAAGAAAGCGAGATTAAGAAAATCCCACTTGATAGTAATATCTTTCAAGTGGTGGCAGTGATCTTGGATCTTTAAACAGCTAGGTATCTCCTCGCCGCGTTTATATTAAACACAGCGGCTCAAACAGCAGGTACCTCACAGTGCGACCACAGCGATGCAATAGCTTTACTCAGCCATATCCGTTAATATCAGCTATTCTAAAGGCCACATGGGGATAGACCGTTTATTAAACCATTAGGTTAAGTAAGTGTGAATATCGAGTAGAACTACTTTCCCATTGCTGTATCCAAGCAGAAACTCACAAAGCTGTAGATTAGACTTGAATGGAAGAGGCCACCCAGTTCAATGAGYAGTGAGTGGTCAGGAAACGTATGAAGTGTTGGGTTTAGAGCCGCTTGTGTGTTATGATAACAATTAAGTGGCAACTGATAGTTCAGTATATCGCGCTCGTGCATGGCGGGAAGTCCGTTTTTAATATCGCGCCTACAAAGACCTTTTTCAGGCTCCCTATATCTTCTGAACAAAGAAAGCTATTTGAATGCTGAGTTGCCGTTTTTGTCTTTGGGGACTTCAAAGCGAGAAATTTAATTAAATAAGCTAAGCAATGATTAAATTTTAATTTAAGACGTGCCTGTCGGGACGATATTCAATGGAATGAACTTGGCTCAGAAGGCAACTTGATTTTGCGAGATGCCAGAAGCTTCAGCCAATAATCTCAAGGATAATTATCGAGCATTGTACATAGACAAGCAAATAAAAAACACGTGTGTGTAATAACCGTTTTCATTCAATTACTTCAGGTATGTGTTACACAATAAGCATGAATATGGGACACGAGTTCAAGGGGTAATGAAATCCCTGTCAGATCGAGTCCAGATTTTCGAAGGCTGGCTAGGGCAAGAGGTATTTTTAAGAATATATTTGGAAAGAAGGAAATTTGTCGGCGACACACTAATTACCTAAATTAACTCTTGAGTACCTTAACAGACCAGAGGCCAACACTAAATAACCATCTTTTAAAAAACAATTACTCAAAATAGCTGAGCTTTTTGGTTGGAAACCTAATATTTGACCCGGAAATGGTACGTCCTTGAGAGCATGAAACAATAATATCCATCTGTAAAAATAAATAGACCAATTAAAAATGTTGATGTTTGGAGTTCACCAGTACTGATTAATACTCACACAAATAGTAATATAATGTGTCTTAATGTCCTTATATGGAACTATATTCTTGAATTTTATGAATGAGCTGCATGTTATTGGATAGGGTAGCTGGATCCCTTTTCGAARAATCGTTTTTATTGTTTTCCTTTCTTAAGCGAAAAAAATAAAAAATACAACCCCGTGTTTCACCATAAATGATAGGTTTTAGTTTAGTATATCCCGGAAGATTTGCGAAGGGTAAATCACTGAAATACTCATCATGCACTTAAGTATTTTCTCACGCTTTGATTTTAATTTAAGATTTTGTTATTGGATATTTTATCGTCAAAATCAAAACTACTCATAGCTTATCTCCCACTTTAATTATAACTGGCTAGCTCGAGCTAACATAAAAAGTTGATCTCACGCAAGGTTTTAGTGTCTGCTACGAGAAACAATTGATTTCTCAACTCGAGTTACAAAATCTAATTGATGTTATCAGTATGGCAACTTGTGGGTGGTTAAACTATAGTGAATGCTGTGCTCTTTATGAAGGAAATGTGGAAGTAATTCCCTGATTTTTATCAAGAAATAACGATAAACTAGAAGCTGCACGCCTTTGAAACGCCTTCTCACACATTTGTGTTGGTCTGCCGCTATGACATTATTGCCACAATAATTAAACCGTTTGATTTGCCCAAATGGTTGCTAATGGCTTTATTGCCGCGTAGATGTTAAATTGACGCAAAACGTTTTAGGGAGATTAGTGGTAGGCAGAAAAGTCTAGGAAAAGGAGATTTCCGGAAAAGAGCAGTTTTAAGATGTAGGTTCAAACGGAGAAATGATACATGCGCTCGCCCGTCTCCGCTGCAATGTGATTTTGGTCTGAGAGRCAACACAGAATATAGAGATATACTGGCTCTTAGATTTGTCGAACCTCACTACTAAATGAAACTTTATATGTAAGTACACCGTTGCACATAGGTATGGTGTGCAGCAATAAATGTATTTTTCTGGGATCAAATGGGCCGATTGCTCGGTAGACTGCTTAGTGTCAGTTGAACCGAAAGAAAATAATTCAGTAGGAGTGATCCGACAGGATCTGAAAATATAGGTTTTACTTCCCCAGGAAACAAGTTCCAGTTTCTAGACTGAAATATGTATTTTATTTCGTTAATCAAACTTCCTGGAGACAAGTGTGTACAGGTACGGCCTTTTTTTAAGGAAAGGAATTCAGCCGAGCCGACACAAGTGTCAAGGTGGGCGAAACGAGCGAAAGTAGAACAAGGTTGGATCGGAATTCTGACGAATGATTTGCAACATTTAAAGTGCTTTCTCGGAGATGCACTTGAAAAGGGTTGTCATAAATGCACACTAACTGCATTCTCAAGTTCATGTCGTGTGCTTCTTCATGGCCGAGTTTGTCGGAMGACAACATCAGTGTTCTATGAGAGGCCGGAGTGCTCTGATGTGGTCTGCAGCAGATTCCACAAGGTTTTCATAACTTTTGTAAACACCGCACATTACCGCATATAAATATTTGTTGTTTTCGCAAGGTTCTCGCCACACTTGAAAAGTCTTATCGACATTGACATATCGGATGTATGAAATGGAGAATTTATAAATCAAATTGAAAATTTTTAGTCGTTGCTTCCTAGGGCTACGGTTACCACTAATGGCGAATACATAAGATTCTTTTCTGTCTCGTTCAAGCCGAAGGGCGTATGACGAAACCCTTAAACTTAAGTACTCAAATATAATAAAATAGGAGATAATGCACGACCGCAGCCGTCGGCATTTCAAAATCTTTACTTAGTTTGAAAATACTTCTGCCTCGAAGGAAAATGACTGACCTAAAACACATGGTCGCCATTTTGGCAGACAACAAGAAGAAGGCCGAAATGGTGGCCATTCATGACGTCGTATTTAGTGCATCTAATAATTGTTACTTCGAGTACAATCCTTTTTTCCGATCTCGTAAACTATACAGTTTTCACAAAGAGTTTTTCTTTGCAAATGAGTGCTTAATAAGCACGTCATAAAATAAAGAAATAAAATAAATTACCTTTATTTAACGAGCCGGTGACATACATTACTGGTAGCCCAGTAGTTTACATTACGGCCCTCCTACAATTAGTTAATGAAACTGAAATGAATGTTCAAAGAAACATAAAGTGTGTTAAGAATCCTGACTGGCAAGGAGGCAAACCAGTTGGCTATCTACAAGCATTGTTGAGAAACTGAATCTGAACTAATCAGGAATGGGGACAAATACAGTCTCAGCTAGTGGCCACAGCGGGACTCGAACCGTATACATATTACTATTCACATTCATTTTGCAATGTCGCTATATTTTCCCCAAAACTTCAATTGTTATTCATATATACTTTATTATTACATAGATGTAATATTTGCTAGTTGTGCACATAGCAATCTATCTCGATTAACTGTGGTTTTCCTGGCAATGGTATATTTTCAACTTAGTCGTTACTGAAAATGAACTCGTAATAAAAGGCACRGTGTAATTAATATTTATTGTTAAAATATTTCCAAGATATCCAAAGTACTTGAAATCTAAAAAGGATAATATACTATGAAGTTGAATTTAAATTCGAAATTAATATTAAAATTATTTACTTTTAAAATATTCGAACGCATCCTATGCAGGTTTGGATTAGTGCGGTCCACACCGTTAGGTCTACCCATTGTAATGACAAAAATAAGATTAAAATCAAGYCTCAGTTTTGATTCATTAAGACAAGGAAAGGTAAGCAAGAATTGAGCATCTTAGCTGAATATTCCTTTTAAGGTCATTCAAGACAAGCTCAAGCAACCCAAAAACCGAACCATTTTTGACGAAGAAAAGATGGACGCCGCTGTCAGTGATGCCAGCCTTTTCCAGTTGATTTTGAAGGCTGTCTATTATAGTGCGTGAAACATAAACATCAACAAAATAAACGAAAGGGTTGTTATTGTATTATAATTTTATTGTGTCGTAATGTTGTAATATCCATTCTGTATTTGATTCCATACATCAGTTTGATTGTAAAATCCGTTATACATTTTGCACTAAAACAAACAGTTGCAGTTACAGCAAAATAAACAGTTTCAATGCATTACTCTTCGAAAGCAAATAGTTAGAGACAGAGGATATGGCTAATTAACAATTTATACGCTAAGGAAATCTAGAAAGTGTATCAGTAATTAAAAAATCGAGCTAAAAGTCAATGTGACCCCCCGTCCTACAAAAAAGGTAGCCAAAAAAAAAAAAAAAAAAAAAAAAAANTTTCTTGGAAGTAAACCGTTACAATGTTGCAATGCATATACGTACTGCCGTAACTCAAGAACGACAACTTAGTGCGGGAAACGACAATTCTACGTAAAATGCGCTATCTTGTTTTTTCCATTGCTCCACTTTACTTTACCTTGCTTTGCTTTGCTTCGCTTTACCCCATAACAAAAGAAGAAAAAAAAAAAAAAAAAAAAAAAAAAAAAAAAAAGGGAATTAAAAAGGGTAAAAAGTCAAATGATACTAACCCTCAGAATCAATTCCCCTTAGGGTAGGTCGCTGCAGATGCAGACAATTGAAACTTGGATGATTTAGAATGATGAAAGAATGTCCAGAAAATTAAAAATACAAACCCTACAGCAATGGAGGGCAATGTCTGGAGGCTTTAAAATTGACTGCTTCCAGGGTCTTACTATGTTTCTTCGACCTCTATGGAATTGTTGTCCAAGAAAAAAAAGTGTGGAGAGATAGGAACACCTTCTGAACTGGTCACTGAGCCAAGAGGATATTTTTTAGTTTAATTATCTTTAAACTCAAACTCTGATCTAAGCGGATTTGCCTTGGCGCGGAAAGGGATTCAAGACCTCCCACACGACAACATACTGCTCAATCTTGAGACTGATTCTCGATTCAGCCAATCCCTGTAAGACTCTCTAAAAATCTTCGTCTTTGTTAATTACACGTCCCTTTATAACTCAGTGGAATCTTTTTCTAATTTGACAATCATCTTGAAGTCAATTACCTTTCTATCGTTCAGTAATAACCAAGTACATATACTTCATCAAAGTCGGTCAAGAAGACGTTGACACTGATACCTTAACACTCTATTGTGCTCCATATGATTAAGGTTTATCTCCTTTCAAAAACTCTTGAGACGTCTGAAAAGATTAGCTTAGTAAGACAGTATTTCATTTCCATATACTTCAGCAATGGTATTGTCCAGGTCTATCGATATAATTTCTCGTAATGATATATTTTTGGACGTAATGAATAGTTAAGACAGACGAAAGAAAGAAAATGGATTAGAATAGCTAAAGAATATAGAGTAAAACTATAACACAGTGGCGGGTCCAGGATTTTTCAAAGGGGGGTTCCGTTTCTTAAACTGTGCATAATTCTCTTTTGTTTAGTCGATGTCTGACAAAAAAATTGGCTCTAATCACCTAATTTACTATCTAGTAACGGAACGTAAAGGTAAATTAAACATTATAACAGCAAATATTTATCATTTCGTGTTCAACATTATCCTTGTGGATACTTTTAAGCAAAATTTATATAAAACATATTTCTATTACCTAAAAGATCAAACCTTCAAGGGRGGTTCCGTGGAACCCTTCGAACCCCCCCTGGATCCGCCACTGAAACATGTCTGTGGTCCTGCATTAATCTGTATTATGACTTTCTCTTGCTAATCTTCTAGATTCCGAATTGCCTTCCTCTGCAAATAGAGAAGCACTTAACTGCACCCATTAATCATCAATTATCAGATATTTTCATAGACTTGCTGAGTTGTTACAGATTTTTTTATAAGATAGCTTCAGCGAAGAGTAATTCATAATTTTCCTTTTCGAGTGCTCTTGAAATTCAAAGAAGTTTCCCCCAACCCATGATAAGGAATCGGTCACTATGTCAACGCACCGATAGCGCATTTCATAAATCGTTATTTTCATTAATAAATGTGGATCACGTACTGCGATAACAATAAGTGAAGTGGTACTCTCCCGAGCAGAACAGGAGTCTTTCTATCCCTACATAAACGATAAGAGCGTGTAATGCTTATAGGATACTCCAAGAATCCTGTTCCGAATCCGGTCCCATAGATACAATTTTCATTATCTTTGACTTAGGAGACACTTAGAATTCGAGCGCATAATCGGATTACTTTTGACTTTTCAACAGATCAGATAAACACTTCCATAGCTTTAATAGTTCCTTTGTGCCGTTACGTTACAGGATGTACCTTGCATTTCAAATGGTTGGGTATATTCCTCAACGACTGAGAACGTACACTTGAAACATGACTTGAAGTAAAAGAATATGGAACTGGAAAAGCCGGAATGTACACATCGAACAAATTCATTCAAGAAAAAAACTCCGTTTTCAAGCAAGAAAGTTTCTTAAGTCTAAGATGGCAATTGAATCCAGAAGCCCTGCGCTTTCGCTATGGTTAAGTAGAAAGTAAAGTGTTGATTTGATAGATAATATCTAAAAATAAAGCACGAATCACGCAAAATGGAGAGATTAGAGGTCAGATTCAGAAWTAGAGCAAAAAGCGCAGCCGAAAAAGAAGATAAAAAAGCATAATTTTAATAAATGACCGACTGGTCATGTCTTTTGATTGTTGGAACAAAAACCGATGGCAATTGCAAGTTCTTAGTAGTTTTCCGAAAACTGCAGCGCTAAAAAAGATTTATACAACATTTTAATTGAAAAACTAAGTCGTACGGTTTGCAATTTTATCTGAAAAGATGTAGATCTCGATTTGTTTGTTTATACAAAAATCTAATTTCCTTGAGCTATTTACCAAACACTTAACATTGTATCTTCACTTAGCCTTTACCTACATTGAAGAAGTACTCGTATTCGCAGTTGTTGGCCATAAACGGTTCAAAGGAATTTTTAATTGTGTCGTCTCACTATCTTTGAACAAATGTCGGTCTAATCCGTAATACATCCTTAAAACTTTTCCTGAGCTTGCGAAAGTCACGTTAAAATTATATTTTCCTACGTTTAAACGTACTTCAATCCCAGTTCTCTATACTAACATGAGAGCTAATAGTTGTAAATATCATATAATTAACAAAAGCTGCAATTTTTTATCGATAAACAAGTGCCACACCCCCTCCAAACTGCAGTGAACATTTCATGCATCGCCATGTTGGTTCCCAAGAGCAAATCTTTATTTATTTTCAACACTATGGGAAGAGTTGCGTTCACATCAGCATCAGTATACACTTGCCCGCAGTAATACAGTAATACATCCTCACTGGATCCTAATGATCACGTCGAAACATTGACTGACTAAGGTATGGAGAAGATCTGCGACTTTTGTGACCACAATGGCGGACGGCAGCAAAATTAGAGCAAGAGAAAGCAATAAAATCCAACGTATTCAAATTCAAACAAAAAATACCGTGACTCGAAATTAAGGAAACTTAAGTACTACACCATATTAACAGAGAAGCTTAGTGACATTTTCCACCAGGGGAGTGAGGTGGGGCAAACTCGACATCTAATGCAGCGGATGACGTCACGTAACAGGCCTCATTAGATTGGGCGCACGTGTCATTCTCTTGAAAATAAGATAATAAGTATTTATAATCATGTTTCTACTCATGTGCCAACCATTAAATAAAAAAATAATTACTCTAGGGAATGGCACATGTTAGGAAATTGGCAAAACTTTATGCACAAAAAGTATGTCGGTGCACAAATAAGTATGAAATACTGATGTTTTGGTGTAGCTAGGGTTTTTGTCCTTTGTCACCTTTGATTCATTGGCTAACTAAATGTGGGTACTTGTCAACTAGCTAGTGCTGGTGCGAGTTGACAACCAGTGTGGTGTGTCGTATTGTGTCCTCGTCAACAAATTCAGTTTGTGGTGGGGTCTGCGTCCTTGTAAACTAGTGGCGTGTTTCTGTTAGTGTTCTCGTCAACCAGTGGTGTGTTGGTGTTAGTGTCCTCGTCAACCAGTGGTGTGTTGGTTTTGGTGTCTTCGTCAACCAGTGGTGTGTTGGTGTTRGTGTCCTCGTCAACCAGTGGTGTGTTGGTGTCTTCGTCAACCAGTYGTGTGTTGATGTTCGTGTCCTCGTCAACCAGTGGTGTGTTTGTGTTAGTGTCCTCGTCAACCAGTGGTGTGATTGTGTTAGTGTCCTCGTCAACCAGCGGTGTGTTTTTATTGGTGTTCTTGTCAGCCAGTGGTGTTTTTGGGTTAGTGTCCTCGTCAATAAGTAGAGTGTTGTTGTTGTTGTCTTCGTTAACCAGTGTTGTGTTTGTGTTGGTGCCCTCGTCAACAAGTGATGTGTTTGTGTCTTCTTCAACAAATTGTGTGTTGTCGTTTTTACATATACCCTTGTCACCTATTGATGTATTGGTTTTGGTGCTCTAGTCAACCAGTGCCGGGTGTTGGTTGTGGTGCCCAGTGGTGCCCAGTGGTGCCCTCGTGAACCAGTGGTGTTTTTTGTTGTTGATATCATGATCAACCAGTAGCGTCTTCCGTTTGGTGCCCCTCTTACTATTGGTGTAATGGTTTTGTTGTCCTCCCCATCAACAAGTTATTTGTTTCTTCGTTAATCAGTTCTTTGTTAGTGTAGGTGTCCTTCTTAACTAGTGGTTTGTTGGCATCCTTGTCAACCAGTGGTGTGGCTTTTTCGTGCCGTGGTCAACCAGTAGTGTGGTGGTGCTGGATCCTAGTAAGCCTGTGGTGTGTAATTGTTAGTGTCTCTTGTCAGCTATAGTTTGTCAAAATTCAATCGCCATATCCTTTTATTTTATGCCTTTAATCAACCTAARACTTCAACATTTTGAGCTTCAGTAAGTGCTTTTTTCTAAATAACATAAACAAAAACAGCTAATAGCATAAATCATGATCACTGGCTAAAAATACATTTTGGTTTTTAAAGGAAAACATCTTGAAAATAGTCTGTGTTATCAATAAATGTATTTCGTAATAAGATCAACCTGGCTAGCTTTTGGTATCTCTATGGACAAAAAATCACCCATAAAGCAAAGTAATATACAGCAATTATATATTTATCATAAATTAGAATATGTTTTCATGTTTGCGCTGTTTATAACATCTTTGCTTTTCTTGGAAATGTTGCTGTATTTTATATTTTTCTTTCTTACRGGTATATGTATATACTCTTAAAGATTATTATTGAGGAGCTGAAAGAGAAACTTTGTAATAATTAACCTCCCACTGAACAAATTATAATTTTCAGGAACATAGGAAGCAAATGTTTTGTTTTGTGACGTTTTTTTCCCCAGGATTACTAAAACAAGGGACACACACTCGTTTTTCAGGGGAAACTGTGTACCTGACCGCCTTACCCTAACTTCCGTGTCCTTCGTTTTTATGAGGCATGCACATATTCCTTTGCATTCCCACTTGCTTTGGCCCTTTGCATGCATGGTATCATCCAGTGTCTTTTTTGACTTTGGGCAATTTGTCTAAGGTTTCTTTGAATCATACTACAAGGCTTCCTTGCAGCTTCAAGCCTAAGTTGGGTCTTCAGGTACGGTAATGTTGAATTTACGTGCAAACATTGAGAACTGACGTTTCTTCACATACGTCACATATTACGTAACAGCACCAATTAAAATGACATCTGCACCTCTTGGTGACGGAGAGTTTCTTGGTTCCGTAGGGCCGACTACAGCACAGACTTTTGCAATTATCTGTGTCTAACGAGTCCCTGGAGCAGACGCGTCCCTCTGTTCCTTGTATGAGTAACGAATTATCAGGTTTACAAAAATCTGGGGAATTTTCAAAATAAACTAATTCTCCTTTGAAACCAGATCTCCTGAACTTTCTTCTTACAGGTCTTAGTTTGACCTTGCTGCTGCGGATTCTATTGTTTACGCGTATTAGCGTTGCAAAGTCATATTTTTCCATCAGAAGATCACCAACCTCTCGAAAGTTTGGAACAGTTTTCCAGCAAGTCTTCACGCTGCAGGAACCACACATTCCATGACATTTGCATTTTGTCTTCGAGTTTTCTATAACTGTCTGGAAGGAATAAGAGATAGTTAAAATTGAAATTAAATCCAGGGGCTTGGAGAGGGAGATGATTTATTTTTTTGGCATAATCTAGGCTTTAAGATAAATAATGGATTGCTGGTTTATTAACCATTTCCGAAAGAATCAAATAACAAAAAGCACGGCGGGCATGTTGTTGGTATAACGAAAGAGGATAACGACTTGTTTTTTTCGTTAAATTCAACCAAGAGGGCGACCATAAAAACCAGGCAACAGCTCATTACCGCCACTACCGTCTTCATAAACTGCCCTGTCATGTGACCACTGCCAATTGCAACATATTCATCAATTATTACTATTATCATTGATCCTCGTCATCATCATCATCATCATCATCTTCCTTATCGTTGTATTATAAGGTATCCATTTTATTCTGAGCATGACTCCAACAATAAATACAAGCTTCATATATTTCAAAAAAAACTATTCCAGAGTCTTTGCAATTGAGACGCGGCTGTCTTAAAAGCAGATCATTAAGTAGTATCGGGGGTCTATTCAACACTGACATCCAAACACTCAGACTATATATTGCTCAATTCAACATATCAATTACTGAGTGTTTTTTCATCTGTGCCAATTCCTAAACCTTGGGGGTTTATTCCATTCCTTAACTAAACAGTTATGATGTTATCACTCCGTTTTCTTGCCAGACCCAAAAACTTGCTGAAACGATGAAAAATAACATGGATAATTTTAGGGCTTCAAAAMGAACGATTGTTTTGCGCCTCAAGTATTTTCTTGGGAGTCACATGACGTGTAATACACTGAAACAGGCATTGAGGTCAAAGCACCCTGTAGCGCAGTCGTGCCCAATATCGAAAAGGCTTCTGAACATTTTAATTCGTCAATAAACGAGTGTCAACACAAGAAAACGAATAACTTTTTTTGAATCTGAAATTACCTTAGAATATCGGGCTTTCTTATTCCTGGATTTTGTGCGACGTCACAGAGCTGCCATTTCAATTTATATAGCTTTAAGCAGATACGTTTCGGTAGCTAGGTGTTTAGCAAAAAGCAGCAGTCCTTTTAATCCTTTATCGACTGGTATCTTGAAAATGCTCAATTATTTGAGTTCCAAAAACTCCTCGAGGGCATTAGTTTCCTCGTCGTAAAAACTAGGTCACAATCATTTATATATCTCGCTTTTTCTTTTCCTTTTTAACCTGACAAATGTGGCAGAGAAGACCTTCCTAATTTGCACGGTCAAATATGTATTTCGTCTTAGTAGCCGTACAAAAAGGTCTTTCTTCTCTCATCTGTTCAAAAAGGTGTTGCATATTAGTGGAAGGAYATTAAATGAGGCTGATAAAACTTTAGGTTAGAAATGAAATTATTATAAACCATCAATTACCTCTGATTGAAGTAATTTCAATTTGGATATTAGTAATAGTTTCGGTTAATAGAACTTATCGAGTAAGGCCTCACAATATCAAGAAGCTCGTCTTCGCCTAATTAAACTAGATTATTATCTTAAAAGCCTTATTGACCTTCATTCGAGATTTCGTTTCAGAATCGTTTTTGCAAAGAGATTGCAAAACGAGACGTTTACTTACATCCTATTAAGGGATGCGTGATAGAGATAGTAGTGCACTGTATGACTATACATGTGCTGTTGACGTCTGGAACAGTGTTTGTACATGTCAATACAACCAATTAACTATCCTGTCCAATACCCACAAGGCGATACAGATAAAGCTTTTAGCTGACCAAATAAGATCATCTTAAAAGTTTTCGTTGACCTTAATTTAAAATGTTTATCGCGCCTATTGAGTGTTATTGCTACATTGGAGGAAATAATAAATCCAAACAAAAATAGATGTGCAAAGTCGTTGATGCTGGCAATGAAGTTAAAATGAGAAGTTAAAATGTTTAGTTAATTTTTACTCTTTAGTTACTAACAGAATGTTTGTTTCCAACTCTTAGTGCAGTGTTTGAATAACAAATAAATGATAGTTTGAAATTTCTTTTGATTTTAAGAACCCACATATAGCCCATGGTCCTAGAAAACTATTAGATGGAAGTACTTTATCTTACCTTTCGTCCAACTAAGTTGTTGTGTAAATTCATTAAAGAATGAATATCGCGTCCAGTCTCACGCGAATCCAAAAATCGTGCTGAGAACTTGGCTCCATATTTCATGTTGTCGCCACACCCACCCCACTGCCAACCGTCGCCTTTTCCTCTCATCGATTGATCACATGTACAGGTGGCAAGCTTGCCAATGCTGCAGGCCTTGGCTACAGCACTGGTTATTCCAGCCGATGCAATAGCATGCACGAATGCCGTTTCACGAAACCCTGAAAAGTTAAAGCCATTATTGGTTAACTAGTATTGCGTTCATATAGACGGGGCCAGGACCTGTACTTGTTTGTCTGGTAGTGAGGTATAACAGAACGCGTCACGATATCAAGGCACCCCTCCCTTACATCCGCTATTGGATATGCAATGCATTTTTATATATGCTGATTTTGCATCAACGTTGATGCAACTTTGAAAAATACTAATAATACTAAATACTACTGATATCACAGTATGCTCACGTTTAGTGCTTCTATATGAATGTACTATGATTCAGCGAATTCGGAATCTTTGAAAATTCTAGATCTCTAAAATTGACTACCGCTGATGTTACAGCATCCATGAGCCGTGTTCCAAGCCATCTTTGTTATCAGTGCTGATGAGCAATACTGGTTGGATCAATGATTGCGCACTCAAGGTTTAAATGAGACCTTAACTGCTTGTTCTTAATAATTATTACATGCTCGATGAAGATAAATTATTAATTTTTCACCACATCACTTTAAAGTACGCTATATAAGATATAGTTATAATCCAACGAAGTGAAAAACTGAAAAATTCTAGTAAAAATTCTAATTCCTTGTTTYGTACGAGCATTGAAGCCTCTGGGCAAACTGGAAAAGTAGTCTTGTTTGTTCTRAAGTATCTCATTTGGCGATAAGTGATATTTATGTTTGATTGTCCACATATCTAACTTTGATTTTCAGTGATAATTGATGTGGTAATAAAACATACGCGCTGCAGCAATATAAACGCTTTCTAGGAAGTTTTGAAGCTGCAAAAGTAATTAAAGAAGCGTAGGACTGATATGTGATTAAATGACTTTTTCACACGCTCTTTAGAAATACACTTAACTGGAGATCCACATACCCTGAGGCATTCGAATTATCCATTAACAACTCGAAACACACCGACGCAATCCACTGAGCCACGATGCACGAAGTCCAAGGAAAACACTGAATTAATGACAAGGGATCGAAGTTCGTAACAATGCAAGTTTGAATTCTAAATACACCTTATTTAAGTATATTTCTAGTTTACACTAACTCATGACACAACTTCATCCTTAACAGATTTGGAAGACAATATTTTATAGAAGTAGGGATATTAAAGTAAGTGTCGTAAGTGCGGTTCAAGTGCTTAAAAGCGACTGAACTATTTCTGTTCGGCTAAGCCACTTATTGCCTACTCAGTACCTTTCAGCTCTACTTGAAGAAAATCTGCCGAGGAATTTTTTCTTGCATAAGCAAAGAACATGAATATGATCACACAGATCATGTCTGATGACAAATACTGGTACGTTGTCAGCGACGGAAAAGTCACGGGATGGTAATAGAAAATATGATCAATAAAAAATATTTACGTGATCGATCATGAGGGACGTGGAATCTGCGTATATGTAAGTGAATGAAAGATAAAGCATTCTAGTTCTTGCATGCATACAATGACAATATGTCACACAGTTCTGGGCGATCAACACCTTCTTTAAATGTTTCAATCAGGCACGTCTTGTCCTGCTATTCATAATCTTGCAAAACACTGCTCGGACTGGTTGAAATAGCTCTCTGAGTTCAGCATGCGCACTTTTTAAGGCATAATGACATTTTACTCAAAGTGGCATTCAAAAGTTATCTTCTATTGAAGGATAGCTTGTATAGGCTAAGTTCACTTGCCCATGGGTTGGGCTCCTGCTGCCCCTCCTATAGTCCTGGGTAAACTTAAGCTACTTTAGTCATTACTGAAGACTTATTTATTTAATACTAAGTCATATAATTAAATTATTATTTATTCTTAGTTTCCATCATAGTATGATACATTATTAGCTCAGAGTCTTAACTATTTTCTGTATATATATATATATATATATATATATATATATATATATAACATAAGTTTTAGCATTATCTTAATTACGTTAGAGTGCACGCACTAAAACCGTGAACATTAAATAGTACTAATTAGTACTATTTCATACAGAATCCTTTGTTTTCAATTGTTTAATTATCACTATTTAGTGCTAAAAATCAGTATTTGTTTCACGGATTTAGTGTGAGCACTCTATTTTAATGTTATTGGTTATTATTTTTATGTAATATTGTAATGCACATATGGTCATTTTATAGAATATGCGCAATATAAATAATAATGAAAACTTTATGAACACATGAAAATTTACAAAACTAAAACTTTATCAATTCAGGATTATCCCATGCTTTGTTACGACAACAAAGTGGATATTAGTAATAATAATAATAATTATTATTATTATTATTATTATTATTATTATTTCTTGGATATTTTCATGGCTTTCAAATTAGCAATTAAAGCTCACGTACGCAGTTACCGCCAAGACCTTTTTCAAGGGCCAGCTATCGTGTATCACTCGTTACACATGGTATTCCATGAAAAACTATCCACACGATGGCACAAGTAGGAATGAAAACCCTTCAGTCAGAGAATAGGATACTACCCAATTGCTCAGACATTTTAAAAAATCTTTCTTCTAGTCTTACATTTATTCTTGAACTGGAGGACATCTTTTATTACCTTTGCATGGGAGCTTGTTGTAAGGGAACAAAAATACTTGGGTTTACCATAACACCTTGAGTTTCTAATAAGACAATTGCCATTCAAAAAATGGGATGGACGTGTTGTGCCATGAACTGAAGATGTACTATTCAATTTTAGCAAGGTAAATATGTTTTGAAGGATTTTCCATTAAGTCCATGGATAGACTTACACTGAGGGAAAAACATGGTTTARAATATGTTTGTTCTTACATCCTCTATCAATATTTTGTCTAATATTCCAATTAGCTAAAAAAAAAAATCGAAAAGTACTTGAACAGCATGCTTTTTAAAAGTGTTAGGAAGGAAAGCACTTGATAAATGACGTCATTCATCCATGTCTATACAGCCTTTTCGTGTTTGTCTTTTTTTCTTTAAAAACCTTAGAATATATGAAATATCTTTAAGGGGATAATTAACAGACACAGCTACTTCGTTTTCGTGCATTCTAAAAATAAGATATGGCAATGACAAAGATTGTAGAAGCAACCCGAATGTATATAAGAAACGTTTCCTGTAGGTTATCCAAGTAGTCATGATTCGGATACAGAAAACCTTATAGAATAAATATTTAATCTTAGACACGGTCACAGGTATTCAAAGTAACACTCAGAAACCGAATTTTATGATGAGATCTATGTCCTGTGTCTGAGTAGTGTATTCAAAGCATTTGGGAGAGGTTGCCGGGTAGTGGCACTTTAACAACACAGGTCAATAGACTGCGATACATCCCAATATTGATAAAACACATGAGAGAAGAATATTAAAGAAAACATCTTCTTTCCATTTTCATTAACTTGGTGTTGAATGCTCCTTTTGACCGGGAAAAGTTAGGAATAACCAAAAGCGTGTTTACCTTGCTTCGAAGGTCAGTCGCGTGTTATTCAAGTAGCATTCTTTGCGGTCTATAAAAGCATCTCCAAATGTCTTCCGAGAGGCCTTTTGTGCACGCTCAAATGAACCGAATTATCATCGTAATACGAAATAACCAGACAATTTTCATCATTATTTTCTTGAAAGACGAAGAAATCTTCAATGCCCTTGTATGGAGGTCATATTGCACATATGTAGCTCATCGTCGAGTTCCTCCCAACCCTTATGATGTTTATGATGATTGAAGACAAGCAATTTGTCTTTCTGTGACAATAACTGAAACGTGTCACGAAATGCATCGTGTAAAACAAATATTTTTTGTGCATTCTATTTCTAGTTTTTACCCCTTTTAAAAAGTCAAAGAAGAAAGCCTCTCCTCTAAGAATAATGAGATCTTTCTAAAGCGATGTTTGCGAGTTTCAGATTTTATTACATTATAGACCTCAATTATCCAGTAATGAACTTCTTCAAGGTTAYCCCTCTTCCAAAACGGAAAAAAAACTATACTCACAAACTCACTATATGAAAACATGTCAGTCAGCCAAAAAAGGCAAATGAACACTTACCTTGTTTTAGGAGAGGGTTCGACATTGGATTTCGGTTCTTCATCTCTAACGAAGAACAGTTCCAGCGACGGTAACGAAACTGRGCCTGACACTCGTGAACAGCATACTGCATTCCTTGTAAAGCGCTCGCCACAACGTCGGGTAATTCTTTACAAAGCCTCATCTGCTCTCGATTCAGCGACGGCGTGTTTTTGCACACGGTATTGGAATTTAGAATGGGATCCTCGAATTGTTTGTTGGAGTTAAAAATGTCATAGCAACATCCTCTGCGAAATAGAAAGCGGAGTAAAGAACTGTCGATCGATAGCTGTATAAAATGGACTTCAAAGGTAAATTCTGTAAATTTAATCATCTAATCGTATAAGTACTAAACGGCAATCTGCTCAAGGCAATAATCAGATAAAATCTTCTTATCAACATACTTTGAGTGGATTTGCAATAGGACAAGTACAACTTTGAAAGCATAAACGTAGTTAAGCTCCATGTTGAGGTTAATGCGGGATGACTTCAGTTTTTACCATGACTTGTTTCCAAAATTTAATCTGCTTTGGAACTCAAGTGGTTGAAACCACTCGTTCGATAACTTGGCTGGCATCGGCTCGATTGCCCACTTAGGAACGGCTTCCAATCGCAGTAAAACACGGTTCTGGTCTATGTAGAGCTAGTAACGTATAGCCATAAAACTGCCATACACACGTTGAAATTCGATTTACAGACTTCCATCTGAGGGCATTGAGTGATGGGCCGGAAAAGATGCACTTGTGAGCTCTCTGGATGTTTTTATTGCAGTGCTTTAGGAATGGAGGTGTAATCATAAGCCGTTAATTGAGGGCATATTCCCTTCTATCCTTCCTTGGATTTGACAACTCGATTACGCTGTCTGAGAAAGCATWGCTACCAATTGAGCAAGGAGGTGTTTTCTTTATCATATGGATCATATAAACTATTAGAAAAGCCGGTCCAAATGGAGACACTCAACCAGTCTCCCACTAAATAACGTATACGTTTGTTTAATCCATTTAATTTCCCTGCACCAATAAATATACCTCTGTGGAAAAATAATGCTTGTAATTTTGGAGTCATTTTACCTCAAATACACCCATGCTGACTTAAACAGCTAGAATAATATTGCAGTGCACAGCTAAAGATAGCTTTTCTACACGACGATCGATTATATCACAGGTGACTCAGGTGTCACCTTCTTGACTGTATATTAATTATCCAAAAACATATGTTAGTTGCTACAAAATGACCCTTTCCCAGTCTATAGTTTCAGGGACTTCCTGTGTACAGGCCACTCTTATTGTCTTTTCCTTGGATGAGTATCATGTGTTTTTCAGCACTTTTTCTTCGCGTTATTAATGATCTTTGATGGCCATTATATGACCTTTACCGAGTTCTTAGGCGAAATCAACTTACTAAAGTTGAAGAGTGTATTCATACTGGTGAATGTGATTCATTTTCACCGCACAAAACAAAGCATTTCCATTCCATTTCACTTAAGGATTCCTTAAAATACTCTATATTTTTGAATTATCTATTACTCAGAGCTAGTCTTAATTTGGGGCAAAATTTATCGTTTGTCCCAAAAAAAGTTTACCGAACATATTGAGGCTCTAATGAGGCCCACCATTAGTATATGAGAATGTAATCAAGGAACAGAAGCATTTGACGAAGTCGAAAAAGTTTCATTTCTTCTAGACATCTAATCATTGAATCCTCTTTTAATTTCGAAGTATTTCGGGCAAAAACTTAACAAACGAATCTCCGTGATGATTCCATGAAGATTGCAAATCAATTACTTCTTTTCGCCTCATAGCACTGCTGTTAAACGTCCTTGAATAGGCACTCTACGCGGGGTGCCTTAATCATATTCTCGTTAAGAAACCCAGATTGGTCCCTCATTTAAGTATTTAGCACCAATCTGTCATACTCACTAAAGGCCGCCCTAGGGAATGCAAACCACGAATAGTGCTATACAACGCACTCCAGGACGAGCATATGGTCTTTAGATTCCTTTGGTGAAATTCAAAGCTCTGAAAAACATACCATATATCACCGCACACTTACCACCCAGGAATTCATATGCTTTTAGCTGTGTTGTATTTAATAAACTTGGAGATAATCCAGCGAAAGACAGAAGATTTCGGTACAATTTTCGTGTCAACTTCTTCTGATTTCGTGGAAGAAATTCGTGGTATTGTGTCTTTAACGAAACGTCCGAAAATCAACGAGTTTTATTGCTACGTTACAAGCAGACAATCTACACACCGTCTGCAACATCTTTCGGCCTCATTGGCTAGCTTATTAAAAGGCTATTAATTATCACATCGCAAATTAACCAAGTTTCTGATTCGCCCCCCGAATCAAAATCTTGGTCCATTGATCAAAAAATTGCAAATAAAAATTGCGAGATTTTTTCATTGTTACTTTTTTTTTCGTGGTATGCTTTAGGCAAGTGCATCTATTCGAGTAGGGAAGCTTGCAAATTTCAATATACTGACGTAATTTCGTTTATAACCTTGACTGTAGCGAAAATCGACCACACTGCATTWAAAAATATCAAATTAAAGCGGCACTCATCAGAAACCGTTAATGCAGGAACATGGTACTTCATTATTAAAAAGATTTGAGTTTACTATCATCTGACCCAGAAGTGAGATTAGAGGGGATTATAGGATATAGCATTTTACAGACCGTAATATTAGATGTCTATTTGTGCCCTGAAATATTAATGTAACCAAAGGTTTCTATTATGTAACGCATGCAACACCTTGTCAACTATGCCAAGCTTTTTACCTTTACCTTGACCGTTACCTTGGTGAGTATGTTTATACCCTGTACTATGAGACATTGCAGACCAAGCCATTGAGTTACGCTGATGGCTTCGGCATCTCACATGGATCACAGTAGATACTTCTCTCTGTAATAATTATATACCCCTAAACCTGTTTTGTTATCTTAAATGGCTATTCATACTCTTCATTTAAAGTTGCGTTTTTAATTTTTTTAGAACTGACTGCAATTTTGTTGTGTAATACCTAAACCTTRACGACTACCCCTGCGGTACCCGCTAAGAAGCCGGCCATCGGTTCAAAAATGGATTTCCAGCCACACTTGGTCACAATATGGCGGAATACCCTTAACCATGAACAGGTGAGTGAAAACATAATACATCATTCCTCAATGTGTTGTAAGATTCATAGGGCACAATGACGAAACCTTAGAACATTAACATCAGTAACATAGATAGTTTTTGGGGGGTATTTTGAGTATGTGGATCGAGAGGCTCCAAATCATAATAAAATAAAATAATCTTTTTCAATCTAGGGGTAAATATAATTTCATTGCCTCTACAGGACATATTACTACATGATTTTTCCCCCCTTCAAAAATAGACGTCTGACCTAACTTGTACTAAGAGGTCCGTTCTAGATAGGTGAGACGAATAATATATAACATCGAGTTGTGTCATATGGGGGTTAGCGCAAAAAGTAGAGTTACTCAAAAATCCAAAGAAAGCAAGCACCATTGCGGCTCATATAATGATTTTTTTGTGAGGCATAATATTGGAGTTCCTAGTGTGTTGTGAATGGAAAAAATGCGAATGGCTAATCATAATGTAAAGTAAAACAGACTTGAGRTCGCAATATTCCTCGACATACAACTGAAAGCGTGTGGAATATTTTAGATCTAAGTCGTAGCCAGAACGATTATGAAAGTGACGGAGTGCGGCCAAGTAACCTTTTATGGAAGAGTGTTTGATTGATTTGTCTTCTGCATCAGGGTTAGCAGCTGCGCATTGTCTGGCCGGTATATGGAAAGAAACTAAATGAAGTGCTTTTCTGATTGCTGGCTCTCAAATCCTCAGAAGCTCTGGGGGGTAAAGGATGGGGAACTTTGTCTGCATGCTCCGCCAGTTCTCGAAACAAGAGGTACAGATATCATAGGAGTTGTGATAAGTGAACATGACGGTATTGGCTGGAGAGGAGTCAATTGAAATATTGCCCAAATTCTTTAAAACGTTTTAAATTATGCAAACATCACTTTGTATGGAATATGCTTTTAATTTTGAATTATTCGCAAAAAGTGACATCCGAGCCCAAAATATAAAATAAAGCTTGTTATTATCTTTTCTTACAATTGTCATGACAAGATATTTTGTTCTAAATTCTATCCTAAGATTTCGAAGTTAAGCTCATGTGAAGGACTAACAAACTGCTAGGCACATATGTTTACAGCTACTCCTCCGGCCATTTTTAAAAATGCATGCTAAAACGACCAGAATGCGATAGACGGAGTTTATGAAGTTAGCGCGATTGTACATGTGTACTAGGTTAGTTGTTGTATCTCGCCATAGTGTTTATGATTTGGATGAAGCATTGACAGCCAATCTATACTTTTGTTGGTGGGTGRTTGGGTGGGTTGGTTGGTACCTGATATAACACACAGATGCACTCTCTCATATAACACTTGAAAATCTGGCGGATTTCAACTGAAATCTCGAACCTACAGTTGTTTGTGTTTTTGATCGATGTGGGGATGTTCTGGGGCGGATAGGGAAGGTTCACCTGGAGGTGGCCTGTATACCCCGCCCTTACCCCTCCCTTCCCCCGGAATTCCTTTAAAACGTAGAATAATATCAATTCAGCATTTCAGAGAATGACATATTATTATTTGTTTTTAATTCGCACATTTGCTCAACACAGTCTAAGAAAAAGAAAGAAAAAGCCATAGAAATGACATATTTTAAAATAATTGTCGTGGTGAGGCGTGAAGGCCGGGCAAAAACACTTCTTCGCTCTCATTTATACCATTTAATGTAACTGCTTTTGTACAAATATCTCGCGCATGTCAGTTGTAAATTATTTTCACCTGCATGCCCTGATCATAGACACATTGTCCGAAAGTCCGAAAACTCGTATTAATCATAGTCCCACGTACAAGGGCGTTCTGATAAATATTGCTATTGTTATACCTTTCCCTGTACATCAATAATCGTTTTGAGAAATTTCTAGATTTCTATAATCGTTTTACGTCCTCAGCACCATGTAAACTGAGGGATTTAATCTAAGTAACTATAAGGCAGACTATTTTTTGTGAGACAATACATGGACTACTAATTGATGTGCGGGTCAGGTCATTGGCCCGATTTTTCTTGTTCATATATACATGGAGATTGTTTGAAGATATGTTTTATCTATTTTATTATGTTTTATATGTTTTATATATTAATATACGAGTTGAGAATTGTTTCTTATTTATACTGAATATTGAATAACAGTGTTAGTGCCGAAAGTGAAAGTGGGCCAATATCTTGGAAACCAATATTCATAGTCCTTGCTTAGCGAGGGCAAAAAAAAATGTGGTCAGTCCTGATGACTCGTTCCAAGATCGAATTAAAATTGAGAAATTCAACAGGAGAACCTGGAGAAAAGCTCTCGAAGCACAGGAGAGAGCCAACTAGAAACTCTACTCTCCTCTCTCATTATGTAACTCAACGTCACATGTGAGTGCTAGTTTTCGGGATTCGAAGACGAGCGTACGTCGCATTGGTGAAAGGCTAGCCTTCTAGCCAATATGCCACACGTGCTTCCCTTGTGAAATTGTGAAATTGCATATTACAAAGAAAATTATTATGTAGATTTTTTTTTTCTTTTTTTCTTTTTTTTTTTTAGTTTGTTTTTGCTTTTGTTTTTTGACATTAGACTTTAAAAATACATAAAAATTGGAATGAAAAACTCCTATTCTTCATACAGGTACAGGTGTTTCAAATTCATGTTCGTTCGAAACGAAGTTTTATCTTTTCATTCCCCTATTTTTTTAAAAAAGGTATGGGGTATTAATGGACATTTCACGCAACAAAGCATTAATTTATACAAAGCTAAACTATTCAATGTGTTGGTCATACGCACAAAATGTCTGTCCTTAAAGTGATGTTACTTTAGGAAAAAAACATAAAGCAAAAGGGACTAAATCACATAACAAAAGTTTCTCAGGCCGAGTAAAACCACGCTACTACCACTACTATTGAAACAATGAAATAAATAAACAATAAAAGAGGAAATGGTCTAGAAAATCGAGAGTACTAGAAATTAATTAGTTACTACCTCCCATGATGTACCGACGTTTGTAATATGAAAATACGTTCATCCAGTGCGAGTTATTTTTCTTTTCTGTTCTTGTACAATATGGTTTCTTCGTGTCTTAAATTGTTTTGTGACGTGTGGCATTTTTTCTTGAATTTTTTTTGCTGTATTGAGTTGAGAAAAAAATTGTTCTAAATAACTTCAGCGGTACTTAACGAAAAGCTTGACTCAAAACCAGGCCTGGTGATTAAAAAACATGACAGTTTGGCATCTATCGACCACAGGAAGCCCAATATATTAATGTCTAATGCATGTTCATTCGATGTAATTTCTAACTTAACCTAATAAATCATGAATGTCCAATGTATAGGGTTGCTCGTTCAAAAATCGGGAATTTTATTACTGTCACAATTCAATAAGTTAAAAAAAAAATTAGATCAGTCTATATCRAATTAGTCTTTGATTTTTGACACACACTCAAACATGACAAGAGAAGTAGTTTTGGCCCAATTTGGCAATCGACAGTGGGTAGGAATTAAAACCAAATAAGAGACGACGTTACTGAACGCTAATTATTTGAAACAAGCAAAAAGGCAGTAAATGGGGACCAGTTACCTTATGAGCCTTAAAGTTACAAATAACAGTGCATATACAAAAACAAAAACAAAATTGCCATAGATACTTCAAAAATAGTGGAGGTAAAACAAAAAACAAAAAACAAAACAAAACAAAAACAAAAAAACAGAAACAAAAGAAAGGAAAGGGAAAAAAAACGAAAAAAGGGGAAGGGAACCGTTTTTCAGTTTTATTAATCTAGGAATAAATATAATGATAAATGAGGACTGAATCTATGACTTATATAATCTGGGAGAAATTATATATAATTTGCGAGAAAATCTGTTGTCAACACCCACTTGAAGTTAGAGACAAAAGTTCTTAGAGTCTCAATGACTCGGCGCAGATCTGACTTTCCTGTTTTCGAGGGTATTCAGATTTTAGCCCGCAACATCGTATCAATTCATCAGTTCTGTTCTGCTCCGCTATTGTTTATTATCAAGATTCGAGATTTCAGGCATCAGCGAACCTCTCACTGTTCACCAGGAAACCACGCAACACCTTTTCAGTGGGATAGCTTTATTGAACGTAAAAACAATTGCTTTATTTTTTTTCTAAGTTAAAAAAATCCTTTTCTAAGCATGAGCTATGAAGGCTACAACGTTTTTATTCACTAAAAACTAGATGAACAAAAAATATTATAGAGAATGAACGATGTACTTTCTTTATTTGTTCTCGTTACGTCCACGTTAGAGACAAATATGCTGTCCCTCGTTTTAGCTTTCCTATCCCCTTACTTTGGCACAGTTGGAATTAGACAGTTGATCGCATTATTCTACGAATGGTTCCTAGTTCAAGTTTGAGTCTTGTTTTGGCAGTTTTAACTGTTTGATACTACTCAAAACGGAAATGAATGACTAAATCTATGACTTTAAGGGAAAAAATCATTTGAAATATTTTTCAGGGAAAGTAAAATAGCGCTTCGGTTTTCTTTTTGAACGCGCCTCCATTTTCATTTGGTTTCACCTCACATCTATTTGACCTTTCCTGTTTCCCTGTTCATAGCTCAGAAGTACTAATGAACCAAAAAATCAAAGATTGCTTTTTTTCAATAATATCTTTTGTTGTGGCCATGTTTACATAAAATTTTGAATGAAAGACTAAATAAATTCGCTGCTGATGGAATCAAGACACATCTTGTCATGCTCGGCCAAAAGCCATCGACTCAGTTCAAACGATTTTAATCACCCATCTTTAACTTCCTCATTACGAAACATTCAAGCCGATATGTCAGCGATATGATACCATCACCTTCAAAACAAGTTTTTCTCTTTGACAGAAGGACACACACACCGTACACATAGCGCCTTCAAACATAGAAATTAGGCGTTTCATTTTACGACTTTGTGCCAGGATATATAGATAGGAATTCGCCGATTTGCAAGACCATTGAAATTCATTTCAAATGTTATCTCTACATTTAGTGTGGCTCTAAAACGGCGATAATTGAGTACTACAACGACTACGACAAAGTCTGCAAATCACCTGCCACTACTTCTGGTACTAATAGAAAACCCGAGTTTTAAAACTGGATTTTTATTGTTTTATTTTATGAAATATGAAGTGAAAACGAAGGGGAAAAGCCAGAGAAAGATTAAAGGAGGCTTAAAAACTGAGGATTTTGTATAATTGTATGTAGTTTCAATGACTGCTGAACTACAGTTTTGTCAAAAAAAATTTGAATTTCCATCGACGGCTCTATAGTTTATTTCATCTAAACTATGCTCCACAACACTCATAGCTATCTTTCAATATTTCTTTTTTTTTTTTTTTCCATGCTCAAAAGTATTAATATCGTTTACTGGAATGATTAAAAAAAAATATCCAGTTCGACAGAGTAATCTATTTAGTCGGACTTATTTAATTATACGTTCAGATAGTGACCTGTTCGTTGTTTTAGCTGTTGAAACTCTTAATCTTCAATGATCTTATGCGGATTTTACCACAAACAGTTCCTTCTACGTCTGTTGATATACATATTTAGGATTATTTTTCAAGTCCTAATGGAGAAACTCCAGATTTAGGCCCATGACTTAGGTCGAAGTTGTAATCACTGTTATTCTCGGCGAGGCCGAATGTCTATGCTCTCGGAAACAACTAATTTGCGAGCTTCTTTAAAATGGACTTAGTTTCCTAAGGGTCGTGGTTCATTTTTTTCCTAAGGCGTCATAAWCAAGAGGCAAACTGAGTGTTACTTATATGTGAGGGACGAAAGTGAAATATTTAATTTTGTTATGGTTGAGAAATCAAATTTATTTGGGATTTGCCAAGCCCTTTAGGACGAACTTGCCAAAATGGGCCTCGCTTCCTATGGATATTCAGCCAAGACATTGTTTAGTAAACACGGTGATCAAAATAGTGCAGCTAAACAAAAGAAAAGATCTTCAAAGTGTATGGCAACCAAAAAGACAAAAGATAAGCAAAAACGATCCTATTATTACATATATCTTGATGGAAAATTCCATTCTGTGTGGCCGGAAAAATCATATTGAACTGAGAGAGTTACAATCTCGAATATGATTGCACTGAGTGATTGCTTTTTCAAAAGCATTAATTATCAGAAGGCTATTAAGAGAGTATTTCTATTCAAGGACAGGCCAAATTTCCTGCAGTACATTAGATTTAATGGAAATAGGAAACAAATTCCCCACTGCTGGGTACCGGCGAAATTCACTGCGCTAATTTACTGTAAAAAGGAATTGCATCATGATACGAATGAATATAAAAACATTTCCTGTAAGCTTTGATCTGATTGGACGAGGCTGATGACGCAAATGGAACAATATATTGTAACCAGCAACTAAAAAGCATATAATTTAAACTGCATCGAGTGTACCATACTTGCAAGTCGCAGTCACCCGCAATAGGTGGAGTGAGAAGATTCTGTTTAGAAGACCATGGCTTGCCCTAGAAACGTTGGGCTTGGACTGCTCTGTCTTTTCGCGGTTCTAATACAAGGTATGTCAAGAATGTCACTTCAAATACTCAAACACTGAACAACATTTCTTTAGCCCTCCTTCGAAGATTCTCGCGCCTTAAAAACTTGTTTTCACGACATTCATTTCCCGATGTCTTTTTGATACCCTTGTCGAAGATCCGCTAAACTTTTGAAGCCAAAATTTTTACATGAAAAAATCCTGATAGTATGTGGTCACTTTGCTCTTGCTCGGCTCTCACCATGAAAGATGCGTCACTTTTTAATTAGTTCAGGCACAGCCAACTTTTTTTATTCTTTTGTATGAAAAAAGTAAACTTTCTGCATGGATTTTTTTCACTTTATGAATTTTTTTTCTATCTTCGTGTATCTCAGCTCTACAAGAACTTTCGATACTGCATTGACCAAATAAAGCTTCAGTTTTCCAGTTCTCTCTTACTTAGTGACAGGATGCTTTCTTTAAGAACCTTTTCTTGTTGGTAATTCTCTAACCTTTTCCTCTTCGATCTAACAGTTGTGTGTACAAGGACTTTTCATATTGATGCTCCGAAATACCCTCAGCACATAAAACTTTAAACGCAAAACCCATTTCTACATGGAATCCCTTTTTAAGGGATCAATCCTCTTGATTGAAGCTACCTCTTCTAATACTTTGATCGGATACTACGAAGATTAAAGTTGATAGCATTCAAAATAAGATTAAGCTATCTTTTTGCGCTTCATAATCGACAGTGTTTCGCCTTCAAAATTGTCTTTCTCATTAAGTAATGATAATAGAATCACTAAAATGTCAAAACGTTTTTGATTGAAGCAGTTAATATATACTTTGAATTTTTTTTTAAAAAATGTACGAGTATCCTTCGTTTTTTAGATTGTAATTGCTATGGAGAGCCATTCTTATGGCAATCATTCACTTTAACGTTTTATCATTTTTAAGTGATACGTGCCATCGATAATCGTAATCAAGATTATTCACTTTTCAAGCTTAAAAAAGAAAAGGAAAAGATCGAGATGCAAAGAAATAAAGAAATAAAGGAAGGAAGGAAAAAGGAAAAAAGAAAGAAAACAAAGAGAAGAAAAATAGAAAACAGGAATATATACATATCTACTTTCAATTTCCTCTTAAGTTTATTTCTAAACTCAGGATATACTCACTCGCACCATATGTGGTATTTACCTTAATACAAAAATTGAGGGAATCTGTCATTGTTTAGTAGTTATTGGCGGATATAAAAACGTTTATTTTGACCGAACAACTTTTCATATATGACCTCAAAACTGAAATAGCCTCTGACAAACAAAAGTTTCAATTACAATTGCTTGTTATTGGTTTTTCAATGTTTTTTGTTTGTTTGTTTGTTTGAGATTTTTTTTAATGAATATTGATCTTTTTTTTCTTCTTCTTCTTCTTCTTCTTCTTTTTTTTTTTTTTTCAATCTATTTTCTATTGAAAACCTTTTCAATTCCAAAATGAAGCTCACTTGAGTTCGTTTTTAGTTTTGTAATCATGACAAGTGTAATTGTCACACTATTTACACGAAAAAAGATATTGATCTTTCTCCTATCAAACCTAAAGAAAAGAATTTAAACCTCTAATGAACATCTAATCGTCAAGAGTGTTCAATTAATTTATCAATCTTGAAATCTCGGAAAAATGGAAAATTATAGGACGTGTTGTCTAACTTTGTGATCATTAAAATTAATATTGTATTACTAGCTCATTTTAAATTAAGCTATTGCCGGGCACTTTTCTCTTTTTTGTATGTATTTGCTCTTGTCCTTGTTCTTTTCCTTCTCCTTCTCCCCCTCCTCCTCCTCCTCTCCTTCTCCTCCTCTTCTTTCTTCTCCATCTGTTCCTATTACCTTTTTCCCCCAAGACATTTCCATGGCCATTGTTCATGCTCTTTTGGTATAACAATGAGTTCTAAAGCAGAAAGTTGTATAGTTGTTCACTTACACATATTTTTCAAATCATAGGTTGTTTCTGCGAAGAAGACGAAAACGTAATACCAAATGAACACAATGTACCTGAAAAGCTCGAACACGGTGAGAAAGGCACCGTTCACTATAACGTAGATACCGTCAAACTGACCGGTAGCAAGCATACAAAAATGGATGACAACAAGAATGAGAGACCTCCATGGCCCCCACGCCCAGGACGTCGAAATATCATCCCCTTGAAAGCTAAAAAGGCTCTGCCTACAATCATTAGACCAGGCCGTAGTATTTTAGTTAGCCTTACGGGCAAGGCCAAGCGTAGCTATCAAGATAGAGTCTTGAGGCCAGGAAGAGGCGTCGTTCCAAATGGCTCTCCAGATCAATTGTTGAGACCTGGTAGAGAGGATGTCCCTGAAGGACCCCAAATGCTTTATAGACCAGGAAGAGACGCCATACCTCAATATCTCTATAGACCTGGACGCGAGGTGGCCGGACCTCCATCACTTTTCAGGCCAGGTAGAGAAGATGTTCCCCAAAACGCCTTCCGCCTGTTTAGACCAGGACGCGATGATGTCCCAAATGGCCCCCCAGCTCTTTTCAGACCAGGYAGAGAAGATGTCCCCCAAATGCTCTATCGACCAGGCAGAGACGAAATTCCTGATCAATTTAACTCAGTGAGAGCAGGGAGACGAAGCCTTGGATACAATATGCCATGGACGTATGAGGGAAGCACGGTCAATTCAAACGTACAACGTAACAGCCAAACTTTCAGACAAAAGGCATTGGAAGAAACGACAAAACGAAACTTTCAAGACAACAAGCAGGAAATGAGTGATCCCAGCTCATTTCAAGATGAAGAACAAGATTTTTAACTGAACTGAATTCTCTAAAACAAAGTATGGAATTCTTTTAAAAATAGAAAGGAGATCTTAAGYACAATTTGGCTAGTAAATGATGCAAAATAATCGGATATCTGGCTTATTGGATATCAACTTTTCTTCCTGAGTGTCTCAATAGTACAATTATATGTATAATAAAGATACCAAATAGATATGCAAATAAATTGAATGCACAATTAATGTGTTGAAAAGCATCTTCAGTCTGTTTTTTGTTTGTTTTTTTTTTTTTTTTTTTTTTTTTTTTTTTTTTTTTTTTAATAGCTATATGTATTACCCTAACAATTCTAAAACCACGCAATCTTCTTTGCATCATCATCTTCAAAGTGAATCTTTTAATTTACCACTCAGATCTCGTGCACGTCAAGATGGCATTTGTGCCTTACACTGAATATGATGAACACTTGCAGCGCTATTCAGCAAGTCCCCCAGCTTCAACTTGGATCAACTTGATCTATCTCCATAATCAAAACTATACTTTTGTCGCGCAAACCAACATTCAAGTATTTTTCGATAAACCTTTAATAGCTTTGGAATTCATGATTTTGGAGTTTTATATCTTTCAGAATAGAATTTTGGTCAGTAGGTAAACAAGAGTAGAAATAAAAACGACTTCAACTGAAGACAAAACAGTGCATTACACCCAAAACATAGTGTRCACAATATCACGATATGCGTTCAGGAAAAGATTACGATTCTGAAAATTATGGCACGTTAGGAGTGAATCTAGGAACAAAATTTACTCCCGTTAATTTTTGTTCGCATTAATGTTCAAATTTCACATTTTCAAATTTCAAATAAAAGAATTGTCAAAGAAAAACTAACCAAATGTCAAAAAAGACTGAAGAAGGAGAAAAAACAGCTATTTCGTACGACAATTGCAACACTAAAAGAATATAGACGATGCATATTAGGATTTGTTTATGATGTGTTAGAAAAAAAAAGAAAAGAAAAGAAAAGAAAAGAAAAGAAAAGAAAAGAAAAGAAAAGAAAAGANAAAAGAAAAGAAAAGAAAAGAAAAGAAAGAAAACGACAGTATTATTGTAGTACTCTTTGCTCTGTCAAAAAATCAAAAGATTGATTGGCCTTAAATGAAACGGCTAAAAAAATATTTTCATGTAACATCTAAGAAATGCTCGATCATTTACAGCAAATTTACAAGTTTACAGTCCCAGAGTAGTAGATTACTGTTTAAAGATATTGAACCACTTTCTGTATTCGTGATCCCAAAGGGTTGAAAAGGGAAGGGTGGTTTAGTGGTTTTGCCCCGTGGTTTACAACCATCAGTACCCGTATAATATTAATACAAAATAGTAATTTGATATGTAAATTAAATCTGAAGAAGACGCAAAGACGCACTCGCAAGTCTCCCTTACTTTGAAATTCAAGAAGAGGAATTTGGCACGGTGTCTTTATTATGTTCTACAAATATTATTGTGCATGAATAATGATAAATTTATAATCTTAAAATTTTCTTTCTATTTTTGAGGTTTTGTTAAAATGTCAGGTCAAAAATTATCCAACAAATACTGCAATTTATGAGTGAAGCTCGATTCGAAAACACACACAGGATCGTAGCCGCGACGATGTTGGTTGTGGGTTGATGAAGCATTAATGAATTGTTTCCTTAATCTTATAGTTTAACGTAAGGTTTTGTGAGGCACATGTTGAAAGAATATGGCATGCATCCATGGCATGGATTTCAACAAAAATACACGATTACGATTTTGCACGTGTCACTGAATAAGAGCGCACAGATTTGTAATCACATTATCAAAGGCAGTGACAATTACGATGTGCAGAGACGGTGTAAGGTGTATCCTATATTCGGGTCAATTATTACAAATTTCTAAGCCATCTTTCATCATACAAGTACCATTTATGAATTTGAAGCTAAGCCACTATTTGATGTCCAAATAACTTTCACTATCTTCCATTTGGTTTTGTTTAATTTCCATTTTCTTTGATTTTCTTTTCTTTTTTTTTTCTTTGATTTTCTTTTCTTTTTTTTTTCTTTGATTTTCTTTTCTTTTCTTTCCTTCCTATTCCTTCCATTTTTCCCTCAATTTCTCTTCCTTTCCTTTTCTTCCTTTTCTTGATATTTTCTCTATAACTAATAACCTATAAATTATTTTCTTTTTAAATTATTACATAGGGAAGGAAAGAAATACTATAAACCATAATAAACTGATAGCATAAATCAGGGTACATTCTTATTTCTTTGTGCATGCGTTATATTTATATATATACACATATATGATGTGTAACATAGTGTAAATTGCTAGGTTGCTTTTCTCCCTACTCTTGTGTTTTCACAAAATTTGAAAGTRCCTTAATGGAACGATAGGTGTCCTAGGTTTTGGAATCGTGATGTTCCACCTTGGAGTAAACAGCACCTCGCCACTGATGTTGAAATCCATGTTGGCAACAGGTTCATCGTGAAATAACCTCAAGTTACGAAACCTTTCTGGCAGAAGCGCTCTAAGTTTAGACAAAATATGCTTCCAGTTTTGGAAAGCTGCTTTAGGGTATTTCCTGTGCTTCGTATTAATCACTGTAACTGGATTGTATCTCAGTACCTGACCGCGAAAGAATAAATCTGCTGCTAAGATGACATACTTTTGACTTTCCCACCAACTATATTTCTCGTATTCAAGATYATATGGTAGAAGGTACTTGATGGCATCGCGATGGAAAGCATTGAATCCAGCATCAAAAGAAATACTCACAGGAAAAATTGGCGGGAAAATGGACGAGCTAGGTCTTGGAGAACAACACTTGGCAGCCACGTAAGAAGAAGTCTCCGGAAGATATTTTCCACAAAGGCTACAAAAATGTGTCAGTCCTACCGCTGGCTGATGTCCACGTAGAAAGTTTTCAAACGCCAGTAAAGGAGAATTTACGCTGGTATTATAATTATTCTCCTGTGTGACACCTTCTGTGAACGAGAACTCCAAGTCTTCATCGAGGAAGATATAATACATATAGTTCTTCCTTCTTAATAAAGCAAGTCTGTAAAGAATATTTCTACCACTGCCCCAAGAAGTGTTGGTCCTAAAGATATATTGGATATGAGGAAAGTCAATACCTGGATTATAGTTAGTACATTTTGTCTTCCAACTTAGAACAATAACGTCTCTGCTGCTGCTAGTACCGAGTTGGCATTTGTCCAAAAGATGTTTAGGAAGACAACTTTCGGCTTGAACTAGATAAATAAATTCTTTTGATCCTTTATCAAACGACGATGGCGAAAAATCGCCTGTTGTTGCTGGCGAACACTTTACATCCTGGACGTGAACAATACTAACAAGAAGTCCGCCTGAAAAAACGTAAAACAGTCTCAAAACGATTTTCAGGACTTCCACCTTCGGGATACGCATTCACAGGTTTTAGTGAAACAATTTAGAATGAGAACAAAGGATTTGGCTTTTTGATAAGCCCCTCAAATTCTTCGATCCGTTGAACATTTCACAGATGTATGCTCTAATGATCTTTTGCTCAGACGGCCGTTACAAAGTTGATCGCCGCACTGGTTTGGACAGGTACCAGCAATAACAACACGACCTGTTACAATAACTGTTATAATTAAGGTCCAGTGGATTTAGTTTTAAAACAAACCCAAAAAATACTTTTTAATTGCGAAAGAAAAAACGTATTTAAAAAATGGTTACTGATTTGAAAACAAACTAGGCTTGAGAAATTCATTTGAAGTATGATCATTTAAATTGCAACGTACGCAAGGGAAAACGGAGGACTGAGTTAAATGGCACTTAGTTGTCGGTTGATAACTCGTTAYGCTTACAACATGACAGAAAACACATTTTTATCGAGTCGTAAAAGTTACGTTTTTGAACGTTTCTGACCATTTCTATTTAGAAATTAAAAGAAAAATYCTTTTTCAATATAATACGTTTGCTGTTGTTAGAAAAGGAATGTCTAAGTTCTTTAAAAGCAATTCAAAACGTTARAAAAATTTCGCTTATTTGAAAAGTTTCCTCCTACAGCTTTGACATGTTTTGATAACAACCTGCTATTCTACAGGGAAAACTAGTATTGCTTCATTGGGCTGAACTATTATGATATGAGAAAAACAAGAAAATAATCAAGACAGTGGTCATTATCGATCAAAGATCAACAAAATACATCTATTCTCTTGGTAAATTTGTGATTGAAAGAACTCTCTAAAGGGTTTATTGATGATAGAAGACATTGAAAAATGAAGAAAGTGAATAAGAAAACATTGTTGATGTATTTGTAGGTAAAAGCTAAGTCGGTCCACTGAACTTGTCACTTGACAGAATTTACGAAGCATACAAAATGAGCCCTATGTTTTTGAACGTGTCTTCTGTGTTTTTGGTACGTCATGAAAGCCGTATGAGATCATTTTTTTCTTTGCATTTTTTTTGTTTTTTTATTTTTTGACATGCATGTCTATTCTGCTCGATAAATTTAGTGGTGACAATGATGTAATGTTTTCTAGAACTGGGTCGTAGTCTAGACATTTTTGAATCATGGTGCTGCCGGTAAAGGATATTGTTATTAAATGTATTAAATGTCCACCTAAAAGACAATAACCTAAGAAGGAGAAAAGGAATTAGGATGGAAGGAGTTTACTGAGACTTGATATAGAAACTATAATATGCTATCATAATAAACTACTTTATTTTTAAAAAGTTGTCTTCGTTCAATATAGTATATCTTTAGTTATCATTTGTTTTTGAAATAACTTGGACCACATTAAAGTTAAATGAGGTCCATTGSCTTTGGTTTAAGAATAAAAACAAAGAGAAATACCAGTTGAACTGACAGGCTGTCTATTATTCTAAGTAACGACATGTTACTGATACACTATTGTTCTATTTTTTAGAAATTTGGTATGTGATCAGGAATGATCAAAGATCACGAGCCAATGTACGCTTTTTCGGCAGAGCCAAATACTTCAATAGGCTCACATCATGGCAACACGGTATAGTTATACAAATTCAGATGTTAGAACTCAAAAGATTTACTCTAAAGCATAGAGCCACAGTGACCCGCTACTCTTGACACCCCCGACCCTTTTGCTTCAATAGGTCGCAGAAATCAACAGGCATTCGCTCCGATGAACTCGCCAGCCAGTACCAGCAGTCTAAAACGCCCGAAGCATCGAAGCATAAGAATGTTGGTCAATACATTTGATGAGGGTCCTAAGTGGGGGAGGGTGCGGRAGGTTTTTTTCCCATTTCCAAGCCCTCATTTTGACCAAATGACAGTCCCAGTCCCAGCCTTTGTTATGCTCAAATCTCAATCCCATTCCCATTTTTAAAATGTTTTTTGTTTGTTTGTTTGTTTGTTTGTGGATCTCATTTCCAGCGCATAAAATTCTATTTTCCCAGCCCAAAAAGGCGAAATCCCAGCTCCTTTGTTACCCCTTCAGGATCCTCTTTGATCCTCCACGTGTAAAAAGGTGTCCTAATATTTTTTTAATCACAAATATCCAAGACATACAATAATGACATCAATCTCTCGCGATCATCGTATGTGAATAAATAGAGGATATTACATGGGCGCGCGGCGGGAGATACGAATTTTATAAAATTAAAATTATAAAATTCGTATCTCCAAGTGGCCATGTAATGTTCTGTTTATTATATAGATATCGATGAAACTTAAATAAAACAAAAGCTCAAAAATTCTTTATTAAAATAGCAAGCCAATTCAACAGCGATATCTTTACGTGTGAAAGATATGGTATCTTCCACTAGTGAAAGATATCAAGTTTTCGACACTAGAGAAAACCTGGTATTTCATCGATATCTATATAATAATTCGCAATAACAATCATGAATCATGATGATTATTGTATTATATAAAGGTTTTAGGAGGCTTGATCATAAATGACGGACGGTGGACAAATATATACGGTTGCTCATTAGTAATTGGTTAATATAATATCTGGAACATCCAATGAAACTGGCAGAGGCATGTTTAGTATACTTATGATTATCATAGGCCGCACTGAGTTTTGTGTAACAATGTTATGTCATGTCATGTGGTTTTATGCTATTTGTTACTGCGGTAGACTGGTTTGTACTGAGCCACTTAATTCGCTATACACGCATAAAATAGTATATATGTGATTATTCATTATATTTGTTTCCTATTAAGAATATATCATCGGTGGTTTTATGTTATTTGTTACTGCGGTAGACTGGCTTGTACTGAGCCACTATATCGCTATACGTACACATGTAAAATAGTATACATGTGATTATTCATGGCTTTGTTTTCTAGTAAGAACATATCGTGTGGTTTTATGCTATTTGTTACTGTGGTAGTCTGGTTTGTATTTAGTTTTTATTTAGCTTTATTCGCTCTATACATGTAAGAATAACGAACTTTTTATTGTGGTTTGTTTGCCTTGGCGAAACAAATAAAGGTAACACCAAAGCAACTGAAAAGGAACGTTATGGACGTCATAAAGAGTATGCCGAAAATAAACTATAACTGAGCAAAAGTTAGTAAATCTGGCGCGAACGTATGCAGTCATTTCTCTCAGTACGTTTTGTGTTCATAGAGGTGTGTGCCATATCAACTGCCGGTGGCCATGTTGAATTACAGTATTACGTAACACTGAATAAAAGTCCTTTACTTTTGGGAAAGGATTTATTTCTCAAGTAAATTAAGGATTGTATTGTTCCTGCCATCACGTGATGGTGCAAAAYCTCTATATCTTGTGATACACCGATTAATTGTTCTACCTCCCTAGTTACTGTTGCTATACTTCGAACAAGCTAAAACATACACCGCATAGAACAAACACCGATTGCTGAAAATTTATAAATGTCTGTCTTAGAATCAACGCATTATAAAGGTATATTGAAAAACTAAATCGAGAACTTCTAAAAAATCTTATGAATTTGAGTTTGTTGGTCGCACGTTCTGTATTCCATTGAACCATAACCATTAGTGGGTAAACACTCAAGCATTGCCCGGTCGCCATAGATCGGACGTCTTTTCCGATTATATATTTCTCGCTCATTGGTTTAATACAGATCAGAATATATTTTAGTTGGCCCTGTACAGGATATGCCGTATACAGTATGCAAGATAGTTTTAAACTGTAGCGTCGAGCTAGCTCTATGCTGACGATACTCTTTGCACTGAAGTAATTCAGTTAGTGAAATCCAAACTCAGCTAAGTGCCGGCTTGATTAACGTCATAGACTGGCTTCAAGTCAATTTTYTAATACTTAACCTGGATAAAAAAGATCATGGTAGTTGGCACGCACCTGAGAAGATCGCAGCTACAGAAAGTCTAGAGATCGATATCAATAATACGCACTTAGAAAGGGTGAATAAGTTCAAATACCTTGGGGTTGTTTTAGATCGTACCCTATCCTGGAAGGAGTACATTGGCAATAAAATCTCGTCTAGAAGAGGTATGTTGCGTCGAGCGCGTAAGTTTCTCCCGAGAGCTACTTGTATAATGTTGTGTAATACCATAGTTTTGCTGCTGTTTGACTATTGCTCGTCAGTATGGGATAGCTGTGGCGTTGGACGTAAGGCTTATCCGGACAAGTTGAACAGGCGTGCCACCTACATTATCGAAGGACAGTCTCTTGGAGCCGATGAGTTAAAACAAACGCACAGCTGGCCAAGCCTGCAAGCGCGTAGGGAATATCTAAAGTTTGTATTAGTCTGTAAATGTCTGCATTCTTTTTTAAGCATGCAAATACCAGGGCCGCTTTAAGATAAGTGGTTTTCGGGAATATGATGCCATTCCTCGGAGCTCAAGGCAATTAGATAAGCTAAATGATTAAAATGAAGCTCAAACGTGATCTTCTTAAGAATGAATAATGAATTAATTAAATAATTGCGCGTTGGGGTGGGCGGGGGGTTGGGGAAGGGGTATGAATTGGAATAGNGGGGGGAGCTTTTATAGAAATGCACGCCTTAGAAATTATGGTTTAAAGAAGGGAATTAATTTAATCGCTAATTTGATTTTATGTCAAGTTTATGTGATGTCTATTATATTTATGTTACTGTAAATTTACTCTTATATCAGGACTCTAATTAAAGTAGCTTTGCTAAACTAGATGTCCCTGTGTAAATATTGACTTAAATAATAAACAAAATACACCACTGGCTGTGTATAGCTAATTCAGAATTTAAAGATACAGCTTTTTGTTTTTGAAAAAGTTGCAACTCGGTAAGTATGACATGACATGATATTTCAAAAAAGGATAATATAAATGACGCACGTACAGTTATGTATTTTTYATTTCTTATGTCGTCATACGTCTCTACATTTATGAGTAACTTGACCATCTATCAAAAAAATCCATTAAAAAAATAAGTGTAAAACTATTTTCGCCCTTATAGTACTATATTTCAGTTGTGTGTGTGCCGGTGTGTTTGTTCCCTTGAAAAAAAATGGTGTACATGTGCCATATCATTATTCAGGTATAGGTCAGGAACGATTCCAAGTTTTTTTTAGTAAAATAAATACAGATATTTCAAAAAAGTTTGGCCGGAAAGGCCGAATAGGCGATAGGCGCCAAGTGATAGGAGATAGGTCATTTCAAGATATAAGAAAGCTGGAATGGCTTGTATTGTATATTATTAATCTAGTCAATAGCACAGATGTTGTTGTGGAGGTATTTATTGTTGTTTGTAGTCGAAGCAACCATTTAAAATGCCTCGATCATTTGTGTTTAGATGTATGCCCACTGTGCCTTTCGGTCGTGCAATCGCCAATCACGTTTTTTGAAATAGCTGCATTTCATTTCCGAGTCACAAAAGGAAAATTTAATTTGTCCTTCAACAAGAATACTCCTCTATGGATCATGGTTTCGCATGTTTTCTCCTGTTGCATTAGAGCAAGATCAACGCAACTTTTTTCCATAAAGAAATTTCATTTCCGATCATAGAGCGACATTTCTATTACATTTTCTTACAACAACCTTACCCCTTTATCGATCAGTATTTCTTCCCCTTCCTAATATTTAATTTTTTAGTGTGTATTGCAAAAATACGTGACGTCATTAGTCATTGACATGATTACGATTTCCAAGGCAACCCGTTAGTYGTACCGAAAGCTTATTAGGGATTAACAACGGGGGATTACTTGAAGTCAGATTTGTTTTTATCAAAACTGATACCTTAATCAACTAGAATTATTATTCACCCTACTTCTTCCAATTAAGTCCAAAAACAGATTTTTTTTTTTTTTTTTGAATTTTGGTCGTAATTTTTCCTGACCCATCGTTATTAAAATGGTACTAAACTTAAAAGTAGCGAATTGTACAATAAAGCAAAGTTGTTGAAATATTCCTTATGATTCCTCGCAATCGCATTTTCAAATTTTGTTGTTTCCCTTCAAACTAATTCACTTCTCTCGTTTTATTTGTTTTTCCTTTTATGCTCCAATTTCAAAGAGACTGACTTGTCATTTAAGAATTCGTTCCAAAATTTCAAAAWTAAAGAATACCCTAGAAACTTCTGCTTTTTGTGACAATATTAAAAGATCCCATATTATGGCTCAAGACCCTACATTCAATAAACAAAAGTAACAACAAAGATTATGAAGTCTCTGATAGGCAAGGAAATTCCCTTGCTCTTGGTTGTATTTCCCGCCAACTCGTCGGCACAATGCGATTTTTTCAATATTATGACTGTTTGTTTTAATACTTTGATATATTCAGTCTTTCTGAGCGAGAAAAACTACGAGTGTAGACAAGGTTTAAAATTTAAAACGTAATTTATCGATATAAAGATACTTTGTTTTGAAACAAGATCGAGGGAAATCAAGATTTGTGCCAAAAGACTGTAAACATAAGTTATATGTCCGRTGTACTCAAACGCGCAATACAAAACACCTTTAGAAGACATAAGAACTTTAAGCCCTTTTACATGACCGCCCTGGACATTGGCTTATTGGCTTAGAAAACTTCTCTAAACATTGACAATTTCAATACAAATAGAAAATTGAAAATAATAATAAATGCACATTTCGCAAATTTTAAAGAAACCTTCGACAAAAGTATTTTATTATTCATACTAGCTCATTTCGTATTTTTAGCATCTGTATTTTCGCTCACTAGGATTGAGTTTCGGTAGTCCGAAATTTACATTTGAATAGTCGTGTTTACTCGTCTCTGAGAAGCTCCTGCCACCTGCTTCTCATAATGAATCTTACCTCCTACTACGCATGCGYGTAACTCGCAATTTTCCTTCTGTCTTCTAAGTTTTTCTTCAAAATAAAAAAACAGAAATGTAGTTCTAGAATTAAGCTTTAATGCTCACCTAAACGTAGAGTCAAATGCTATGCCAAAGTGTCAATTTACCCAGAATTATGGGTGCATATTTAAGAGTACATTAATTATGAATGACGTTGCAATTGCAAGTCGATTTTAGAAGGCTATCGCTAGGAAACTACATCGCATTTGCATTTTATCTGGTAAGATTCTGGTCCAAAACTCCGCATTTGAGAGAAAAAAGCGCCTGAAATTTCGCKTAAGGGGTTAGTTTAACGGTAAAACTTCGCCGAAAACTTTCAGAAAATTAATATTTCTAGACTTGGAGAAAATCGGGCTTTGAATACTTGGTTGCGAGAATGGATTTTCTTCGAACGATTATTTTGGTTTKGGTGGCAGCTTTGATGGAGATGACTTACGTTGCAAATGCTACGAATTCTTCAGGTAAGTTTCTGTTCGTCGGTTAAATTTTTTCTTGTGATTGGATTTTTGGAATAAAAGTTTTAGTAGTCACAAAACGGGTGTAGGATGGCTTGAAAACGCCGTGAAAGGTGTCCAAACTAACTAAGTATTCGTACTTCTCAAGATTAAAGATGGTGAATATATATAGCAACATAAATTAGCGAATGTAGCCGTSGATATAGCGGAAATTCTTCACACTAGGACAAAAATATCGAATTTTCTTTGCTTCTGACTTCTGTTTATTAGCACTGTCAGGATTTTAACTGAATCTTTTAATCTTGAAATCATTCATCAAGCTTCCTTGCATACGATTTACTCTATCTCATCAGACGAGAGACGAATAAAGCCTTGAAAAAGGGTTTCATTGGCAGGAAAATTCGCTAGCTCTTTATTACGAGATTTCTCCGAAGGATGGTGTTTAAGGACGTTGGTTTCGATAGACAAATGTGAGAAATCTTTGAGGTTAAAATCAGCGGACGGTTTAGCCGTTTGTTTATGTATTAATCTTGTTCTTAAATTTATTTMTTTCATTCATCCAGTTGGCCATTAATTCCCTAATAAACCGAGCTTTAGTTYAGAAATGGTGACTAGAAGGCGTAGATCCATTAAGTTGTTTAAGGGGAGTTAAACGTGAATGGAAACTTTATGTTTTAGTGGCCAATAAATAATTAAACAAGATGACAAACCGTGGATTATTTTTTATTCTAATCTTTCTTCTTCTTCGTGACCAACATATTTCGCGGCTTCCGTTGACAATGTTGTCATCATCAAAGCAATTCCAGGATCACTGATCCCCCTGATTTTCGAACAAATAACCGTGTTTCTACGTGTGTGTTAGGATACACTTATATTTATTTTAAGTGGAGACACTGATAGAAATTCGTATTGCGTCGGAGTTGATACCAATGCATCGAGAATGCATTTCTATACGGGATTTCTTATAGAATTAAAAAAAAAACACATCTATCTTGGCAATAGTTCATCTCTCAAGAAAGCTTACTTAACTCAAAACAATACTCTCTGCAAAACATTGACCGGCGACGTAACGACAGGGAGAATATCGAAAAGCTTATTTCAAAAACATATCTTWAAAAAAATTAGTTATTCTGACATCTGGCTGGAGACTGCAGTATTTGGAATTCTGAAGAAAATTCTGAGTTATCATTGTAATAATCCATTAAAATCCTAAGTAGCCAAGTCGAATGATTTCCATAATTGATGTTCACAAAGATTTTGGGAGAAATTTCCCTCTGCRTGATTCTTGAGGGAAGAAAGTCTTCAATATTTTATGAGATAACACTCGTAATGATATTCTTCTATTCCGAGCAGAAGTCAAAACCGCTATCCCGGATTTAAATTTTYGAGTGTATTTGATTTTTTGCGTAGCCAGCAGGTTGCGAGGCGAGATATTCCAGAACTTCGCGATAAAAACCATTTTCAGTGTTGAAGATCGGATACTCTCCCTCTCTCTTAAAAAAAACGAAACAAAACAAAACAAAACAATAATAATWATTATAGTACACTCAACAAAATTACTCGACTCTGATTGGTCGAGAGGAGTACAATTATAGCGTTAATTGTACTCCGTAGGAGTACCGAATTAAGTCGCTATGGCAACACGGCCAAAACAATGTCAAAACAATTATTTTCTATCATTTTGTATTTAAAAAACATATAAATAAAATTTGAAAGCTGTAAGAACTAATCTTTTTTATGCATTTCAGTTGCGCGATGGACTGAAAATCGGCCGCTAAATAGACAAAGATGAACGGCGTCGCTTCGCATTTTTTACTGAAATTTTGTTGAGTGAACTATAAACAAAAAAACACACGATCTTCTCGTACAATTTGGAATTAATAGACACTCGGAAGAACTTTCAAAACATTACTCGTGTCTATTAATTTCCAAATTGTACGAGAAGATCGTGCGATTTCCTATACTAATAAATTATAAATAAAATAAATTAAAAAAACATTTATTTGGTCGATTGGTTTGAATAAAAAAATCCTCTCGCAAATGCATCCTAAGCTAAAGTTCGCATAATTATAATATAAAGGATTGTCGAAAAAGAGTGAAAAAATCGATTGTGATATTTAATTCCGTGGTATTATGATATTTGGTCCTATGTTACACAACATCACTTAATTCCTATTCTTATTCATCACCGTAAAAAATATTGAAACCAGTAATTATCGTTATCGATAGTTATCGAAGTTCATTATTTCTCCAGCATTTAAAATTGAAGTTGAAACCTTGGCTGATAGACTCAAATTTCAACAACAGTAAAACAAGGGTTTCGTTCGAGAAATCTCAAAGTATATATTTACTGCAATGGTCTTACTTTCTGCTAAATCCAAAGGAAATAAATGTTTCTGCAAGAACATCCAGGAGTTTGTGAATTCTAACAAATTGCTGTTCAAACCGCGACTTTTTTTGGCAATTGACAATGATGGTAACTTTTTATATTAACTTGCTCCTGTCACGATTATCGAGTCTATAAGTTATTAATAATCAATAAATATTCCTGTCAGTCTTTGTGATATTAAAGAGTTAAAAGGAACAGTTATGTCGAAGGTAATATAAGACAAGGTTAATTGCAGGGTATAGGACACGATCGTTTATGCCGGGTGTATTGACGTTCTGGCTAGTACTTGGGTATATATGATTCTTCCAAAATGAAAAATAAAAATAAAAAAATAAAATAAGTATAAAAAAAGATATTAATGCCTTGTTTTGTGTATAAGGCTACTATGAAAATCATGATGTTTTGATAGCCGATTCTTAATGAACCTTCATTTTTTCCTAGAACGATTTTAATTATTTGCAGTCGGTGTTTACATATGTTTAACATTCAAACCAATTTCTCCGGTTGGAAAATTMATTCGCTAATGGTAAGAAAAGAGTGGGAAGCTTTAATAAAAAATGTTTCACGCGTCTATCAAAAGAACCGATAAGAGCGCTAAAAGTGGATTACCTCAATCAGAAGACCGAGTTTTCCGGAACTTTCCGATTGATACATACTCTTTGTTTTCTAACCGGAATTACCAGTTTTTCCGGATAAATGYTAAGCACTCCGTGTCTCAGTTATCATCGTAGTGTACTAAGAAGGCAAGTCTTGCGAGTGTCGGTTATTATCTTCTTCTTGCACAAGGAATTTCACTGTAATATTTTTCGAATCAGCGTATGATATTCCTTCATACCTTGTGGTTTATACAATTATCTGAACCATGCACTGTCTAGTCAAAGCTTCTTGCCCTGCACTTCACAATCTTCCAATAAATTTAACTGCACAATGTATGATTCAATACACAGAAGTACATAACAGCACAGTTATCTTTTATGGTAACAACACTTCATATACAGTCGGTAAGACGCATGCCTAGCTATCTTGCACTCATTCTTATGGCATGGAATTTGCACGAAAATAAAAATATGTTCTGCAGAAATTTTTAGGGCATTTTCATTCACTTTCTTTTCGTTCATGTTCTGCCATGTCACACACTTACGTCATCCCCACATATTTAGGAACCTCTCGTTGTTTACTGATCACATTATCCATTTGATTTCGTTGTTGCACGAGGTACATGAAAGCAGCTTCCATGTCATTATTTCTTCAAACTCATTGGCTCTAAAGAAGTTCGTTATATTTAATTTATATATGTGTACCGTGTGTTACTCTATTGTCGATGTTAGTCGTCTAAATGCTATTACAGRAAATCATGCATGTGCCTAAATTTTGCAGCTAAAAAGTTTGATAATTTCATTGTTGTGATCTATGTCACAATTCGTTTACCTACAGCGTGCGAGGTCCAGCCTCCATGTCCAAAGGTCATCCCAATCAATTGGTGGGAAATTCCTCCATACATCTACAAAGATAAAGATGATAATGGAAATCTAATTGGCAAAGTAAGTAGTCCTCCCTTTTTTTAAGGACGTTAAGTGAAATCGTTTCATAAGGCTAAGTGAAAGTATATATGCAGCAAAATCCTGTGTTTGCATCATTTATTTTGTAAACATTATCAGTGCCGAAGGAAGGGGTGCAGTATAATGTCATGACAAAATTATGTAAATCAGTTCTTCCATGACTCCATAATCCAAAACTTTTGATTTCTTTTTTTCATATTTGATCAGGTGAAGGGTATCTTCCCCACAGTCCTTGAAAGACTCTTCCAACACTGCTGTGGAGCTTGTGTCAATCTCAGTTACATATCCCACCCATACAACGATTCCGAGGAAGTCAAGAAACATATCGGAGAGAACGGTTCTCTTCTCAGTCTACCAGTCTATGGTGACATGAAGGAAATCAAATTCCAAACCTTTCCATTCTATCCGGTAGTCGAGTCTCCAGGAGTAGTTTTCATCGTGAAGAAGGAAGATTCATCGGCTGCAGCTACAGCAGTTATGAAAGCTGTGTTTCAAGGCTGGCCCGTTTTGTTGCTGACTTTGATTATGGCAGCTCTTTCTGGCATAATTGTTTGGGCTTTGGTAAGGAACGCAATCTTGACTTTATTGCTAACGAGATAGCTAAATATTTTCTTGCCGCACACTATACACCTAAAAAATTGGATACATCAATTTAGTTAAGGAAAAATGCAAGAAGTGTTATTTAATTGCCCTACTTCACTATGACGTCACATCAAAACAATATTCAACAATCTATTGTTTAAACGCAAAGGATCATGGTCGTCGGACGGGGTCAAATCAACGCAAACTAACCGAAAATTGTTCTAAATCCCGTATCATTCCACGAAGAGAAGTAGAATAGCCAGCAAACGCTCAGAATATTTTTTTAGTACATATTAACACACATTATATCTGAAAACCAGGCCATTTTAGATTAAACTGTTTAAATTTAGTTGAATTTCCTATTGGATTTGGCGATTCTATCCCCGACATAAACAAGCAGTGACGTCATAGTGAATTAGGTCAATTCGAGTTTAACTTCTATTCATGTAAACAGGACACATACTGGAACCCGGAGGAATTTCCTAGATCCTTTTTCAAGGGAACATGGGAAGGCTTCTGGTGGGCTTTCGTCTCCATGACAACTGTAGGGTAGGTGATCTAACTAATACTATCTAGTAGTGCTCGGTGCTTCAATCCAATTAACTGACCTTCTAATGGATGGATTTTCTCTTCTGTTTATAGGTATGGAGACAGAGCTCCGCGTTCAGTCTTGGCTCGTACATTTGCATTTGTCTGGGTTCTGATTGGCCTTGTTATCATTTCCATTTTTACAGCTACTGTCACAACTTCCCTCACAGCTATTTCGCTTAGCAACGAAATAAAGCTCTACGGTTCAGATGTAAGTAATAACAGATGAGCTGCCTTGTACCTTTAATTAGTGTACGTTAGTCACAGGAATGGGGCTCTGAAATGAAAGGCTGTAGGGTAGTTGACGTCTCAGGGCTTCGGGAGGGCTGTGCAGATGATGCAGGAAAAAGATCCATATTTTTACAGTATATTCTGGAAGATTTAAAAAATGTATTATTACATAATTTTCTTGCATAAATAGCATTCTTGGTTCTTACCTTTTGTCAGTAGTTTCCCCAATTCCTATATTCCAGTTCAAGAGAGTTTTTCTGAGAATTTCTGACTTCAAAGCAGCCTCAATTATATCATTACAAATTTGTGTACAGGTCGTTGCCTTGAAGAACACCGAGGAGCAGAGACTTGGGGTCAAAAGTAATGCTAAAGTTCAAGGTAAATGAAAGAATAAAATTCATTTGCTCGTTTAAGGAAAGCAAAGTTTTCTGTCGCTTTAGACCGACCCTTATAGAAATCACCTTTTGAGCCTTTCTTTGCTTGAATGACCGGCGACCACAATTCCTGCAAAATGTGCCGCTAGTGTCATATTCTTGGCTTTTTGCACACAACTGCAATTATTGAAATATCAGGTCGTTTTTAACAACTGCTCCAACTGTTCCCCAATAGAAAAGAGTACCGTCCAGCAGCTCAGAGATGCCATATTGGATACCGAAGTGGTAATCACAGGCGCTTTGCTAGACAGTTACGTTGCAGGCTACTGGGCTCAGGACAATTTTCCCCTTAAGGACGAAGATCTACGAGTTGGTACAGTTCTTGACCACCAGTTTGCTTATGGTTTCGTTATTGATGGCGTACTGAATGACGAAAAGTTTATCAAGTGCTTGCGTCAGAAACTAAACAGAATGGAGACGGAAATTACATCCATCATTCAGAGTCAGGCCAAGACAATGGAAGTAAGTCAATTTGATTTCCCTTCATTGACCACTTTCCACATGCCCGTTCACTGGCGAAGCATACAATACTCCTGCCGCCGCTGGGCCATATGATTGAAACCTGTTCCTTTCACTATTTGAGTCTCGAGCAAAAAGCTGTGTTTTATTAGTGAACTGCTTTATCAGGAAAATGGTCAGTCCGATTGGCTAACCAGTCGCTCGTAGTTGAGGGAACTCTAATTGCAACAAGGAGAACATATATATACCTAGTATTATAAAGCAAACAAACTAAAAGTAATCTAATTGTAATTCTTAGGAGGCCGGCCAGAGTGCAGCCGAGGAGAAGAGCAGCAATCTTTTCGATGCCAAGTCTCCAATTTTCCAGCAGGCTATTTACACATGTCTTGGACTTGTGGCTGCGTTGACCGTTTGTGGACTTATCTGGGAATTCGCTTACTGGAGACCTCGCCAACCTAAGGAAGCCAAAACAGGTTAGTTCATTAACCTTACGAACGAAAACATTACTTTGGTTGCGTTATTCGCATAGGATGAAAAATGGGGCCGAGGGGGAGGGGTGGTAGCCTACGTGCAGCCAAAAGTAAATGTGGTTAAGTCCGTATTAYCGAACCAGAAAGCTAAAAATGTTGGGCTGCAAGCAGGCTAGAGGGGTGCGGAATGAGCGTTCTTTCATGGAACCGGCTAAGCACACCCTTTGGCGAGTGACAGTTTGCTTAATTAAGTAAATAATTGCTTTACAGAAGTCGAACGCATCGTCCCCCAAGATACATCTTACGAGAACCTTGTAGCTCAGCAGTGCAACGAAATTGAGGAAGCTATGATGAATGAGGTACAGCGATTCTATATCGCATGGAACAAAAAGCTTGAAGAACTGAGGCGCCGCAACGGCCACATGAGCGCTAGTGATGTGAACGTCATGGGCATGGGCGGCGAGAGGAGCTTTTAAAGTTCCTCAGTCTTTTGTACAAATACAGATTATGACGACAGAAATGATCACGTCACTGGCATTCATCTTCACAGTTATTGTCTAATGGTACAATTATCATACATTCGTGATAAAGAAACAAACCTATATGGTTTCTTACATCGAGAACAAGTAAGCGGCGGTAATGCCACGGTTTTAACAAAAGAGTTGAAGATTTCAATCATAGCACAAATTTGCACACTTTCCGTCGTCATAATCTGGTAATGGCCCCGCTTCAGGATTACGTCACATCGAAAATAGACTGCAAGCTAAACTGGCAAGAATAATGTTGTTAGTAAAATGTCAATAAGATTTTTTTTAATGAAGCAAGTATTAAATAAGTTTTGAAAGGAACCTCAAACTATGAGGTGATGATTTCAAAATCTTTACCCAAAAATATGTTGCCAAGGAATCAATTGTCTTTTATTTGATATTTTGTTAAATCAATGTTTGGACTTTTCGAAGTTTTGCATATTTTTTTTGGTTGTTGCAAGAAGCCTGTTTAGCAAGTTCAGTCAGTCAGTTGCAAAGCTGACGTAATCTTGAAATCGAGCCATTAAATTATCAATAGTATATTATACTATAATTTGCACTGATATGAATGAAAATTACGATATTACAAGATGTACACTAATGGGTCTCCCAGATCAGACCGGGTTTGCCACCAGTATGTTGGACAATTTCTAGCTCACGGGTATATTTGTTTATATACCGTTCTGAGACAGAGCTCGTCTGGGCCAAGTAATACGAAGAATCAAAAGAGGCACCAAAGAATAATTATTAACACTGACATACATAATACTTTTGATAAAATTCCCGCAAGATAGTCCCAAGCAGATCACTACGATCGTCTGGGTTTCTTGGGAAACACCGATTTACATCACACAGCATATCGAAATGATTCCGTGAGCACACTGATGTCTAACGATGATCTGTACCAATCCAATTAGTCCAATTAGGTTTTTTAAGCTGTAAATTAGAGTTATACGATACCCCGGTATAAATTAAACCATTAACATTGAAATATTTCAATAGCACAGATTGGCCACTTTTGTGACATTTTTTTACGACAGTAATGAACCCTTCTCAAAAGTATCATGGATATGAGTTTAACATGGAAATACAAAAAAAAAAAAAAAAACGCCACAAATTCCATCAAGAAAAAGCGTGATTTCTTTTGTATTAATTTCCATTAGCTTCGTATGCATGATACTTTTGAGAATGACCCATTACTATTCAGTTGATACTAATAAAATTTGAATACATGCATTGCACAGACCTATATGGCCAAACCAGCCATTCTTCGTGGGGTGTAGTGAGCCAATTGATAGGATTTTGCTGCTTTTGTGAGACTGCTGGAATGCCGTTTCGCTGCCACAGTTTTCTTATTGATTCCATGTCAAATATAAATTGACAATGTGGCGGCGGCAAAAAGGATTAATTCAAGACGCGGCAACTAATGTAAAACATAGGTCTATGAAAAAGACTAGTAGTTCACTTATCATAGAGTGGTAAATATATCATATAGATTGAAGCGGTATTTTACTAAACATTATTTCAAGTTGTTTTTCATAAGCACATTATTTCGACGTACTTATACACCTGCTTTTAAAAAAACGTCGATCGAAAATCTGAAATCTGAGACCAAGTGAAGATGATAAAAAATGTAATATATTTACAGCAGAACAACGTAGCTTGCTTTTTGGATTGAAATACGATACATGACCTTTGAGTTAGGAGTGTCAGAAAACGCAAAAGCACAAAAATTCCGTTCAGTTTAAGGTCACCCCTCCCAGATCTCAAAACGTTTTTTTTARAAATAGGTGTAAATGAGAATATATCACTAGAATTACTATACGCTGGAGGCAGTTAAACACACACTATAACGGTCTACTTAATGAATCGATCTAAGCTTTAGCGTGAGAAAATTAATATTTGCAGACTCGATAATTGTCTTACCTTACACTTGTCGAAAAAAATAACTGCACCACGTCTGCATATGTATTGCTTATGGTTGTGCTTGGCTAACACATTGGATGCAGCAAATTCAAAGGTTTAGAAAATAGACACAACACTTGCGTAAGTAGCGCGACCAACCATCTCGCTACCCAATTCAAGTTTAATGCTGCTATCCAAAAAATGTGACTTCTTTTTGGCCGCGACCTAAATGGCAAATACAACAGATGTTAGCTGTAAAAATTCAGATTGGGCAAACGCTTCTGTTCGCACAGATCCATTTGCTCGATTTAAGAACTGTAAAAGCAAAGAATATTAGTATTAGACTCATCTTTAATAGCAGCTAAATTTACTGCCTTATATAAAATGCTTGCATCTCGACTAACGAGAAATGCATACTCAGATCATCCAGCACTACGTCCCACGCCCTATTACGCTTATTACACATTTCCGTTGTAATGAGGTTTTGTTTTCGCGAAATGCGTATGCGAATATTTTTTTAAAGATTTCATGCTCACTAGGTGAACTTTAGCACAAATAACATTGACAATATGTTAAATTTCAAATGCCTGCCGTATTAGTGTGTAAAATCACTTTGCAAATAAATTAAACAGGTTGTGGATCAATCTAAAAGTGGTGTGTTTCTTCTTTTTAAGTTCGTACTACTTTTTGTTTGTTTGTTTGTCTGTTTGTTTTTAACACAATGACTGCTGAATTTAAGTCGACAAATAATCAGGCACTACAAATGCTGGATGAACTGCCGAAGTTTCATACCTCAACAAGTTGTACTATAGAACACGAGTTTGCAATTGTGTAAAGGGCAGACAGTGTTTAGAGAGACTAGCTACCACCCCCTTTAGAATATAAAAGAAGAATCAAGGAATCGGCATTGTCACTGTAAAAAAWCGTACTCGAAATAGAGCATCTTTTCCTATTTGTTGAACTAGCATTACACCTAAACTGAATGGGCATGCCCGTCGCTAGAAGTAGTTCGAAGTAGTCCCCCTTCACACATACACAAAAAAAAAAAAAAAAAAAAAAAAAACCCCCAAAAAAAAAAAAAAAAAAAAAAAAAAAAAAAAAAAAAGATCCAATAAGGAAAAAAGGTTTGCACTCTGACATGACAGCATATTTTGAATTTATTATATTAAGAACCTGCTTCGAGGCGCTAAGAGAACTATTACTATCATATATGTTGTCTTTAATAACAACGTACAAAACTCTACCAACATATAACTATGAAACACAAGAATGTGGAAAATAAGAAAATTAAACAATATTCAAGAAAAAAATTCAATGAGATTTTTCCTTGCGAATTTTAAACAGCAACAGCATCGTTCACCGTGGAATCTTGAGGTTGCCCTAATAACTACTTGAAAGTACAAGTTTGCTATCGATCTCCCATAGTTTGTTTTGTTTTGTTGATTAGGTAATTTGCATTTTCCCAGTTGAAATAAAGACTAATAACTCCCAGTTGAGATCCACGGGATCGCGAAACTTTGACGCTAACTTTAAGACGCGAGATCAAAAATGTTTTACGCCCCCAAATAGACTTTTTTACTGATACGGCGGCCATCTTGAATTATGGGATGCGGAGGGGGCAAAGAAGCGAACGAAAAAAATGTATAAAGCATATGGTTGCGGGGTAACGCTTTCAAATAATTTGAAGTCTTTGTGTTTCGCATTTTGTTCCAACTACCAGCAAATTTATTTTCTTTTTATAGATGTAATTTTCGTTGAAAAGCGCAAAGTTGTATAAAAAGACATCCTGACATCTATAAATTTTCGAATAGTTGCCCCCTTGGCATTCCATAAAGTCTTGATTCAAACAATACGTTGGTACCATGAGGTCATTGTGATGCCTATTTTCTGATTATGAAGCACATGGTAATGTTATATTATACTTATTTTATTATTGCAATAATAATAATAATACATTAAGTAAATTTCTTTCTTTTGAACAAAAGTAAAATCTATTTCTTACTAAAAATACCACCAAAAAGCTTTCGAAACCTGTGCAAGCACAAAATCTAAGAAGACTTCATAAAGCAACAAAGATCTAGCAATATCATAATATAGACAATATAAACACATCAGTCCTGATAATGGCATATCACTTAAAGTGCTTATAAGCCTTTGCACRATATTTTCAGAATTGATTCTTTAGATAGTGCATAGTTAATTGTGAAAATATTTCGTCATTTGAATGTCGGGTCTTTGAGATACGAAGGTTTATATTCCCAATATGTTAATGACTATGAYGTAACATAAGGGATCATTTGATATACAACACCGCACTCGTTCTGGAATACAGTATTTTAAAAGCATTACCCTTTTACTCGTGACTCACGTAAAGTTTCTTACAATTTTGTTTTCAAAAAATGTCCAGCGTTCAATAATAAAAATTACCACAAAATAACTCAAATCCCTTGTTACGTTTTCACAATCAACTATTCACTATTTAAAGAATCAATTCTGAAAATATTGTGTAAAGGCTTATAAGCACTTTAATTATATACCATATCTAGAGCGGTATATAAACAGTCTTGAGAATTGAAAGAAACTAGATAACTCGTAACTTGAAACTAGTTATTAGATATTATTCAGTAAAATAATTTTAATATATTTATCATATGTACATCAAGCCACCCTTACCCAGTGTTAAAATAGTTCATTCATTCATTAAACGGATGAATCATTTTGACTTTAATAATTGCCTATACTTTACTAAACTTTATTATACTCGTTAGTTTTCTACTAAGAGAACTCGATTTCTTTCTTTGTGTTATAAGTTTTACTTCAGTATATTGATGGACTAAGCTAAGCGTAGGCTGTGATGTCAAGTATGCAATATTCACTAGGGAAGTTTTTCCCGACMATTAAAAAACGAATAAAACGCAACAAGACAATAAAAAATGATATTGCACTGAATTCTTCGAAATTCGGAGTGGTCGACGGTCTTGTCAGTGATAGCCTCGTTTTTATTTCAACATAAGGTGGTACTGTTTACTTCAAGAAAACGTCGTCGTGGGGTCTCTTTTATCCCTTCCCTTCCCACCCATAGGTTAATTCTACTAATAGGAATAATTTGGCTATGAGTTGTTTTGTTCAACATTACGAAAAAACCATTCGGTGAATTTCCTCAGCTGACTGGATGCTGTCCGTAGGTTTTCGTTCAGTTTCTTGTTTTCTTTTAGTGCCCTTTTCAAATCTGATTCCACGCGTTGCTTTTCTTCACCCTCCTGTGAATAAATTAAGCATTTTTATCATTGATGAGAGCACATGTATATGGGGCTCTTCAACCTTTCTCTCCACTTTTCCATTCCTGATATATTTTGTGAGAGCGATATGGGATATTTAGAAAAGAGAGGGTAACAAGTGGTGTGGCTTTCAGATTAAGGGGGTGACTACAAGTTCTTCTATTACTTAGTATAGTGGCTCCTAACTCTCCTTCTATACTCAAACTAAGTCTCAAAAAGAACACCATGCATTTGACCACTAAGCCCCCCCCCCCTCCCCCCTTAACGATTTCTCAAGGCATGGTGCTTGGAAAGAATAGAGCTACAAAGGAGAGCTTAGAACTAAATAGTTGGCAACAGGAAAATGAGAAAACAGGAAAACGTCGTCGTGGGGGATCTACTGGAATCATTTACTTGGAGTACACGAGCTTCTCAACTTCATGCCTGATGTGTTAAGTTGGCAAATGGAAGCATGGGGAGGAAACTCTCAAGGAAAAATGAGGAATTAAGAAGTGATTTGAATCTTATAATTAAAGTGTATATGTATTTATTACCTTCATCAGGGCATTCGATACAATAGCTAACTTCATTTCTAGCTCTGCTTCACGACCAATACTCTCTCTTGTAAAAGAACTATCGAAAAGACAGGACTGTGATTAGCTTCCAAAGAGGGTAGGGTAATGTATTCTGGGATAACACCTTAATAACACCACAAGGATTATCAGAAGAATAAGAAATAAAGCAGTGTCACAGCGTGCTGAATTATGGTGTGACTATGTATTCTCTTGAGATAGTTCACAACTTACCTTTCTCCACCTGATGGCTTACTTGCCTACAAATAAAAACAACATAAAGTTTAATTCAGAAACACTATAGAATAGTGTTGCAATTTAGATTAGAACAAAATAATAAATTGGCTATTCCTTTGTTCCTCTCGCAAAAAAAATAAAAAGAGAAATACTCATCAATGTGTATCAGTTAAATAACCTGAATAAACACACATAAAAAGATAATATCTACTAGAGTGAGTTTAAGTCTGACCCATGACAAAAAAGTAAGTATAATGTATAGTAGTAGACAAGATTTCCGATGTTTTCTTTTGTTTTGCTTCAGCTATATTTACCAATTATACAAATTTGTTTCACGAGGCACGTAGTATCACTCTAATATTTACAATTTTACTATGGCAGGGATTGTAAAGCCACTTCATCAATAATAATGTATACATTTTAACTCCCTCCATTACTATGTGTAATCCCCTCCAAAATGGAAACAATATTTCTATGACTATTTTCGGGGTTAATGTTTAAGATGCCTCCGAGGATAATTCAACAGGTAATGGATTTTGATGAACCATTCTTCGCACACCTCAGGAATCACAGACTACAGTGGAAAACAAAATACCCAGGAAGTGACGTGAAGTCATAACATCAAAATAATTAGACTCGACATCAATTCAACCCGACTTTTCTTTTTTCTCATTAAGAATAATTTGAATAAGAATAACTTGCCTGTAAAATGAAGAGTCTCGTAGTATAGAGGAGAAAATGGCGAACATATAAAATTAAATGCGAGGAAATTTACGGTTTCGTGAAACATCATTCATTTGGAACAAGTAAACACGACCTCAGTTAGTTCGAAATTTGTCTGACTAATCCCTTATCAAAACTTGCTTTGTAAATGAAGCTATAGCATGAAATCCTCACCGACGTATCTCAATTTTCGCATGCGCTTGTTCCCTATGGTATTTCTTTTCGAAGATACTGTAATACTGTCTTTCTTGGCATGGAGTTAAGAGAGGAAATATCGAAGAACCACCTAAAATGACGGTTACATTCGTAAAAACCAAAGCCAGAGTTTGGAATAGTTTAAATACTTACAGTGTTGGCTAATAACCGGTCATCGAAACTATGYCTTCTTGGCACGACAGGGATGTGAAACTTGTGTGGTCCATGTGATTTGCCACGACCTAGAGGAATAAAAAGAATAGAGAACTTAGAGACAATGATCTATACACGCTGATCTTGTACACAGGAGGTGATGTCATGTTGTTAGAGTGTCATCATTGTCGTCCATGCTCTCGATATTCGTTCTGTATGCATAGATAAATTAAACACATCACGCCAAGACTTGAATGGACTATAAGCAAGTGTAGTCAAATGATAATCCTCTCACCAAAGTCCGAATACTCATTTACTAACTTTTTATATACATTGGAAAAATGTTTTGTTCATCGGAGGCCATGAGGACTTACTCAAGTTATTTGCTTCCAAGCTATTCGAAATAAGTTTGATTTTCTCGACTTTAGCTTCTTTCCACTGCACAACAAGGCAATCGCCAATTTTCCCAGGCATTTAGACAAATCAGGAACAAATATACCGCAAAACAACTGTTTAGCGTTTGGACTCCTTTCTTCGTAACAAAAACAATACCGCTATCTTAAGTTAATCAAGTAAGATTACACCTTTGTAAACATCTTGGAAAACTTCGATAATTATTTGCACAAGGTAAGCTTGTGTTATGAGACTCGTGTTGGAACGAAGAAGACTCGATGTTAGAACATTCCCAAGACCGTTGGATGATTACTTTGTGCTGTCAACATGTGGCAGTTCCTTAAAATAATTCATGTTACACATCATAAGAGCACCCTGTCGAGAGGATGGGAGGAGAGGGAGGGGCTATTTAGTCACTTTGGATAATTGAACATCAATTCTTATGTCACAACGCAATAGAGTGCATAACCATGTATTCGTGAAAAAATTAACTAACACAATTTTACAAATTAGTGCAGAGTTTAAACTCATTGCAAGCAAAAATATAGAATAAATGGTTTAAAATAAATCACTTATGGTTGAATGGCACTGTCACTTTTAAGGATAACTTGATTTAACTGCAAGTAACTTTAATAAATGGACAATATGTAGTAGCTAAAAATATTGGGAATATTTTACCAATAAGAAAAGGAACACTGCCCAACATCGTTCAGCATCTTTCTCCCATATGCGAATATTTATGCAAGGATATTTGGATTGAAATAACACTAGCATAACACGAGTGGATCAGCATAGGTTTGTTTAGTCAGCCATGCCTAATTATAGTGCCTCAGTGTTTGTGATRGGAATATTAATGTCACTACACGAAAACAAATAAAAAATGCTAAGTTATTTTAACAGGGATTAAGTCCGAATCAACCAGAGGGAATGTTGTCACGAACATCACGATACCAAGAAAATTGTACAAATATGTACTTACCTGTTTTTCTTAAACAAACTATATCATATAGTGCATTATTTTTTATAGACTATGGCAAAACGTTTATCAAATGACTTCTGAATACAAGAGAGAAATCCGCATATCAAAAAAAAACACATAATAATAAATGAGTAGAGGTCAGTAAAATGAGATGCAAAGGAGTTTTCGTTCATTGTTACTAGGCAAGGACTTCAATGATGAAGTCAGTCTCGTAAAGCAATATTATATGAGTTGCCGACGAGTGAACGATAAAAATCAAGTTTAAATAACAACTACAAAATTATAACTCTAGAAAATCAGGCAATTATAAAATAAACCAGTCAATCAATTGAGATACTGTATTCCTAAGGTTTTACCTTTGGACCGCTTTCCAAACGACCAATTCTTCATTTCGCTTGAAAGCCTAACAATATAACGAACCACTTTTGCTTTCAAAACCAGAAAAATAAACTGTTCCAGCAGCACGATAGATATCCGATGAAGAACAAACGAAAATTTTCTCAGCGATTTTTCTAAAATAATTTGTTAATTTATCTTTAAATAAAAGCCATGTTTTGTCGTTCTTGCTTAAAGTCGACGGGATGATATAAGCACCGTGTATGGCTTTGAGTGCATGTCAGATGGATAAGTAAGAGAACATCAATATTCATGCACCAATATGCTTATTCCGTTTGATATCCGAGTGGATCAAAAACTCGGAAGTTTTGAGCAGCACAAAGGGATATTAATCCATACGTGACACGCAGGAAGAAATACATTTTTTTCTAGTATATAGTCACATCGTGTAAAAAAGAAACTTTTGATTAAATACAGACGTTAATATAGAAATAAAACTMTGAATAAAATAATCGATGAATACGCGACCAAGCCAAGTCAAAATAAAGCTCTAACGAGACAGGTAACAGCAGCTCTGTCATTTTTCCGATAATTGACAATTTGAAGGATGGTTTTCAGACTGTGACAAATGTGTTTTTTATAGCATCTTAAGAAAATAACTTTAATTTCATAACTTTTCTTAATTTAATGTAGTCGTTAGCACAAATTCTTTTGTTTCTTTGCTCTTTGCAATTAATGGTAATATGAAAGTGAAAATTCTTCCCTTTAACTATTCTGCTGCGACGCCAGAAAGTCTGAACTAAGTCATTACGACGACCAGAAAATGAAAAAGGGACTGGCTGACTTGATCCGGCGGAATAAGGGAAATTAAAACTAAAGCCTAAAAGTGCACATAATTCCTTCAGTAAGAGGGTAACAGCTGGCCTTGCTTTCATTACATACAATACACATAAAGACAACGTTAGCCCAGAGATATCTAAGTCCTCTTTCGCTATAAACATAGGAAACCCACTGCTATTAATTATGAACAGAGCTATTTATACCACAGGAATCCCACTCTCTGAAAAAAATACCATTTTTTTCTATGAACTTTTACGTTAATTTGTATACAATTTCGGTTTTTAATAAGTAGTTAAATATTGTGAAGCCAGTTGACGGAGGGATGACAAAAGCGGCACCACAACAGGTATTTGAGTGCCCTCGACACACCTTAAAAAGTACTCAATATGAAAACCGATGGCATCAAAAAGATAAGGTTACCGTCCATGAAAAAAAAAAAAAAAAAAGAAATTGAAATGTAATCAAAGAAACAAAGCCATCTGTTAAAGGCATGTGCTACGAAAATCAAATTTCCCTGCTCCTTGTTGACTAATATATTGCGGAGATAGGTATCGAAGCTTATTGAAATAATAATAGAAACTCAGAAGTTATGAGTTAGACCTAATATGACTGTAAGATAACCGATCAGCTAGCCGGGCTATCTGTTAATCTTAATTAAAATACAGAGCTAGGGGTTATTATCATCACACTGTGTTGTATTGTATTTGCCTGTGGCTGGTAATTTTTGTAATTTTTCTCGCGTGGTTAAGGCGGCTACACAGTATCATGAACTACACGAAACCTGATTTTTATTTCAAAATAAATTACAGTAAATACAATAAAATACTATTTCTTTTCTTTTTCTTTTTCTTTTTCTTTTTTGGCCATGATTTACAATTGTGATTAGAGTCATAATAGGGAAGCAAATGATGACCTCGAAGGAAACTGAAAGATAATTCGCGTAGTGTATTGACGGAAGGAAATAAATAACCTCACAAGTGGAATCACTCAACATTTTCAATTCAAATCTGAATTCAAATCAAAAGATGACAAGAGACTATAATCATGTGTATGTAGTATGACATGGAACTAAATCATCAACAGTCAACTGAAATATCACAAATCACCAGAGACAATTTCAATGCGAATAATAATCAAAGAAACTTACCATGACTTTTAATTTTTGCCATCGCCTTCTCCTTCTTCTCTCGTTCCTTATTCTTATCTCTTTCTCTTCGTTCGATTCTGTCTTTATCGTCTCTGACGGTGGACTGGTTCTTGGACAACAAATCTGACGCCTGCGTCAGCGAATGTAGTACATCTTGGGTGACAACAAAATTCGAATCGTGTTTGGTTTCTGCTGTAGCACTTAAAAGGCGCGCGGTTTGATCGACCACAGAATCGGTCGGTTCCTCGCTGGCACTTAATTTTAACTTCGTTATACGGGCTCCTTTTAAGTGTGGGTATTTATGGGTACGATTGTCCCCTGAGGATCTTCCCCTTTGTTCTTCTCCATCCCGCGGGAAACTAGTCGACTTGGTGGTTCTGTCAAACGTGGGCTTGACCTCTTTGGTATCAGTCCTACTAAGATCCCGCGAACCTGCCCCTGCCCTTAAGTCCTCATCTGATGAGTCGCTATCATTCGGTTGCCTGGAGACGTAGCGATGTTTGCGACTTGATTTATACCTAGGAAGAGTTGATGCTTTTTCGTCTGATAAACCAGAACCTCCTGAACTGGACAATTTTATCTTTCTTTCGGATCTTACCACAGGTTTTACAATACGAGCTTCGGGTGTTCTCGGGATGGGGGGTCGCTCTGTTGGTTCTAGTCTCTCACTTCGTTTTCGCCTACTGTGACGCCGTTGAACTGGTTCACTAGTATCTTTAGTCCTTGATGAAGTAGCGTACACTTCATCACCAGATTTAGACCTTCCCGTTAAATCATTCTGCGATGACACGTGTTTACTTCTAGAAACTTTTTCAACCGCATTCACTTGCGCCTTGCTGACATCTGCAGGCGTACTACGGCTTTTAGCATGGTAGATCTTTAACCCTTCCACCCCTTCATTCCCTAAAGCATGTCTCTGGCTTTCTAGTCGCTCAATAACGTTATTTCTTTGAGCTAACCGTGCACCATACTCCTTGGTCTTCGTCGTGCTTTCGCGGATAACTTCTGTGTTCCCGCGAGACACTTCGACAACAGTTTGGATCCTTCCCTCTGTACCACCGAGGTCTTTCTCCGCCTGTTGTAACTCCTCCAGTATCAGTTGTACCTGGAGCTCCTCATGGGACAACGCCCTTGCCATTTCGCTCTTTATTTCATGCGCGACAATCGTCGGTGTCATGTTACCCTCCTTTCTGACTTGTTCTTGTTCGTTTTCATGCCTGTTAAGGGATTCTGAAGACCTTTCTCGTTGTCTTAGTTTAAGATCTTCAGTGGATCCTCTTGGACTTTTTCGGCCGCTTTTTCTAAGGTTGGAGGTTCTATCAAACTGACCATAATCGTACCTTGGTGAGTCAGTCACGTTGGGCGTCTTGAAACCAAAGGCCTTTTCAATCTTATCCATTGTCTCAGTCATAGACGCCTCGTTGAGTTCTTCATTCTCGTGCGTATACGTGCTAGTTGTGGTCACAACAGCACCAAGTGTAGTCTCCTTATAAGGAACTTTTTTATTCTCGCCATTGCTTTTCTCCTTTAGGTTGTCTTTAGGGGTGTCGTACGCAAATCGTTGATGTGAATCATAGTTATTCTCGCCATTTCTTACTGACGATGGATCCAATACTATAGCCTCGCCATCTAAAACGTCATGATCGTTCAATACATTTCGTCGATGACGATCTGAACGCTGCGAGGTGCTGCCGAATAAAGGCGTCTCTGGGGGCTTCGGGCTGACACCTGGCGACTGAGGCCCACTTGCTATAACATAGAGTGTCCCTTTAGAAGTAGGAGCTTTTAAGGTGACTCCCACAGAACTAGGTACGGGATTCCTTTCCTTCTCCACGACCGGCGAAACTCCACTCCACTTCGGCCTTGGAGGATTCAAATTCTCATACGAACTAGATGAGCCCTGTGATCCGTGGTTAATTGGGGTCCTGAAATCATTTTCGTTGCCAGGTGTCACCGTGATTTTGTAGGCAGCACCGTACGAAGGGGTGTGGGCACGCCCATCGTCGTTGAGAGTCGAGGAACTTCCAGTGACGGACGATATCGAGCTGTTGGTCGAACGGGTATCCTCACGTGATCGGTGAGGTTTTAGGTTTGAAATGATGCTAGAACTGGAACCAAAAAAATGGAATATTAGTTTTAGCCTCGACAATCTCAAATAAAACAGCATGCTCTGACAGAAATTGAGACTATAAAAAATAGCGTCCACAATGGTTACTGAAAATTTGTCAGCAATAGAGGCATTGCACCATGCATCACGTGATGGTAGCCATAACATGAGGCAGAATTAATCCGGTCTATTCTGATTAACATCAGAAAGAATGTAATTATCCAAGGGTAATGTTGTGCCTCCTGTCATGGCTGCCATCAAGGGATGATACAAAGCTCCAATACAGTCCGTTTTCAATCTTGTAAAATACTTCTGCTTTTTTGACTACAGACTCATTTAGTTCGGGTCAAGGTTAGCGTAAACATTGTAAACGAATATTAGCGGTAAGCAACAGTAAAACAAAAATGCACGCTGACTTTGAGTACACAAACACTTTGAAATTATGCGGGTCTTCACGAAAACGCAAAGAAATATTCTGCACACAATCGAACACTACACCTAACCAATGAAGAATTGGAAACTAGATCATTTAAAAGATTTTAAGCTCACCTTCCGTCCGTCTCCATTTCGTCACCCGATCTCTTAGACTGACTTTTTGGCGCCACTCTTGGAGGAGCCGTGAGATAATAGGCCGAATGATCACGTGATTCGTGATCATCTCCTACGGACGTGGCGCTGCCACCATATGACGAGATGGTACTCGTAGAAGATCTGGCCGACCACCAGTAATGTTGATTGGAAGCCTGAACACCTCTAAAATAAGATTAAATAGAAAATGCATTAGTCATTTGTTTTTCATATATATTCAAAACAAACGTTATTGCTTTGCGAGAGGAACACACCTTAGGCCCTAGTTCCATGGTCAAGATAGAAATGTCTTAAATWTWTWTWTWTTTTTTTAACAAAACACCTTACTGGGGAGGACGAAACAAATGTTACAAGGCGGGTTTTAAGTCTTACTCTTAGCTAACTTCCTGTCATTCTTGTTCAATTCAGGAGTATCCGTGGGGATCTTCTCCCTCTAAATGCTAACTGAAAATAAGTGAGGGATTAACTCAAGGTCTTTAACCTAAACAGCAAAAGGTCAACAGAATAAATCGAATCCCTGTCGTCTCCGGTTTTTCCTCCCTCCTCTCAATAGCGGCTGTCAGAGGTGTTAAATTGCTTTCAATTCAACACCGCCGAGTTGCGCTATTGATGTACTTGCGGTGGTCAATAGCAATAACAGTGTTCAAGACTCAGGATTTGCAGCTGCATAAGTTGCTTCATATGCTGCGAGGATCAGCTCAATTTGATAAAATAAAATAATATAATATAAAATAATATAAAATAATCATCATCATCACTCACTTTCTGGGTTTCCCACTGGGAAGTGGAGATACGACAACTACTGTCACCGAACCAGGTTTTCTCAGAATCTCAATCATCTGTTCGTGGGTTAACGTGGCCATTATCAGCCCATTGATCTGAAATTACATTTACAGGTTAGCCAGCATCAAACAGTCATAACACTTAAACAGGGGCAGGGAGGAATATACTGATACTTTGTTTCATTTTTTTGTAGAAGACAACAGTTTTATCTCTGGTGTATCATAATAACAAGGGTTGTAAAGGTAGTGGTAATAATTGATATAAGATGATGAAAACTCCAATAATAGTGGTGATAGTGATAATGATCATTATTATGGCTATAATAATTGTGGTAGTGTTATGGTGATATATTGATGATGATGATGATGATGATGGCAATAATAATAACGATAACAATGGTATTAGTAGTTGTGGTACTAAAGGGGGTGGTGAGATAATGTAATAATGGTGATGATGATGAAATGATGCTAATGTTAATGACGGTGGGGTGATAGAAATGATGATGGTGATGATGATGATAGTGATGATGACGATGATGGCAATAATAATAACGATAAAAATGGTAGTAGTAATTGTGTTACTAAAGGTGGTGGTGAGTTGATAATGTAATGATCTTGATGATGATGATAGTGATGATGCTGATGATGACAATAAAAACAATAACACAATGATAGAATACCTCTACTAATCTACACCCGTGTCTCAGCCCAGCTTGCCAGGCATAGCCGCCAGGTTCAACATCAGCCACCAAACCTTCATACTGTACGTGAAAACCAAGTTGACCATGAACGTTACGACGAAGCGTTATCGTCTGCGTCTGCAACGAAAAGTTACTTTATCACGTTAACAATAATCAGAGAACGCGGAGAGAAAGAGCTGAGGGTCGGAGCTTTATCCTCCACAATTTTTTCCTCTTTTAGAATTATACACACTAGTCTTCTATATTTTCATATCTCCCCCCCCCCCCCCCCCCCCCCACCCTTATAAACACGCACACATGCACTTTCGATAGTTAACCGTGATGCTTCATAATACGTGACATGAAGTTTACCACAAGAGCGCCGATAATTTATGATCGCCCGGCGTTAAGATTTTGATTTGTCTGTAAGAATTGATGAAAAAATATTTGTTAAAAAAGATCAAATTAATATTCATAGTTCGTTACCTGGCAACCAATAGTCACAGCCTCTAGTCTACGAACAATCTCAGGCAGATCATCAGAATCTGAGGTTGGGATGTTGAGGACCAGGCAGTCACCACCACCATAAAACACTTTGATGCTAAGAAAAGAAAAAACACAGTCAAAATGAGTTATATAAAAGCTGAAATTATGTTCTGCCACTGGTAACGTTTTACACTGGTTTTCATAGACCAGTTTCCGTAAGACCGTGAAAAGCTCACGGCACGAACACGGTCGTGTCACGGCTTGGCATACGCGAGCCCAATCACATTACACGATAATTTGCTCTTCAATCCCGAAACACGGCATAAACACGGCGCGGATACAGTCACACCAAGGTCACGGCTTTGCCAGTCCAATCACAATGCACGAAATAATCTCCGAATCAAAATTCTATAAAACATCACGGTCGCAGTAAGGCACACATACGGCACCGACTTTTTTACAGTCAGACGAAAACTTCTCTAACTTGATTACGCAATCATTACTGCTCAATGCGTCTGGGTTTTTGGCGTTGGTCAAGCAATCATAAAATACCAACTCCAGCCGTTCGAAATTTAATTGACTTAAGACAAAAACATAGGTATGGACTAAATGCTAACAGGTTGTCTGGGCTGCTGAATTATCATTTGAAATTGGGTATGAAGCAATTTGGAATGAGATTTTCAAGGCCAAATTATTGGTCCTGCATAAAGATGATGGTTGCCTTAGTAACTCCCCACCCCCTCACTAAGGCCCTTTTTTATAAGATAAATGCCGATCATTTTGTCAAATTGTTTTTATGATCAAATTTAGACTTTTGACAACATTTTAGCAAAATCCCAATGTTTATGAACATTGAAGCCTCCAAGCACTGAACACAATATGTAATAGCACAGGAATTTGCATTGAACTGTTTTGTGTGTGTAAGTGTGTGTAGCCTCCAAGCACTGAACACAATATGTAATAGCACAGGAATTTGCATTGAACTGTTTTTATATGTATATCATTAATTACCTCGACGACAATGACGTCCATCCTATAATGGCCTTGGTAGGTACGCTGAATAATGCCTCCTGGATAGAAAACCACAAGTGCAACCACGTTATGATACTAATACAAAGACCAAATACAAGGGTGCGGTGAAGGTCAGTTTTGATTCAGAGGGAGGAGTTGAAACGTGAAAACCACAAGTACAACCACGTTATGGTGTCATAAAAGGCCAGTCACAATATGCGGCTTACGTTATGATCCGAGCGAAGGATCGAAACACCAAACAAATAACTATCTTGTTTCTCGTATTTGTCAATACAGGTTATAGTAGCATGGTTTTGATCGAAACACCAAACAAAGAACTATCTCATTTCTCGTATTTGTTAATACAGGTTATACTAGCATGGTTTTGATCGAAACACCAAACAAAGAACTATCTTATTTCTCGTACTTGTCAATTCAGGTTATACTTGCGTGGTTTAGTATGTATGGAAACACACGGTAATGACATACAGCACGTAAACGGTACTACTTGCTAGACTCTAGACCTCTTCGGCTTGGGGTAATGTTTTCCCATTTCAGACCACGTGCCATTCCCTTGAGAATAAGATTATTTGTTTGAGCTGTATCCATATTCATGTATCTTCTCATGTGCAACTGAGCGTAAACTTTAAACAAAGAAATGATACTCTAGGGAATGACATGTGGTCTGAAATGGGAAAACATAACGTCAGAGCCGAAGAGGTCTATTGAAATGGCTTCACAACATTTTCGTATGGGTTGTCCAATCACAAACGTAGATGCAGTTAAAGTTACGGTAGACAAGAACAGACGGCTAGAATGCCTTAAGGTACGGAAATGCCAATTTTCAATTTCGTACCATCATCATAACCGTGCCGTGTCCCGCGATTTTCCAATCAAATCTATTTTAACATTGGATTATTATAACATTCCCTAGGGTATCATTTCTTTGTTTGACGGCTGTGCATGAAATGACACATGAATGTAGATACAACACGAACGAAAAATCTTATACACAAGAAAATGACAAGTGGTCTGAAACGGCAAAATATTACGCCCAAGATGAAAAGGTCTATTAGTAGGTGCGTGGACAATATAATACAATCCGAACATGAACGAGAGATAAACGAATATCCTATCTTAAATTCCACGTTGAATAACATTAGGAAGTGCGATACAGTGTTACGTAAAAATGCACGAGGAGAAAACTTATTGCTGACCATAATGTGGCTTTTGTGGGTCTTGGAAGGTTTTTTTAACAGCAGCACAAGGTCGTAGCCATCAATTGGACAATGGTCCGGTTTAAAAAAGATGGTCCTATAGACCAAATTCAAAACTCGCACCGATGTGAGGCTTAAGTTGCGAACAAAGGAATCTGGCTTGATTCGTGACTTTTGAATCACGCCAGATTACTTTGAGTCACGCAGATCCCTTTGTTCACAACTTAAGCCTCACATCGGTGCGAGTTTTGAATTTAGTCTATGTTTTTATTTTTGTCATAAATATTTTTTACGAGGGAAAAAATTGTTCTGAAGGTAAAACGTGTTGCGGTTAAAACCTGATCAGCCGTACTGGTGGCTACGGCCTGCACAAGTTCACGATACAGCTTTCAACACTTGACCATCGAAAACATGAGGTAGTTTTCAGGGATATACGCACCTTGCTCGATGAATCAACAAGAACTAGCGTATCTGAAGATATTGCCATAATACAATCAATCATGGTGGAGTTTCTGTAATCTTCAACCTGTAAGAAAGAAATACATCACGAATTTAAATAATGCATGCTATTGATGCTTTTCGCTGCCGCCATGTTGGATGGATTTAACAAAAGATTTGTCATTAGTCTCGTTTGTCATATCATCCAACATGGCCGCTATCCATGTCTCTCGCCATCCCAATCTCTTGGGAATAATCGAAAACCAGCTATGCGTTGTTAAAATCAAAAGACTGCAGCAAATCGATGACATTAGTTTTGCAAAGAAAATCGTGAAATTCGTGAATTCTAAGGAATCAAAAATTTTAATATGAAAGAATTTTAAAAACTATTATGGTATAGAGTCGGGGGTAAAACGTCATCTCGCTTCAGGCTTATTATGCATGCGACATAAAGTTTGAAAGCGATGGAAAAATGATAAAACATCTATGACGTAGAACAGATTAATGGTATTTTGAATATTTCAATATTGAACTAGTTGTAAACATTGGAGGCAATAAATGAAGGTTATTATAAGAGATACTTCTTTAAATGCACGCCCTCAAAGACTACTTAACCCAAGTAAGTAAAGACTTCGCCCTAAACCCCAGCACTCTTTTGTTAAAAACCAATCATGCGGGAAGCATTGGTATTAACAGGGAAGAGCGAGGCTGAATTCAAAACCTGGACTTGGTTGGTTTTTAAAACAGCGGCCCTCGGTCTTGAATTTCAACGCAAACCCTCGCCCTAGCGTTTTAACCTTTATTTATAATCTGGCATTACCTGAACACTCCAGACTAGCCCTCCTCGAACAACTCGCTCAGGACAAATGGGAGGATGGACTTTTTCTTTCTTTTTCCCTGATAAAGAGAATTTTCCTACAAAACGAATAGCAAAAGGAGTGGTTAGATGAGTTGTTTTATTTTTACAAAAAGTAGGTGTTTTGAAATATGAAGAAGACATGCATGTAAAAATGTTTAAAAAAATAAATATGAGCTCCATTTCTAACTTACCAAATGATGACTTGCTTGCCCCAGACTCTAGGGTTGTATTTGTCAAATAGTTTGTAGCCAAATCCTTAAGGTATTCATGTCTTGTGCGAGTTGCCATGGTGCTGAATTTCTCTGATTTGTGTGCTGCATTCTCAGCATTAATTACTGAAAATAAAAACAAAAGATTTATTCATCTCAAGCTATATTTTATTAAATCAGGGCTTGAAAAAGAATTTTTTTTCAGCCTGCCATAATAAAGGAGCATGGTAAAAGGAGGTCAATTTCAGTAAATTTTGCATGTCATTTTATCCTTCATTTGGCAGTGCATCGTTATTTGTGCATGCAAAACCTGAAAGTTGGCCTGCCATAGGGTCATTGGCAGACCGCTATTTCAAGCCCTGTTAAATAATAGCAATTAACACGATGATTGGCCAATACAAGGCATTTCTACTGATTGAAACTTGTTATGGCTTATCACCACTCCAAGTACAGTAGTCACACAGCTCAAAGAGGTCAAATTTAAAACTATATACATTACTATACAGTCTACGAATGACCCTGCCTCACAGCTCTAACCAGTTTGAATTTTCTTATTCTGTATTAAAATGTGCTGCCATTTTCTTTGATGGAACCAGAATAAACTACAATCTTCAGAAGTTAGAAATTATGCATTTTTGGCTACTCGTAAAAATTATGTTTTTAGCATTTCTGAGTTAACAGCTCACACTATTTGATTTGAGAAGGACTGTAAAATATTTGGCCCCAAACAAAACGTTTGAGACAACATTTTAACCATTTGAGTTCAGGGAACCTGGATGTAGAAGAATGGTGCAATCTAATGTCTTATTTCTTGCTTACTCTTGGTCAGAAGGAAGTTGGCGAATGCCTTTTGCTTTCCAAACTTTGACGATGCCGGTATAGGTGGACCAAATGGAGGGACATCTTTAGATCTACTTACAGACACTCTAGGATATAAAAGATAAGAGAACGTCAGCTTTACATTTGCTGGCTAAATAGCCATTGGAAGACATGATGCACAGGCATGCATGCAAATGTTCCAAACTACTGCTTAGCCACCATTAGCTTCTTAATTTTTGAAGTCGATTTTGTCCTCAGATAGTGTTGTTGGTATAAAACACATGACATAAAATCTATATGCAGATACTTGTCATTATTATTAGCAAGCATGTACAATACTCCAAGCTACTGCTACATAGCATATACCCCAGACATACAAACGTCTGTAAATTTGTTAATTTTCAACTTGGGTTTTCTCGGCCGATATAACACCTTATATGATAATGAATCTTTGTGTGGTGCTCTTTCCAGAGCTGGTATTGGTTTTTCTCTCAGCTTAATTTTTTCACCATTTTGGCAAGGGGTCTATCGAATGCTTTGTGTTTGACCAATGAACCTATGTATGGTAAGTGTTACAGTAAATATCTCAATTCTCCTCTAAGAATCTTACTTGTAATATGTTGAATCACTGCATGGATTATATACCCGAACAACAATAAAAACATGCTGGAAGTGTGAGCGAACATTTTTAGGAGTAAATGGCAAAGCTCCAGGTTCTTGGAAAACTATTGTGACAATGTCATTACCAATGTGTCGTTTTCTTAAAAGCTGCAAGGAAAATAAAAATAACAGGTGAAAAATGAATTACATGAACACCTTTTACATGGAGCACACTCTTTGATGTAGGGTTATCAGAAAAAATCTGGACCGTAAAATGGTGGTCGGTAGATTATTTAGTCATTACCTGTTGTTTATTATTTGGTGTCCATGGCAACAATGTTGAAACATGGAGCATAATTTCTCTATTATGAAAGGTGGTATAAACTGAATATTCTCCTGTTGAGTCATCTGAAAACAAATAAAACAAATTAAATGGGTGCAAAAATTGTTTCTTTACAAGAATACATGAGGGCTGGTATACATTTTATAAATTTACATAAACCTCATGTACTGTAAGGATTAAAACTAACAGCAGGGGCTTCATTATGGGTCAGGGATCTGAGAATGCTCATGGAAAATAAGCAAATTTCTCTGGCTTATAAAACTACCATTTACATGAGTGTATAACTTAGTAATCCATAAAATGTTCACTTCTCTGGCAAGATTTCATTTCAAAACTTAATGAAACCCCTGCAACAGCATGTCAACCAGTAACAGAGCCCTTCATTAGCCATTAGGTAGTAATCTATCACTTACTTCTGTTATCAAGCTGTGCTCTGTACCCAGTAAATCCTTTCAGCCTAACTTTCTTGCCAATCAAATCTAGAAATTCCTCAAAGGCTGGACCAGATTCTTCTGTTGTTAAAAAAAAATAACAGATATATTTCTAGGCAAACTTAAAGGGATATACAATTTACCTTATCAAATATATACAGAAATGCCAGGAGGGGGATGCAGGAAACACAAATGAAGAAATATTAGAGATATTATATTAATGCATCATAATTTTTTCCCTTCGAAAAACATTAGAGTATGGCATAAGGGAGATGTCCAGTAAACTGCAGGACATACCCTGGATCTTCCGAGGCTGTGCCAACAAACAACAACTGCTGCTTAGTCATGTGTCAGGGGGGGGGGGGGGCCCCCCCCTATATTCCTCAAATAATTATGGGTACATGCCGTCAAACAGGTTATGGTTTTCAGTGATTCTACTCTTGACAGGGTATATAAAATCCAATTGCTCTYTTACATATGAAATCAAGTTTTTTCTCACTGGAACAGGGTATCTATTTTTGCAACTRCCAGAACATTTTTTACGACTATTTACTCTGGAACAGGGCATGGTTTTCAGCAAATTTACTCTGGAACAGGGTATGAATTTCAGCTATTTTACTCTGGAACAGTTTCAGGGTCCAGTGGGTTGGGTGGCACATCCCTACCCTAAATGGGCAAGAGTACCACCCCCCCTCCCCAGGTCTGGGCTGTACTGTACCATCATTATAACAATACTTACGATTATTGTACATTTCTTCCTCTGTGGACTGACCAGCTCTACAGTATAAGACCCCAACTTTATACTGATTTGTCATCTAAATTAATGTCAAATAGATTAATCACACTACACTGATTAATCAAGGATTATAAAATAATAGGGATAAAATGTGCGCTGTGATTAATCGAAAATCATGTTTGATGACAGTATCAAAACACACTATTGTCATTTTAGCATGCGCGAGTATTGCAACTGTCAGATTTTAATCTATCGCGCGCGCTCAGTGGTCAGTTTGAATAAGACGGTACGCTCTGCCCCCTGTATCTTGATAATGTAACAGAGGAAAAGATACAAACCAAACCACGAAATGATCATAATTTGCAAAATGGAATATAACAAATTCAAAACACTGTAGTCTGCATCACAAGATCAAAAGAATAAAATAATTTTTGATGTATGCTTTCTTACCCCTTGTTCATCAAGTTTCATCAGCATTTCTGGTATCTAAGAGAAACAACATTTAGATTCATTATGATTCTACAAAATTAGTCATTTCAGAAAGAAAAATTAAATATATTTCAAGTAATAAATGGTTGATAGAACTACAATGTTTTGTAGTTATTTTGAAATTGTTCTGGATGCAGAGCTAAGAATAATGGCTGGTCACAAGACAATGTTCAGTGAGAACTGGAACTTGTCCAGAGTCTCAAAAATCTGTGCCTGTCCTTCATCTTTACCAGTAACATTTCAAGAGCCGACAACATATATGAACGAGCTAAATCTAATTTCCATGGTCACCATAACTTCAACTTTTAACCATTATTTAGCCCTAATATGAGCACATAAGAATGTTAAGGACAAGCTAAAGAATGGGAGAAAAAAAGCCACAATAAATTGTAGATTAATGATTAAAACATTTTGTGGTCTTTGAAATTAAGTATAAAAGCCATTTTAATTCCTCAGGAGTATTTTGAATTAATATGGGAGACAGGATCGGGTCATACTGAGTACAAATAACACTACCTCAGGACAAAAACGTTTTGACAAAATTAGGATTTCAAGCTAATAAATTGCCCTATTTCACTATGACGTCACTGCTTGTTTATGTGGGGGACAGAATCGCCAAATCCAATAGAAAATTAAATAAAATTTGCTCCTAGCGAAACAGTTTAATCTAAAATGGCCTGGTTTTCAGATATAATATGTGTTAATATGTACTAAAAAATATTCTGAGCGTTTGCTGGCTATTCTACTTCTTTTCCTGGATTGATATGGGTTTTAGAACAATTTTCGTTGAATTTGAGTTGATTTGACCCCCTCCAACGACCATGATCCTTTGCGTTTAAACAAYAGATTGTTTTGAAGTGACGTCATAGTGAAATAGGGCAATTGAAATTTATGATTTTGTAATGTATCATTAACCTTTTTCAATTAAAACTTTATCAAGGTATTTGAACTCCTATGGTAGAAATTAAAGGTTTTGGACTCTACAGTCAGTACCAATATTACACTATACCACATCAAACAAAAACAGTCGTTTAAAAAAACATGGCTATACAGTGTAAATCATTCAATGATTTATTAATAATGTATTGCGGATATCAAAATATACCTTGATTCCAGGATGGCCTAATCGGAGACATGAAAGCTGTATTTCAGGAGCAACGTATTCTAAAATATCTTTAGCAGGAAGAGCTCTTGCAGTGCCATGCCGTGACGTAGACGGGATAGCCTCTTCTAAAAGATTGCCTCTTAAAGTAGTGAGCTGCATATGAATTATATAAATTAATATATAAACAAAACAACAACATTAATACTTTATGAACTAGAATTTTTATCAAATTATAACATAACAAATCAAATAATAACAACATTTTCAAGAGCTTTCCAACTTACTGTACAAATATGTTAATATCTTTTTTTTTTTACAAAGTTATCCAACTATAATAGAGGATGAAAACAAAGTATTACAGCTTAAGCCATGCAAGAAGCAGGCCCGGCTCAGTTGGTTAGTGAGCGACCTTCAGCGCTTGAGTTTCAGAGTTTGATCCTTAGGATCTCCACGTCTGTTTCCACTTCTCTCTAATCCGTGTAGCTTCAGCTTTAAATACTCTTAAAACAGAGCACTGATGGAGAGAGGGGGTAAAGTACGCACCGTCGGCTTCCATTGATAGCAGTTGACTTTCAACTGAAGGAACTACCAACGYTAAATATAGGTACTTTACTTTACTTTTACTTTTGCAATAAAGCCAAGCCTATAGATCTGATCATATATCTGACAAAGAGCTTACAGATGTAGATGATATCTTTCTTGAGTACTATTGCTTTCCTATCAAAGCAAGCCTATCAAAGATATTGATAACATTACCTCAGAGGTTCTAATAATAATGCGGTATTGATACTGTGTTCCTTGGCCATCGGTATCATTTTTCACCAAGGAAGTGTTTTCATCGATTTTTTCTCTTTTCAAAGAAATGGCTACAGGACCAAGCCTCTCATCCATTCCAAGATATGTCAGATGTTCTACACACATAAAAAGAGGAACTTAGAAAAAGTTGTGTAGTGCAATTATACACCTATTTCGAAAATCATTGTCGCACCAAGAGCCTCAAGTAACAAGCCAAGGCTCCAGAGAGGTACTATCAATTATAATTTATTTATTCTTGGTTCATGCAAGTGGCTATAGCTCTCCACTAATTATCATCTCAAGCAGCCTTGCTTGGAGCAATTTGTGAAGTCAATAAATGAAAATGCACCATGAATAAACTAATTACAGCTAAAAGTACCAGCGTTCTCTACAGTCTTGGCTTGTTGCTTGAGGCTTTTGGTGCAACAGCAATTTCTGAAATAGGTGTATATACACAAGTGTACAAGTGTACATATGTACAATATACAACTCACATCTACGAAGGTTGGCATAATATCAAAAATTTAACACTTTAACCTTTTCTTCTACATCTAAAAGCAACTACAACTAAACCTTTAATAAAAGTTGGTACACCTTCAGAATACCATGCAAGTCATATACATCATATCTTAATAGCAATGGCTTAATTCTGTCATATTGATATTTAAAATGTTGTACATGTGGCTTGTAACTGCAAAGAGTTTAAACAACTGCACTCATATGATCTGCAGGGTACTCTTTAGGTGCAGTAATAAGGGCAACAAAATCGCACAACGTATTTGCCTTGCAAGCTGCATAGCAAATCTTACTACTAATACCGCTCTCAAATCTTCATTGTTGCAAAAAGTAGAGAGAGTTTCAACATCTCGTGACTATGAGTTTTGTTTGGCATGGAAAGGTAATACCAGCAACAAGTGCTCTACAACTTGCAAAGGAAAAATGTTGCATATATCAAGCTGCGCAGTTTTGTTGCCTGTATTATTGCACCTAAATTTCAAACTGGATGCACCATATAAACAATAGCACCAAATGATACACAAAGGGTATGCCTACAGGTTTTGCAACCCAACTGATAAGGAGGCTGATTGGTCTAATTACAGTAGCATTAAAAAATATATATAAAATATATTGAATTTTTGTCCACTCTGCATACTACCTAAGATAAATATCAGTAATTCCTTTCTTTGAGTACATTAAATTAATACTTTACATACCTTGTCCAACAAAGAAATTCCTATAGTAGTATGCTCCATGATCAGCATGCTCAAACACCATTTTCCCTTCATCATCTGACCAGCTGCCTCCCTCACCAAGGTATAATGATCCACTTTCTGGCTTTGAATTGTCAAGTATAGTTACTCCTGTACCACTCCTTAGCTTGCCTTGCCGAGCAGAATCATAAGCTGTCAATAAAATGTCTAAGGTTGACCTCCGCTTTACTGCATTTAGCTTAGGATCTTTGGGAGTTGACATGTCATTCGGATTTAGAAATGCAGTATTATCCCTAGTTAAGCTAATTTGTGGATCTAGATCATCTTCTCCACCAAGTTCATTTCTAAAATATGGACAATTATGAACAAGTTCATTGGATTTATTGTCTCCAACGTCAGCTACTTCATCTACATTATCCAGACTTGAATCAGAACCTTTCAAATCAGCACGCTGTGCTGCAGTTATTTTTGCAGATGCTGCAGATGCACCAGAACGAGTATTCCTACGACGCATTCCATCACCATATTTTGCTCTACGCTGAGCTTGGTCCTCGTAATCTAACAACAAGCTCTGACAGTCATAATGAGCTAAGTATTTCCTCGTTGGAAGTGTACTATCACTTGATTCAAATTCCTCTTTGCTGTCATAGCTTTTCTTAATCCTAAAAAATGATGTAGTGTTTGAACGAAGCGAGTTTTTACGTTTTAGAATAGGAGTCTTTTTCTCTATCGTAGGACTTGCCGATGAACCAACAATATGGTTGCTGTGCTCTCGCAAATTCTCTATAAAAGTAGAACCATCTACCCTTTTCCTTGTTGTGCGTTTCTCATTCTTAATGTTCTCTTCAAACCTCTGTACGATAGCGAAGAAGCTTTCTCCAGTAGGAGATCTTGGCTCAGTGACTGACAGTTCATAGGTATGTCTGAGTCTTTCAAAGTTGATCTCACTGGTGTCACTATTGCTTCTTACATGCATTCCTGTAGGTGGTTTGGCTTTGGTTGGGCTGTCACCCCCATATATTGATCCAGTACTCCTCCTTAAATCGTCATCTTTATGGTACATATAACTTTGTCGAAGAGCCTCAATATCATCTTGAGATCTATGACAAGAGAAAATATTTAGTTATATGCAATTACCAATTAACAATACAATGCACAATTACAGTAAAAGCATTTATCTTATTTAGTGTTACTATACTTTACACTGATTCTGCGCTTATACAAAACTCAAATTCCTGGATGTGTACTATGTACCCCTATTTCAAAAAATGTTGTTGGTGGAGGGATCTGAAATCTGAGACCAAAATGAACTACGGCTTGTAAGCTGTAAATTGTCAAATTGTATTTTTAACAAGTAGTTTGTAACAAGACAATATCTATATATGCCAACTTTGATCAATGACGTGCTGGCAAAATAAATTGTTTGGCTAATTGCATTTTGAATATTTAATCAAAAATCACTCAATCCCCACAATTCCACTAGGTCTCAGATTTCAGACTTCCAAAAAACACTTTTTAAAGAAGGTGTATATATACAGTTCATGTACATGTTTGATTTATAATCTAGCAAATATTGTTAAGCGAATAAAATTAGCTGAAAAGCAAGAATTACCTACCAAATTAAGAATTAAAGTATAACATGCATATAAACACCTGGCATACAATAGCTAATTGAACCAAACAAAAATATTTTTCTCAGAAGCTTTCTTCTCTAGACTTTGGTTCCCATTTACAATTAAGACTACTGGGGCTAGTAGAAAGAATTTAGTCTTTACCAGATTAAACTACTCAAAAAAATCTTGAATTTTTCCTTAACCCCTAAATTATTATTCTTGCATCTATAAATACATTTTATTTTTTAATTTTAGGCTTATTTCAATCATATTTGTTTCGCATTCCTTTTTTCTTCAGTTGTTATTTATGGTTTGCTCATTTGTGAAACTATATCGTTTTGTGTGTTTTGAGACATAAATGTTAACATTTGTGGATGCATACTCGAACTATTTATTTGATTGACGGATTGATGGAAGTGTAAATGCCCATTATCATGTCGTAACGGTTGTCTCGATCAATGGAAACAGTGGTAATAGATACTTGTAATGTTTTCAATGCTCTTAAATTTCACTTGTCTAAAAAACTTTCAAAACATCAGTGCTCATACTATTTATAACCCAGTTTACACGAGGTCTTGCAATTTTCTATACAACAGGCCTGTACATGTAATTCTAGATGTGGTTATTCATACAGTTTTTGGCACCAAATTTCTTTTAGTTTTTCATATTCTAGTACACATAGTATATATTATAATATAATTTCAAATAAAGAAACATCATAGTAAAATTTTAGTACCCATACAATTTTAAATAAGCAAGAGTTCCCCCCCCCCCCCTTCCCGAGTCTCTACTAAATCATTTTACAAAGCCTATATTATTTTAAAGGGAGAAGAATAAGTATTATATAATTTAATTACAACTATAAACATCTTAAGAATGGTGTTTGGTTCAGTGACCATGTATAATACAGGTACATGTACTTGGTATTTGTAGATAAGCATAATAACATTTGTACATGTATAAAAATAATACCATTTTAATAAAAGCAATRATAATATTCAGCTATGCTAGTATCAGAAGAACAAATAATGTGTTCCAGGTATGTTGGATGCCGAGTTTCTTAGCTAACAAATAATATGTGTAGATTGAGGGAGAAATGGCATAGAAGATATGTCTGATCTTGATCATGAGATATCTATCTACACATCTATAACATGTAAACATATCAAAGAGAATTTAGATCTGTACTGAACTACTCCACAAACTATCCCATTAATACTATCATATTATGAGAAAAATCACATCTAATTCATTATCATTAAGAAAAAACAAAAAATTCAGGATAGAATTCCGCTTTGAATTACTTTGAATCGATGCCAGACCTTGTTTACAATACTAAAGATCTGCTCTGTAACACCAAACATTGTCTGGGTTTTAATCTTTGAATTTTTTACAGGGAATGACATTTTCTTGGGTGTTAATATCATCACATTGACAGGGAGGATGTCTGTAGAATGGCTGCCAATAATTGGATGATTGGAAAATTGATACAAAAATTGCTGCAGGTTGTCTATTTTTTTCAATGAAAGTGAAAATGGATAGACACGCACAAATCTCTACATAATCAATACTTCAGTCTCTAGCCAATAAAATTGATAAAAATGTAAAATAAATTCACAGCAGTACAGTAGAGCTTGTGCAGTGGAGTAAAAATAAGATTGGACCTGCATTTGAGTAGTTAACCTATATCAACAGTAATGATCAACTTGAATAGAATAAATTTATGTATTTACCACAACAAAAACTAAGTGAAAGTGATGGTATTCGAAATATCGACCAAAAACTAAACAGGTAGGAGTGGATTTGAATCGAGAACCATTACTGTTACGTGACCAATAAATCTGAAAGAGATTTTTGGCCACTAATTTTACTAATTGAATTTTCATATTTTGAGAGCATAAAAAGGCTATACACGAACGAAGGAGTGGAAAATGGTAGAAATAAAGAAAGATAAGGTATAAATTTGAAACATTTTTTGATGAAAGCACATTTGTTGACTTTCTCTCGCCAGACTGAAGGTGTTCGATAAAGTGTTGACAGAGCAATGGAATACATTTTCAAGCAAGCTCTGGTTCACAACATGAGATCAGTGTATTTTCCAGCAAATAAACTCGATGTTTTTGTGTAATCTGGTTATATCAAAAGCCCACGACACTTAGAAAGCAAAATAATACTGACGCGAATAGTCGATCTCCGCCGTCCTAGAGCAAGAGGACAAATATTTCAAATATTTTTTTAAACAGTCAAATAAAAGGCATTTTTGCGGTGTATCACTGTTATGTATGGATTTTCTAGATTATTTCAAGATTGAATTGCTGCTGGATACTAGAGGTAATTATTCCAAAGTCAGTTTCTAAATCGTTCGACTGATCACAATTACCAACATCGAACAGACAATTTTGCATCAAGATAAACCACAGAGAGTATGAAAGGCATTGAGAATGAATTCTTTATAGTAAACTAAGCAAGATTCGTTACGATTCTCAATCATAAATACCTCATTGGATGCATTGCAAGGGAATTCAATATCCCTAATCGTCTTGAATGGCGTTCAGATAGAAGATTTTCTTTTTGTTGCCATTGGAATCACTATTAGGATTGTTACAAATGAGTTGAGATGACGTGCATACGTGCTATACAAYGGGGTTTCCGGCGAAGAGCCATCGATGTATACAAAAGTGCCTCAAGTACTGAAGATTTGCTGGATTTTGGAGTGAAAGGATAGTTTGAAGATATCTTAAGAACAATCACTGACCCATAGATATCTTAAAAATACAAGTACGGCAAACTGGGTCACACATTCACGTATTCAGCATCAGTTATAGTTGGGACCCTCTGTCTCGATAGCCTTCCTCTGCAACCTCGAAGTATGATGCAGTTCTCGAGCAAAAGCTTGACTTTGAATCAGCCCCAAATACAGCAGTGTTATAGAAATTCAGCTAATAATCCTTATTCCGTTCACGATTGGTAGTTAAGGTATTAAGTGAATCAAGAATGTCGTTATTCTGTGAGTCACTTCTCGCTGCAAATGTCAGTCATAGAGAGATGTCGAGAAGTAAATCTAGGCAAACCGCAATCTTACATGACATCCAATGTAGAATTTCCCTGCTGATAGCTCTAAGAAATCCTTGTAATATGTAACACAACACTATGGTGTAGCTTTGTCTACTTGTGCAGGTTCAATAGTAAACAGATTCGAGGAAGAATCGTGCAAAACTCAAAATATTTATGACTGACTTGTGGTCTACTTGTACTCAAAGCGAGGCTTCAATCGATTACTATTACAGTCTTTTTGTCAGAACCTGTACAATTCCGCCGATTACCAAAACCAAAATAAACAGCACCAAATAACGATTTCTACTCAAAACTATCAACCATCCAGCCTTTGTATATTTAGTGTGAGGACAGAAGTTTAAGACTTATGAATTTTAACGATTCTTTTCCGAAGAAAGACACTCGAGCTTCGGCTCCATGCTCGACCTCCAACCTGGCTTTCTTTACAATGACCTTAGGATTAATACTCTAAGCAAGCTTTGAGACTTTCTCGTGTACGAAACAACCCAATCATAGTATGAACCATTGAATAAAGATATCGAATTTCCCCGAAATACTCACAGTTTGAACAAAGAAACCTTATAACACGCTTACCTTGGTGGATAGCTGACTCTTCTTGATGATAATATGGCTTCGTTAGTGTTTTTCGGAGGATTTCGTAAATATGTCGGTGTGGCGTCGTTGGTTTTCCGTGAGCTTCGTCTTTTGAAGCTTCGTCGCATGATATTCGGCATTTCTTTTTAAGCCTTAATCTCTCTATCGACCAACCCATTACAAAGATTAATCATTATCAATAAGTAATTCTAGCCAATTCTTGTACCCGTAAGATAAGATATTTACTTGCGAAATTTTCCCGAAAACATTTGTGAACATTCAAAAGATTGGGAGTGTTTGTATCTGAAATTCCACATACTAATAGCGGAAATGACGTCATGTAATAAGCAAGCTTAGCTAGTTATAAAGCCTTTATAYGCTAAAATTTATTCATCTTGTTTTGTATGATCGAATAAGAATTACTAATGTGAAAGGAATTGACGAAATTCCGGTAAGCTTTGTAATATTTAAATTGCCTGMAGTTTATAAAGGTTTCACTAATCCAGTTATAAATAACATTCAGTAAAAAAGCCGTTTTTTGTTCACATTTTTATGGAGTTGATGAAAAATATTGAGTATTCCCAAGAAAAAGCGATAGCATCATCTCAGCATTCAAGTTTCAGAGTTGAGTCATATGTAAATGTGTTACGTAGCGATCAATATATCTTGAAATGCTTCGGCTTTTTTGAAAGAGCGACATCTCATTTTGAAATTGACAAGTGGCCAAAATCATGGTCATAATCACTTAGGGGTAATTCCGATTTTTCTTCACTTCCCTATGGAAACTTGAAGACATGGATTTGATAGGTTGTTCCCCCTTTCACTGAAACGTCATTTCAATCAATCTCATTGACAGACGGTCATCGCAAGTCTTGAATCTGACTGGAATGTTGACGCTCATAAACTAGCTACACTAGTTCTTAGCTAGTTATCTCTGCTCATAAACTAATAGTACTTCTTCTTTCTTGTCCTTTAGTCTTCCTCTTCTTGTTGCATGTTTCACTATGTCTTTAATGGTTAAAATCTTTGACACACAGGCGCCGAACAAGTTAAAATATAACTCACGAACTAGAGTCAAGCGGAAAAATATTTCTGCACTATATTGATGTAATATGAAATCTTTAAATTTTAAAATATACTACAAAATAAATAGGTATACAATCTTTTCCCTAATTGATCAAAAACTTATAGGCATTGCCATTTTTACACAGAGGATTTAAATTTAAATCTAAATTTAAATTCAAATTTTTGTATTCTACGGCATCACTATTTAGTTGTCAACCAAAAGTTTTAAAGCAGTCATGCTACTCGTCTAATCACTGTAAAATCCGAATTTCGGGGAAGATCATTTTTTTTGTAAAATCTAGCTCCACCCATGATCGGTAWGCACCAATTTCTCTCAGTCTCTTCCTTGATTCGAATAGACTGAAATGTTCGGGAAACAGGTTCCACATTTTTCTCCGTTTAACATCAGATTATTCGTATTATTGTTTCCTATTTTTTCTGCTGTCATTTGCTAATTTTTGTATAAAAAAGCATATGACGTTTGTAGGAGTTTCACCCAAAGGACTGATTTTTTTCCTTCCGTGCGTCGATGTAGCATATGTATATTTAAACTGGGCCTCGACCGAATTTAGTAAATACACTGATTCTAAGAAAATATGGTACATTATCGAATTACTACACATACCTGTTTTTTCGTCACTTGTTTAGTAGTTTCGATTTCCTTTWGGTGCTGGGAATGCTACGGATATATATCAAGCCGATAATAGGAGCTSAGAAACGGCCTATTTTGGTCAATCACAGACTAGAGGAGCGCCGGTGAAGAATGTAAACTTTGTAAACTCCCGTTTTCATCCATCAACGTTTTATATTACTGATTTTATATGCCAAGCTGATGGAACTATTATCTCGGATATGTTTCGTTTCGCATCGTTTGCTGAAGACTGTCGCTATCTACATGTTAATGTGGAATTACTTTCGTTTGAGCATGAGTTAAAAATATATAATTCAAAKCAGATTTGTTTCGGTTTAGATGAACCTATGGACTGGAGGATGAACTTTCGCCTCGGTAAGCTTCGGTAAGAGTGAAGGAAACACTTGCATGGCAGATTTTCACGTGGCTATATGCCAAAAATAAACGCAAATCTCCGTACTGAATATAGATTACAAAGTTATAAAGAGAAAGAAATATGTTTTTGATCTTCTTTTCTGAGTAAACTAGTTTAGTCTAAAGCATGAACAAGTGAAATCGAAGTTACAATGCACGTCTCAACGTAACCCGGTATGAAATAACTGTTTTTCAATGTCGCTATGAATTAAATGGTCTCATGTTATAAAGCCGCGATTAAATAAGCAAACAATTTTCACGGTGCCTCGTTTCTTCCCTGTAGTAGTAGCAAATCATAGGGGGGAAAGGAAGCAAAGCCATGTGAAAGCTTCCTTTTTTTCTTAACGAGATAGTTCGAAAGTGTACGCGAGAAAGGCCCTCTGGCTGGTGCTATCGTTCCAATTTCAAGTCTACAGACACCCCATGCTGGCTCTGTCGATGGTTTCAATAGAGTTCCTGCGGATTTTTTCGGGAACTTTGGCGCCAAAACGCGCGCGCCACCACTTTCCTGKAGCACAAGACGATTACCGTGCGTGCGGAAATATACGAAACCATAAACTATTAAAGCTAAATAAAATAAGGCAGTGATACAGCAAAATCAAAAAATTAATTTAATAATAATTTCAAATAATAGSTAAAGATGAACCCGCCTTTTTTGCATATCTAAATTAAAGCATTTATTATTTCATTTTATTCTATTTTCCCTAGAAATTTGATTATATTTTTGGAACTTTCGTTTATATCTTCAGCTTATGATTTCTAATGATAATAACACTCGATTTCGTGTTACGCAACGCGGTTCGGATCTGTTTGGATTCAGTTCTCAAAAAGCTAGCTACTATCCTTCTCACAAAAATTCTAAAAAGCTAGTCGTAAATTAAAAGCGTCAGTCAGCTTGATATTTAGCATTACACCTTCCCAAAGTTCAAAGCTCGTGGCGAATCAATCAGATCAGGAGATCAGCTCAACTTATGAAGCTCGCTCCGCTTCCCAAGGATGCCCTTAATTCCCGGCTTGCCGCAGTCAATCCCGCCATCGATCCTTCACATGAAATCGTAAACAATCCGACCTGCTTTGAGAACTTCGGGAAAGGTTTCAACTTGTTAAGTTCATGATATAAATTTACATTGAAATTTGAAATCTTTTCAAAAGTTTAGTATAGATACATTATCTTAGCTTGATATTGTTTAAATCTATATTTCTGCAAAATACTGCTAGACCCCAATCGCAATAAGTGTTACTTTAAGTAGCACCTTCTTGCTTTAAGTCTATGATTAGGTATTTCACTGACCAAAGTCAGTTATTTTCCGACCCCCTGTGTTAATATAAAACTTTTTTTTTTTAAAAGTGCGTCGAGCAATTTACAATGTGGACCTTCATGTAGCTAACCGCGAAACCACTCTGACAAAATTAACCAATCGTTATGTAGAAAGAACACTGGAACCAATCAGGAGAGAGCAGAAACTATAGAATTTTGACCTCAGGTATAACATCACATTGTTTCATTTCAATGACCTGTTGATGGAATTTAAGACATATACCTAAATCTTCCATTTTTAATTTGCTTCTTATTCAAGCTGAACTATTCGAAGTTAAAATATCCTGTTCGCTTTTACATTGTGATTTCTTAACCTTGAGAGAGAGGCTCAGGATATAGATTGTAAATGAGTCTTGAAGTAAAATGTCTCCACAACGACTGTATGGAAAGCGTAGCTAATACGCATTTATTCGTGTTCAAACAAAATYCTATAGATGGTTGAAAGTAAAGTGTATGAAGATGTTTTGATGCTGGGAAGACGAACCTCGCGGAGCACCGTATTCTTTTCAGAGAAATKCAAAAAGAAAATTGTTAAGCATGTTATAAAGATTAGTGGTCATCTAAGCTATGATAATATTCTTGATATAAGACTACCTAAATCTGGTCTTTATTATTAGTGGTCAGGAACCCGTCAAAATTAAGGTGATCCGCTCTGGATTACGTCTTCTGAAATCAAATAAAAACAGAATTGTCATTGAGAGCTTTTGCGTAGAAGGTTGCAGCAACACTCTTTACAAAGGCTGCTATTGCTACCGTTGATACTTCCTTTCATAATATTCTATGCGAATATTACCTGGGAAGATCTGATGCTAAAGGTGCTGACACACAGTGCAACATTGCACGCAACATTGCAAGCAACAAATTTGAATCGGGCTGACACGCAATGCAACAAAATCACGAACATCGCTTGTGCCAGCCTGCTATGTTAAGATATTTGGTCAGCAGTTATAAATTTGGTGCAAGCTGATTGGCTGGAAATTTCAAAATGCTGCAGGTAATGTTGCAGCCATGTCCACGCGATGAAATTTGTTGCGCGCAATATTGCAAGAGTGGGGCGCGATTCAACTTCAGATTTGTTGCATGCAACGTTGCGTTCAACGAGTTTGGGGTAGACACACGCTGCAACAGTTCTGTTGCGTGCAATGTTGCGTGCAATGTTGCATGCAATGTTGCATGCAATGTTGCACCGCGCGTGTGTCAGCACCTTAAGGTAAACTTTGCGCGCATCGTTAGTTTGAATCTTTGATACATTTTGATTATTTGGTTCAGTTAACTATGCCTGAGGTATAAAAGACTAAGGCAAAGAGACAACTTTGGAAGCTCAATTAATGCCGTATGCTTGCCTTGCTGCGACTGTGACGTTTTCTAGAATTTTGAATGACTGATTTTCTTTCTCGCGCAATGTGATTGGTCTAGCAGTGCCGTGATCATGAGCTTGATGTGACCGTGACCGTGTCCGTGTCCGCGTCCGCGTCCGCGTCCTGTTCGTGTTGTGTTCCGGATATTTGATTGGATGGAGAGTAAATTCCCGCTCAATCTGATTGGTCTGGCGTATCAGAATTATGAGGTTATCGCCATTTTCAAGGTTTACACTTTCCAAAGAAGCACTTTGCTATTGTTTTATTGCCATAAAATTAAGCATAATTATGGCTGCCCTCTCAAATACTATAAAACATATGAATATAAGAAACTAGAGGTTCTTACCAACTCGACGACATATTGTCTGCGAGAAAGACTTCTTCAACTTGTCCAAATCATCAAAAGAACCAATTTGAGTTATGTCTCTTCCCTGACCATTAGCTAGGATGGTCAATTGTCTTCTGTCTATTTCATGTCCTATGCCAACCACTATTATCTTGACGTTCTGCGCTATTAATGGTTTAACTGCCTCCTCAAGGGGGGYTACACCTGGGTCAGACGATTGGCGGCCATCTGTTAAGAAGACCAACACTTTTGGGACACCAATTCGACCGCCATTGAAAAGAGTGAAAGCTGATTGAAGAGCTCTTTGTAAAGAAGAAAGATTGCATAAAAGAAAATAAGCTGTTGATCTGCTACAAATTGTTGGTAAGTCTTATATTTAGTACATTAAGTCTTCCATTGGTATTTAACAAGCTTTTAATTTGTTAAGGTTCGAGGAAATGAATTCCTCGTCCTATTATCTGTAGCAAGCCATTTATTAGTGTTAAGACTACCATACAAGCAAACATACACAGGGCTGTCAACTCTCCCGGATAAACCGGGAGTATCCAGATTTTGGACCGTATCTCCCGGTCTCCAGATTAGAGTCTCAAATCTCCCGGAGACTTGACTTTCACAACCATGAAATTCCAATTATTTTGTGTTGTTTGTGTTATTTTACATCGCTAACAAAATCAAAACATTCCTCATAAACTGTTATTGCAAGCAGGCCATCGTAACTATAAGCGATAATTTGATTGGTCAGAAATAAACCAATCACATCTAATGTTACAAAGTGAATGACGTYTTTTCGTGCACTTTTTTCCGCTGTGACGTCATGTCCCTTCCCTATCAATTCTCCAGATTTGAATATCTTGGGGGTTGACAGCCCTGCATACATACCTATCGATCCGAGTGCGTCCCCTCAGGTACGGTGCTCTATCCACTGCAGCATCAAAGGCAGGCAGAGAGACACTCGCCTGAGATGCGAATCTGACCAAAACTCTTGGCTGATCGCTGAACACCAGGAGTCCAAGCATGGCTTGTCTGGGACCAACTACCAAACGTCCTGCAACGTGCTTGACAAAATCCTTTTCCTTGGTGTAGCTGGAAATGAGCATACTACCGGAAGAATCCATGGCAAATGCTAGATCAAAGGTCTCGGAGCACGTATAAGGGACAATTGAAGGAAACGGTCCTGGGGGTAAAAAGTAAACCTTACATCAGTCACAGGCATGCATGCAGGTTTGCAAATAACGTTCACTTGACACTTGGGGCAGACAATTTAAGAATCGACCTAAGAATTAAGAGGCAGTCTCTGTAAAAGCGGTCCGGTGCAATTCGGGTAGGGAARCAGATTCYCTTTAAACTTTGCCAACAAAACTGTCTTACTTCAAAAGTAATTGGAATGCATTTAATTTTTAGAAATATTTTAAAATGAATTTTTTACACGATTTTCTTTCCAGAGCCGAASKTCGCTCGATTTTGCATAAATTAAACGGGAAAAATAGCCGATATTCGACGGTTTGCAGCATCAAAGACAAAAAGTATTTTCACAAACAATTATTTTTCCAATGTAAAGCAGTTCTTAGATAACAATTTGAAAGTACTTTGAAGTAATTTGCTTTTTTTGAAAAAAAGATAAAAATCATGATGCGAGGGCTACTTTTAGAATACGTGACTGAGGGCAAATAGAAGCGATTTTCGTGGGTCGATTTTTTAAAAGTCTGGCGTAYTTAATGCAATCTATCGATTGGATCCTACTAAAGAAAGACTCAACAGCAAGGAAATGTAAAAATATCTTGCGGTTTTTATTTCTCTGCGACATAGTGAGCCTGTAAATTCAGTAAAACTTTGAGCATGTCACGGGGATTGCGTGACATAAAAGCGAAGTCGCTGACTAGTTCCAAACCAAAAAAACCTCAATATAAATGGTTTTTTCGAGAAATRAAGAGCGTAATATTTTCTATGGTGTATAATTTCAATAAGGACTTCATTTACCATCATTATTGAGCGCTTTTTCTCTGCAATAACCTGAGTAAATAAGCAAGTGCATGGAATGTGTTCAGCATTCAATAATTATATTGTTGGTCATACAATATAAATAGATATGTTTCGGAAACTACCCGAAAAATTAGGAAAAGCAAACTTGCTAGAATTTTTATTATGTATAGTCCTCTCTACTCCGTAACACAGGTATATACTTTGGTACGCCGACTAAAAATCTGGGACCTAGATTTTATCTGTCTAATGTCGAAAGTCCAGACTGAACTAATTAGTGTGCCYAGATAAGAAAAAAACTTTAGGCAAGGTAGTGATATTCAAACACATTGTTTTTGCCCATAACTCCTGTAGCTGTAACTGACTTAAAACAGTTAAAATGATTAAATTTGAACTCTCTTTTCCTATGTTTTCTGAACATTATCTTTTAAGTGAAATATGCTATACCAGATGAAAATCACTAGAAAAATAGTGGTTCGAGACACTGAAATGGTTTTCTTTTATCATTATTTTACCGCCAAATAACTGTCTAGTACATTTCACACTCGGTRATTTTTTCGCCAGCATGAAAGACGTAAAGAACCTCAGCCGAACAAACTTTTAAGGTCAAAAGGAAAAATGTCGTGTTTCTTATCTTATTTGGAAAACTGTGGTGATTCACGTGGTTTGACAGAACTTGTAAGACTTTCTGGGTGCACAGACCCCATTGAAAATCATTTGTTCTCTATTCACTTATCACACGAGAAGCTAATAGAATACGAACTTATCCTTGCACGAGTAGGTTTTTTCGATTTGAAAGGGACATCAAAAGTRCAGGAATTGTTGATTTGCCCAAAACWCCGGCATAGCCTTGRAAAATATTGGCAAGCGAGGAAGACTTGTCAATATCCAAAACACAAGGGAAGCAAAGCTGCAGTACAAGGCAGAGATGTGTGCAACTTGGCAATGTCTAAAGTTATACATCAGGCTTATGGTGTTATTGTTCCAGTAGGTTCAGGTATGACGCAATATATTTGATGTATATATATACTGAAACTGCTTTCATTAATTACAATAACTGGATGTTACTACGAATATTTATGTTTTTCAACTAATACTCACTGTTCACTCGCAACTTTTTTCTATCGTTATGTTGATCAGATAGCAATTTTGATGACGATGTAATAACGCGAAATCTATTATTGCTATCAATAGTTATTTGCAGCACTTGTCGCAAATACCACAAGGCAACATTTGACAAGTTAACTTGGACTGCCGAAGAAGCACTGCCTAAACCTGAAACTGATAGTGAACCTTCAGCTGAGAGGATAAGGTGTGTTAGCTTTAACTGATTTATGAGTACGCGCAGGTTTTGAAAAACGATTTTTCTTTGAAGGCCTCAGAAGGGGATTCTTCTTAATGTGAGATGTGGGCACCTCTCATCCTATGCTCCGTACATTCAGTTTTCTTGATAATAGTGAAARAAAAAAWTTTCTATATTGCTTCAAAAAGAGACGCGCGAAATACGGCCGSTTTTGGTATACGTCAATCACAGTATTCCATAACATTGTGGGAAAACACATGCAATGGCACGTGCCTAGGAATTGTCATGGAAACGCTTTGATTGACGTCCAAAAATACCTTATTCGTTGCAACTACGATTGTGTGCATGCTATTTTTTTCGTCGAGCATGCGCAGTAAGAAATAAAGGCTCTGTGTACGAACCAATCTCGTACCCAGAGCCTGCGTTTCTTCTGGCCTGCGGCGAAGAACGAGGGCTCTGGCATAATCCATTTTTGAGACCAGGATTTATTGGACTTCCGGTATAAGAGCGCATACGTTAAAAGACTTGCCAAAAATAAAAAAATATGTTCACGATTTCAATTTCTTATTTTGATCGGAAGTAAAGAAGAACTCTGTTTGAAAGCAGGTGAATAATGAATAAATAAATGAAAAACCTACGGCCTCGTGCTATCAWCAGCTTATCGGTGTTTGGAACCATGATAAAACATTCGCATTTGCTTTTGATTTTATACATAACAACCCTGTCCTGATCAACATATACAAGACTGAGACGGCTATCTTTTTAATAATTCTAAGGTCGTCCAAAGTAACGGCGGCAGCTTCCTTGGAGGCATTGTGTGCTGACTCCCCATTTCTTACTCCACAAGTTAAGAAAGCGYAAAGCTGCACAGATGACCCATGGACACCAGGGCCACAATTACAACTGAACTGTRAAGATAACAGTGAACACGCATAAGAGGTATTCAACAGCTCAATGGCACAACTTGCCGATGCTATCAATAAACCGAGAATGCAGCTCTTGAGCTCTCAAGTTGTCTCTTGGGATAGATGTACCAATTCAGAAAAAGAAATGTATTTACAAACAACCGAAGATGCCTGCAGATTGATATGCCTTGCTATAGCACCGAATGATAGTAATCACCTTCTTAAAGCTTTTCAGGAAAATCGATGCTGCAATGATAACGACGTGGGCTTGCAGGCTCTCGTAGCAGCTTATAAGAAAAAAATTACAACACAGGGTTCGAATAGACAAAGCAAAGCTRGATCATTTTCTTGAGTTTACGTTTCGGCCTTATTTTTACCAAGATGTTTCATATGGCAAMCGCACAATCAAGCTCGAAAACGGAGAAGAATTGCCAATGCCAAACATCGTTCGTACTGTAGCTCGAAGCACTATTATCCATCAGTATTTAGAATTTTGTAAAGAAACGGAGTTTGAACCAATGAGTCGACCGACGATGTGGAGAGTATTAGAAGTCCAGAAAGCTACACAGAGGAAATCCCTGCAAGGCCTAGATAATACCGCAGCAGATGGTGCAGACGGATTCGAAGAGCTACTGAAGATTATAGATGACTTGGAAGAGGCTGGTGCCARTGACGTCTGGTGTTCACAAACCAAAAAGAAGCTTAATGCAGGAAAATTATATCTGAAGACAACTTATCGTAACCGCTGCCAAGAGGAAAATTGTCAGTGCCCCGATCACTGCATAGCGTTCGCTCTGAGTGACCCTGATGACAAGGATTTTAGAACTGACTGTGGTCACAGACACAACGTCGAGTGCACTGATTGCCAATCACTGGCAGATACCATCCAAGATGTTCAGTCGGAAATTCGAAACCATTCGTCAGCACTCGGCAAAGAAAAGAAGGAAGACCTGCAGTTCGATGCAAAYGCCGCCTCGAAAAAGATTTTTGACTGGAAAGCGCATGTTATTCGTGCTCAAAATCAAGAAAGTAGCAAGCATGGCGTCTTGAAGTCTCTTGGAGAGGAGGAGGTTCTTATTATTGTTGATTGGGCGATGAAATTTACTGCGATGAAGTTCAGAGAGAAGCAAGCAGAATGGTATGGGAAAAGGGGAATGAATTGGCATATCAGCAGTGTCATCTTCAAAGAAGGCCAGAAGCTACAGGTAACTTCTTATGCCCACTTATTTGACAACTGTAAGCAGGATTGGTATGCTGTTCTGTCTGTCTTAGAAAACTTACTTTCAATCATAAAGACCAATAACGCAGGCATCACCAAAGCTTATCTCAGATCTGATGAAGCGGGCTGCTATCATAACAGTCAACTGATTGCATCTCTTCAACAACTAGGAAAACGACATAGCATTCAGATTGTTAGGTACGACCACTCAGAGCCGCAATTTGGAAAAGATATTTGTGATCGAATCCTGTGTCCGATGAAAGCTGCTATAAGACGATTTTGCAACGAGGGCCATGACATTATCTGTGCTGAGGACATGCATAATGCGTTAAAGGAAAGACCAGTGGGAGGTACGACGGCTGCTGTTTGTATTRTACAAGAACAGAATCTATCCCTGCAAATTAATAAGATTCCCAACTATTCTTCTTATCACAGTTTTGAGTTCACTTCTACTGGCCTTCGTGTTTGGAAAGCTTTTAATATAGGCTCTGGAAAACTCATTCCGTGGGATACTATAGTATGTGATCCCCAAGGAGCTACACTTGTGAAAGTTGACGTTCCTTTCTTCCCAGTAAAATCAAGAGAGATAAAGGAGAGGAAACAAGCAAGYGATCATGACGAGGAAGAAGTCGTTAAGCATGAATGCCCCGACCCGAGATGCAAAGAGGAATTTGAAAGTCGCGCAGACCTTGATCTTCATCTAGCCTTGATTGGACACCGTATACCTGCACTAACCAAAGAGAGCCTTTATGACAACATAAGAAGAGACTGGGTACAACGTTTTCAGACGTTGTCTCTGTCGTCACAACCTATACCACTTACGTTTGAAAACACAGGGTCAAAAGCGTCCAATGCCAAGTATTCCAATACTATGGGATGGGCACTGCACAAGAAACGTGGCAAGAAACGTTTTTCYYCTAATGTTCGAAATTACCTCCAGAAGAAGTTCGAGATCGGACAAAACACTGGACGTAAAGAAGACCCTGCCCAAGTTGCTAAAGCCATGCGAACCGCGTGTACTACAGATGGTTTGAGATTGTTTAAGAGAACCGAATGGCTCAGTAAAACGCAGATACAGGGTTTMTTTTCAAGAATGGCAGCAAAGGCGAAGAAGGGAATTTTACCAGATAATCAAGAAACAGAGGATGATGTTGAAAGCGAACAAGACGATGATAGCGACGAGGAATATGCTTATCTTGAAGATRAAGAACAGATAAGAGCGACTAGTAAAGCTGTACTCGCTGATATTGACATCACCCACCCTATGATGTATGATGTGTTTGACTTATGCAAGATGACAGATGAGCAAAAGCTTACTTCCTTCACCGTGAAAATGCTTAGGGAGATCTGTACCTACTTCGAGATTCCTCATAAGTATAGAGACACTAAAGGTGTTCTCATCAGTAMAGTGACTGATATGGTCTCAAGCTGCAGTTGTCATTAGACATTTCCAAAACGAGCAAGGAACTGGGCCCGAATCCATTTAATTAACAAAGAGTTTTTCATGCAGTTAATTTACTAGGCAGTCAAAAGAGCAATACTATATATAATTAGCTGTACGTGTGGCTGAAAGAGATTGCCCATCCACCGGCACAAACGGAAATTTTTTAATCCGTACGTTTTTTTTTAAGTAATYATCTGCACGTTGAGTTTTTGAATTTTTTTGGCCCATCCACACGTCGAAACGTTGCCTTTTCAAGTGGCGTATTCACCGAACGGAARGCCAATCCGTAAAGAACAAATTTTGTTCAAAAATATCCGCGGGATACTTGTGGACGGGGCCTTATAAATAAATTCGAAATGTCAACCACTGTAATCGTCAAAAGCTTTAAAGGTTTTACTGCTGTCAATGTAGGCCACTCGTGCTGCATGTTTTAATGATAATAAAACCTTTAACAGGTGAGAAATACCAATTTACGTTCGACTCGAAAGGGGTCATACGCTTCGCTTTACGTCACGCAATCCCCATGACATGCTCAAAGTTTTACTGAATTTACAGGCTCACTGTGTCGCAGAGAAATAAAAACCGCAAAATATTTTTACATTTCCTTGCTGTTGAGTCTTTCTTTAGTAGGATCCAATCGATAGATTGCATTAAATACGCCAGACTTTTAAAAAATCGACCCACGAAAATCACTTCTATTTGCCCTCAGTCACGTATTCTAAAAGTAGCCCTCGCRTCATGATTTTTATCTTTTTTTCAAAAAAAGCAAATTACTTCAAAGTACTTTCAAATTGTTATCTAAGAACTGCTTTACATTGGAAAAATAATTGTTTGTGAAAATACTTTTTGTATTTGATGCCGCAACCCGTCGAATATCGGCTATTTTTYCCGTTTAATTTATTCAAAATCGAGCGAAGTTCGGCTCTGGAAAGAAAATCGTGTAAAAAATTCATTTTAAAATATTTCTAAAAATTAAATGCATTCCAATTACTTTTGAAGTAAGACAGTTTTGTTGGCAAAGTTTAAAGAGAATCTGTTTCCCTACCCGAATTGCACCGGACCGCTTTTACAGAGACTGCCTCTTAAAGAAGAGATAACTAGCTAAAAACTAGAATTAAGAATTAAAGAGAGCAGTGCCATCGTGTATGAAGGGTTAGTCTCCCCCACAGCCGCTTTCAGTCTACTCAGGGGAGAAAGCGTTGCGTGACGACACTGAAAGCTGATGTGGGGGAGACTAGTGAAGGGTAGGAAGACGGGCTTTTCCTAACGGAGTCAATCACGCAGTTCTTATTGTATTGTCTTTTTGCCCGTCACTCCCTTCTCATACTTTTCATTATATCTATCTATGTTAATATACCTCACGAGATTATCTATAAACAAATACCTTGGCATGATTTTGCGGCAACATCACTAGCGGCATGAACCAAACTATTAAATGATTTAACAGTGAAAACATCACTTGCATCATTCACCATCAACACAAGTTCTGAAACACTGATTTGCGGTCCGATGCCAACCACCAAGACACGTGCGCCTGCGTTGTGCAGTGGTTGCGCCGCCTTATCTAACGGGACGTAATCAGGGTCACGTGTTTGGCGTCCATCCGTCATCATGATAACTAGCTTGGGAAAGCCAGGCCGAGCGTCCAAAAGAACCTGTGAAGCCATGTTCAACGCCTTATCAATGCGAGTCCTCAACATGATATATGGAAGGGCATCGACGCCATCGGTGAACTCTTTAAGCGTGTTGTACTTTTCAAAGTCAATACTGAGTATAGGATCGTCGCTGTAGATGATCACAGCTCCTCGACTACCTTGACCTACATTGAATATTTTGGAAAGTCTCTTCACAAAATCTTTTTGTCTTTCGTATTCTCTCAAGTCCATGCTTCGTGAGGAGTCCATGACGAATATAATGTCCAGAAAATGAGAGCACTGGACCGTGGGAGGTGTTGGAGCCAATGACGCTAATGCTGATGGAGTAACTCTGTGATGTGTGGTTGGAGTGGCTAGAGATGGAGTTGAATATGGGGTTGGAAATGCTGTTGGAAATGCTGTTGGAATCGTAACAGGAGGGAGAATAGCTGCAAATTTATAAAAAATACTTTATTTTTATTTCTATTTTTAAAAAGTGTGCATATAATTTGATTGTAAGAGCTAGATATTGGCAGAGGCGTAAGATTTTCCCGTTAGCTTTATCTTGAAGTAAGTAAGACGTTACTCTGTTGCATCATCTTAAAAAAAAWAAATTTTGCCTGTGTGAATTCTATAGAACTCCCGTCTGACAACGATATTCATGAACGTTTGCAAATACTTTTTTTTTTAACTTATAGAAATTTTTAAAATAAATCAATTACTTTGCAATTTTCTGGGGCTGTTGCATCACGTGAATTGTCTAACTCGAATAGCAAAGCATTGAAAGCGAGTACTTTCTGGCTATATATATATAAGTACATAAATATATATATATACATACAAACTTACTTTGGCTGGGGGGAGGACAAGCTCTCTCTGTAACCTTCTTCGCTTCTTCTATCAGTTGAGTGAAAGAATCTACGGTATAGATATCTTCGTACCTCTCAACCAACTCTCTTAACTCACTTTGAGACACTCTTGGTCCTACACCCACAGCAAATACCCGCACTCCAAGGTCACGCAAAGGCTTAACAGCAGTAGTTAGGGATTCTGCTCCAGGAGTTTGTTTTCCGTCAGTCATGACTATAGCAATAGCAGGGTTTCCTGGACGACGTTTGTCGTAAAGATTAGACGCTGCATAGCGCAACGCCTTGTCAAGTCTCGTATGGCTTTGCATGTGAGGTAGAGCGTTCACGGCACGGTTGAAATCTGCATTGCTTGCGTATTGGTCAAAACCTATGCTTACGTGAGGCTCGCCACTGTACAACAAAACGCCGGCGCGAGTACTTTCTGGTGCGATGACAAATTCGTCACTGATTGCCTTTATTGCATTTTTCTCACGCACAAAATCRGCATCGATGATGCTCTCTGAGGAGTCGACAATAAAGCCAAGGTCTACGCCTTGTACGCAGATTTTAGCTGTAATGTAAAAGTGGGAAAAAAAAAWTTAATGAGCATGATTAAGACTGCAAAAACGTATAGCATATGAAGCATGCAGTTTGAATATTGCTTCTCTACGAAATAAAAGTGAGAATAGTCATTTTCATAAGCATATAGTCACTTTCAAATGGTCATACGACGTTGGTTTAAGGTGGCTGCATATAGTTTTTGTACGCGTGCGCCAGGTTGTGCACGAGCATGCGCAGTACCAGAACTTTTACTAGAATTTTTATTTTAATGACGTCACGAAACGTTGGTTGCATGCGTTATTTAAAAAATAAAAACTCGAAAACTACATGGTCAAATATCTTTATATTTCTACAGTTTTCCCTTCGTAGAATGATAAGGCAATTGACGCAATATAAAAAAATATCTGGACTACAGAAAACGTTTTATCTTGAAAAATCGATATTTCTTTAATATCTTGGTTTTTGTAGTCACAATTGTAATAAAACGCTGTCATAGCTGTCATATRATAGGTAATAAAACAAACTTTAGTATTACTTAATCTAAAAAACAATGACCACGGGAAACTCGAGATTWTAGTTTTTTAATGGCAGAAAGGGTCCGTTTTGTGGCTGACGTGTCACTGCTATGGTAACTAACTATTCATCACGTGATCATTTTCACGAAAAATGATTTCTAAACTCATAGTCTTTAATATGGCTAGCGTATCAGATATCAAGATATAGATCTGTGTTTGCTATAAAATAATTTCTAGTTCTATTACTCTAAATACCGAAACTATATGAAGCCAACTTTTCGAGACGTCATTAAAATAAAAATCTTCAAGTTCTGGTACTGCGCATGCTCGTGCACAACCTGGCGCGTGCGCGTACAAAAACTATATGGAGCCACCTTTGGTAAATTTACATTTCCTGGAAAACCCTTTTTTAGCTAAACTTACCGCTGGCATCTCCACAGGCTCTTGCTGCGACAGTTTGAGATTCTCCTAACAAAGCTGTAAATGAATCAACTGTGAAGACATCTGCTGGATCATTAGCAATTTGTCTCAGTTCTTTCAAGTCAATATTGTGACCAACACCCACGGAGTATATTTTAACTCCCATATCTTTCAGAGGTTTGCTTGCGGCGTCCAGTGCTACAGCATCTGGATCTTGGGTTTGGCGACCGTCTGTGAGGACTACTAACACTTTTCGTACAGTTGTTCTTGCATTACGGAATACTCTAAAAAAAGGAGAAACGTATCAAATAGACCCATAGTAGCACGTCGGAATGCAGCTCAGCTTGGAGGACATAACGATAGGTTTACAGTTCTTAAGGAGGAGATAAAAGTTATTTTACTTTGTCCTCCAAGTAGAGCTGCTTTGACGTGACATTTAAGGGTTCTATTACCTTTCGTTAAACTGAAAACAAAAGAAACAGAACGTAATAGCAGACTATTCTTTTTTTATTGTACGAGTAAATGCAAAAGGAATGAATTCTAAGCAATTTGTTTATATTTTATTCGTCATGTTTTGCGCCATCAATCATACCAAACAAACACGTGAGCAGAGGTTTAGACGACAGCAATCTAACGCATGCGCAATGGAGATGCTTCAAAATGACTGAAGCGCTCACCAAGCGCGGGTAATCAAATACACCATCACATTATTTAACAATTATTCGCCAAAGGCGAAGGCGAAGTGAACATCGGGGAATAATAATAATTATTATTATTCCCGATATTCACTGAGCCTGAGGTGACTAATTGTCTTAGTATAAAACACAGGTGATTCTTTCAAAAAAAAGAAAAAAAAGGAAGATAAAAGACACATTTKTTTTCAGTAACAGTAATAACAAAGCGGCTAGCCGCCATTTTGGATTATCGCTGGAGGTGATTATCGTGTGATAATCTGAGTTTCTCGACCAATCAGCGCGCGAGATTTTCGATAATCACCTGTGTACTTATACTAACATATTATAACTAGAGTATTTCATGCACAGGCATGGATTTCTTTCGTTTTAATGTTTGAACAGCTAACTTCTGGTTACTACTTACTCTGTAGCTGCTGCCAAGGCTTTATCGATCCTTGTTCTTCCGCGCAAGTAAGGAATAGCATCAACAGCCTTAGCAAAATCATCGGTGGACTTGTGATCTCCAAGCTTGATCATCACATGAGGATCGTCGTTGTAGATAATAGCAGCAGCATGGCTCGCATCAATATCGATACGGAAGATTCGTGCTAAATCTTTGACGAACTGTTTTTCGAGACGGTAGTCATCAACACTGATACTGGCCGATGTATCCATGAGGTAAACAATGTCTACCTGTGCCGAGCATACATTGCCTGTCAAAGATATTACAGATCAACATTATGCTTTGTCTTGAAAGATGTGAATTGTCTTCTTCACAGTTCTCTGCGCCATCTTGAAAGGTAGCCGTGCCTTTGCATCGAAACGACACGAACAGTGCGTGAGCTTGTAATAATAGAGACCTTACCTTGAACAATTATTCACAYGTCTCTATCATTGCAAGTTCGCCGTTCGTCTCGCTTCGATGCAAAGGCACGGCTACCTTTCAAGATGGCGCAGGGAACTGTTAAGTGGACAATTGCGTTTCATCAAGCACATTTTCATTGGAAAAAACTCGGATTCCYTTTCGAGAAAACAATTGCCTGATGAAATACAATTCACATAATTATTTAATAACGTTCCAAGCAACAAAAATACCTAAATGCTCTATCTTGCTATCTTGTCCCTATAACTGTCTTCCCAAATGCCCAGATTACCACCTTTTCCCCCGTGCATTATTTTCTGTCAAGATTAATATAAGAATGCATTCGATGAACCTAACCTGCTGGTTTTCTACATATTCTCTTGCATCCATCAAAGCAGCATTTGAGACCAGACGCACAGTCGGGAGAGCAAGTGCACTCATCTTGAACCTGTGTAGGGCATTTCTTGACAGGTGAATAAGGTGGACAGAGTCCTGCGATGATTCCTAAACAGAAATAAAATGGAATTGCAATGGCGCGGATCAAAAGGGGGAAAGGCCCCCTTTCCCCTTTATCGATATCTATGCTTCCACAACATCAATTCACCTCACGTTACATTGATATAATTCAGTATCCCGAAAACGGCTGCATCCGCGAACGAATTGTTACACATTGTTAGACACCAATTAAACTGTGAAATTTTCAATTATGAAAATGCGCTTTCTCAACTTATAGTACACTCAACAAAATAACTCGACTCTGATTGGTCGAGAGGAGTACAATTATAGCGTTAATTGTACTCCGTACGAGTACCGAATTAAGTCGCTATGGAAACACGACCAAAAAATGTCAACGGCGTCAAAAAAAAAAAAGCCGTAAAAACTAATAAGAACTATGGACTGAAAATCGGCCGCCAAATAGCCAAAGATGAACGGCGTCGCTTCGCATTTTTTACTGAAATTTTGTTGAGTGAACTATAAACAAAAAATCGCACGATCTTCTTGTGAAAAAGGCTCGTGCAATTACAAGAACTTTCAAAACATTACTCGTGTCTATCAATTTCCAAATTGTACTCGAGATCGTGCGATTTCCTATACAAATTAAAGTAACAATTAAATCATGGTATAAAAGAAAAACCTGGTCTTGTGCCTTGATCAGGAAATGGAGTACGAACTACCCCACCACCGTTACCACCGCCGCCATTTCTGGTCGGGGTAGGCGTACCAACAGCCTCCACACACCTACGATGACAGCCATCACTACAACACTTCTTTTGTYGAGAACAATCAACATCGTAATTGCATTCTATCGTCGTTATCGATGGACACACATTAGGCTTCTGCAAGATTGGACATTTGCCAGGGCGATAAAGTTGATTCGCTGTCGAACACAAATAAATGTTGGGTGACCATGAGTGACAATATACTTAGTTTAGAATAAAAAAATGATAAATCTTTTCAGACAGTTCCTCTTCAAATATGAAATGTACATACTTAGTCTCCGTTCCTCGGCCTGTGAAGGAGGCTCGACGCAAACCAGTAGTCGGCAATAGTGGAGGCAGCACTTCTTTTTTTCCGCGCAGTCATTGTCCGTTTTGCACTGATCAGAACCAGGACATGGGATTCCAATACGTGATACTGTGGGACATATGCCTGCCTTTGGCCTTATCCTTGATGGAGCTGTTGTCATCAACAACAGAAAATAGTATCACAAAATCAGATTCATTTAAATAAACCATATAGCTATCTCAAGATGCATAACTTATAGATTTAAAATATTTTTAGCTGGTTAATTGAACACAATCTATTGTAATATATTACTCCCCAACAGTAAACTACCTTGTCAAATTCTAGACATCATAGGCATTTAAATGATAACTTACATATGAGGTCGATTGAATTATTCCTAAATGAGCTATTGAAGTTTGAAAGTGCGATTTTGGACTTCCTGYGTCAGGACCCAGGAAGGCCGTGAAAAATAAAAGACATTTCGTTCCCACTGATGTACGTACATCAAACTTTGGAAGCCATTTTAGTAAGTGATTACAATATGTATAGAATAAGTTTTCGTACTTACCATTCTGTACGTTGGTATTAGTGACTGGTCTTACACAAGTAATGGTGCATCCATCGGAGCAGCATTTTGCATCAGCCTTACAATCCCTGTCAGTAAAACAAAGTCTCTGAGGATTTTGACAGCTCTGCCTCGTGATAGGAGGACAGTTTCCTGGCTTGATTAAGATATGTTGAGTTGGTCTGTTTCCTGAAAAAAAAGGAAAACGATCTTGAGAAATACTTGAAAACTTGGCCCATAATGGGCTCTACAGATTTCATGGTTGGCCTAGACTTAAGTATTTTGAAGTGTTTCAAMATGAAGCTTGCGGGAAAGTACATGTTATTTAAAGGGGAAAAAATATTGTTATAAGCCGGTATTTTATCTTTATTTTGCAATTGCGAGAACTGTGCTTTCAAATCCCGAGGGAATCTGATGTAGATGCGTAATGCGTAATAACCGTACCTGCTAATAATACCTAATAATAATAAGTGCCGTAAGCACCACATTTGTAAGGCCCTTTATTTTGTATAGAACAGGCATACAAAAATGTCATATATCAAGTCTAAAAAGCCATAGCAGTACTACTAAGGTACCAATATTTAAACCGACTAACCTGCGGCAACATAATTCATATAAGTGGTGGGTTTCTGCTGATATTGATGTTTTTGTCCAGTAGTTACAGGTGCCTGTGTTACCACATCTGGTATCACAAATGTCGTCTGTCGCGGACTGCGGGTTGGTTTGGGAGTTATGGGTTCGGCTTTACTAGTTGTTGAACGGGTTTCAATTGATGGCGCAGCTGTTGTTGTTGGTCYGACTGTAGTTGGTGGAGGGCCTTCAGAAATAAATCAACAATAAATATAAATTATTATTAATGAAATGGTTGATAAATAGAAATGAATATTCCATTGATCCTTTACGAATATTGAGAGCCAAAAGTGCGTGCAAAGTTGAGCGTACCGACTTTTTCGACAAATTCGAAAAATACTGCAAACTATATACAACTTATCTATCATATTCTACATATGTTCAGTACATGTTCGGTATATTTAACAACTATTCGCCGAAGGAAAAGTGAATATCGGGAAATATTTACCGAGACGAGAGTCTTCGAGCGGCGAGCTAAATATTCTCCGTATTCACTGAGCCTGAGGCGAATAATTGTTTTAGCATATACTAACTTGTGTACAGAGTAACTTATTTTTATATACAATAATTCAATAAAAACAAACAAACAGAAACTTGCAGTTTGCGTGACAAATTCACGCAAAACTTTTAGGCCATACTTCGTTGCCTTATTTTTGTATTGATAGGAATGGCATTAACTTTCATTTTTCAATTTCCTCATCGGAAATTGTAGCAAAACGATTGCCGGCATGAATATCGTACAATATTCACCTCCAATTAACCAATGAGCGCGCGCGTTCTTAGGAAGTACACAAATTGGTATATGCTAAGTAAATATATCGCTACCTTCTTAGGTAACAGATAATCTTATAGTATCATGTTTTATTCAGACATACAGCTATTCTAGTTTACGAGTTTTTAATCGAACTATATCTATTGGGGAAAGAACCTTGCTTTCAAAGATATTTCGAATCTATTTACGTTGATGAACTTTTACGAAATTAAATTACAAAATTTTTTGCAATTTTTTGGGAACAAAAAACTTATAAATAAAAGTAAATATTAAGGTAATATAGTTTGCTGACGACGGAACTGAAAATGCGGCGCGGCGTGCTGGAGGAACAACCTAACCATGCTCTCTTACCATGGGCAATGTACTTAGCAATTGGAGGCACAAGATATGGTAAATCACCATAGCTTGTTGCAGTAAATATATCTGTTGACCTTGTCGTTAAACCTGTCAGTCTTCTGGCATCATTTTGATTTCCACCTACAACCAAAGTAACCATTTCAAGGCCCTTATTTCTGAGCGGTAACATGGTCTGTTTTAATGGTCGATCCTCTCCAGCCAAGTAATTCTTATCGRTGATCATTACAGCAATTCTTCTCACTCCAGTTCTAGATTCCCCGAGGAGCTCGTTAGCCTTTTCCAAAGCTCTTTCAACTCTTGCACGTCCTCCCAAGAATACCAACCAATTAATTGCATCCCTCAGTTTAGAAATAGAATCATATCTCTCAAAGTTAAAAGAGATTTCTGCAACCACGTCTCTGAAGGATATCAGACTAACTCGCGTTTTTCGGGGCTCTAAGTTCAACAGTCGAGACAAAGACACCACGAAGCGTTTGACTATGGTGAAGTTTTCTCGGCCAACGGAATTTGAAGAGTCAAGAATAAAGATCAAATCCGCATTGAAATTCTCGGGAACGGCATCGGGGTCTACGGTGTCCGTGGGCAAAAACAGAAATAAAACAAGARATTTGTGTTATTAGGGCAATTATGTTAACAAATGCTAACAAACGAACTAGTTACATGGAATACRTTAATTACATTACAATTATAGTTTTGGATAAAAGTTTTCCATTTAGGAAGAAAAATCAACTATGTTTTAAATCAAATGCATTCTTTTCATACATCATTTCTTTTTATTGCTCTCTTCATCATTTTATTTCAATTGGTATTTTCAAAGAAGAAATTCAGAAACTTTCTCAGATAATTCATGCATCTATTCTTGTCTTTTCTTTCAAARTTACCTGCGCGGGAACCAATATGGCCAACAAAAAAACCTTCCATCTGTTCCAGTTGGCTGCCAGAATAAAACGTAAACAGGTCTGTAGGACGATAAACAAGAGCCCGAAGTTGAGCTTCATCGTGTTGCACATCGATACCAATGGTAAAGAACTTAACTCCAGAAGTGTATAAACCACGAACAGATGTGAGAAGATTCCAAACGCTCGACGATGGCAGGCCAAATGAGAAGATGATGACAATTTGTGCTACGTTTGGTCTTGCTGCACTTAAAATGTCTCTCTCGATAACCTCAAAGGCAGAGCTKAGCTCTCTGCTTCCCCCTTGCTTGTAAAGTCGTATCATGTAGCTCTCGAMGTCAGCTTGGGTGACATACGGTGACAAGTAYTTAACTACCCTTGCATTTTGATCAGATGCAACGACTGCAACGCGAACCTTGTTTGTTCCAAGTTCAAAATAATGACTCAAAGATGTTACAAAGGATTTTTGGAGCTCGAATTCTTCAAAAGTTGGCCCATCTGARGTATCCAACACAAATACCACTTCAGCTGCAGAGAGCATTGGTCGAATGACCACTGGACCTGAATTTACAAGAAGAGAGTTTTCATTTGAAAACACTCCAGGAAAACTCGAYCATTTCCAAATGTAGTTTAGTTTAGACGTAATAAGGACATGCAGCATTGCAAGAAGATCGCCTTAACGCAACTCCAAAGTACTTAGTTTCAAATTTATTTTACAACGTTTTATCAAATTACATGATTAGATTTAGCATTGAGTTTAAACAGAATTGATATGAGAATTTGTAGGAGATAAGCTTTATGAGCCATGCACCCAGTTATGCATCATAAGGTTTTACAATTTCTGCGCAATTTTAATTAAAAGTCATTCTAATTGAGTTAATAACCTAAAAACTCATTGTGCATCTTATACGCGATTTTGATTAAGTTGAGTGATATACGATGTTAATAGTTTAAGATCATACCCTCGGGAAATAAAGGAATGAAGATTGTCAAATTCAGCATAGCCCTTACGAGTATCATTAGTCATACGGATGGGCATCAATACTACGTACACGGTAACCTAATTAATTTTGCATTCTATTCAATTTTTATTCAAGTAAAGTGGTATATTAATTTTTTGAGATTTTATCCACGAGAGWAATCGAAATAGACAAAAGTATCAGACACATTGAGTTGTGCGTTGATGCCTTTACGAGTATCACCAGTTATATACTCACGGGCGTTAATACTCAATGTTGGTAATGGAGTCCACCCATTGAATATCACATATTTATATTGGTACGTGTATTTTTCATACTTACTATCGCTTACAACGTCTACGAATCCTTCTCTTCCAAAGCATCTGTAYTGACAGCCATCATAACAACATTTTTGCCCATTTTCACAGTCGCTATTATCAGYGCAAAAGTTTTGGTTGTTCTCGGGACATCTTTTGGGACGACGAGCAATTGGACACGTCAATAGRGAAATATCTAGAACCATGGACGACAAGTACTAAGAATTGAATTGCTTAGATGTTCAGCTTATATTAATCTTTTCTTTGATAACTGCAAATAATAACGAACTCAAAATTGTGCTACATATAATTTATAAATGTCTATATCGATGGTAAATGGCCCATCTATATCATAAAATATAGATTTCTTTATCCCCTTACGAAAAAAAAAATCGTAATTTATACTTTTCTTGTAGCAGTTAAAAGACTTGAATAAACTTCCAAACTTCTGCTTTGTTATTACCAATATCTAGTACTAGTAAAAAGCCTCTTTGTAGGAATCATGAAAGACCCATATGAACGTTTTGGAATACTTTATGGAAGATGTATAATCAAACGTGCTAGTTAAAATTAGATCAGATCTTCAGGTGGGAAAAGATGGACAAAAAACACTTCGTTCAAAAGTCATGAATTTCGAACACCAAGGAAAGTATATGTGCAGCATATTGATGCGCGTTCCGAAAAGACGTATTCGATCGTATATAGATTGTGGCAACTCAAACATAGCATTATTCTCTACATTATAGTTTCAACAAGCGACCTACTGACCGATACGCGCACTAATGATTAAACTGGTGCTAATATTTCATAGATTTCACAAACTATGTTTGGTGTGCGAAATTGTAACAAAGCTGCATTGGGAAAAAGTAATTTCGTTATTTCATCATTTGAATTTAGAGTGCAGTTCACGCCAAGTTCACAAATCTATATTAACTTGTCTTAATAATGGCGATAATTTCATTTCTTCATTCCTAGCTTACCAAAAGCCAAAGGCAAATTTTTTTATTTTTACAAATATTGTGCACGAATAACTGAAGAATAATGATTGGCGCTGAGTGAACGTTTATGAATACTTGGGACCATGAGATTCATAAACATAAATACCTTTAGTTATATCGAAGCAAATGTTTCGGCAGCCATCAGAACAACACATCAAGCTTTTGGGACATTCTTGGTTACTATAGCACTGGTGGAGGGCCCCAAGAGGACACCGAGAAGGTCTCGTTATGAACGGGCACTTGTCAAGTCGGAATATTTTATGGACAGCTAAAGGGACAGCAAGACACAGCCAATCAAATTGTGGGAATTTAAGAGATCTCTTCCTCGTTGTCTTGAACGACAGGACGGTTGTTTTTAGTAGTACGTACAGGAGACTAATGATGAATTTATTTGTGCTACTAATGGACGATGTATAGGAAATTCATTTGTGCCATTCTGCTTGGGAAACGTGGATGTTTTGCATGTATCAGTGAAATACGTGAACACCAAGATTTGAAGATTATTGTGGAATCCTCCGTTGAGAGAATGTTGTTCATGACTACACACTGAAGCCGGGTGGGCGTAAATTTGGATTGAATTTTTTCAATAAATATCCAATATACTGATATGATAAAACGAACTTGTGAAAATGGCAAATACGAATGCGCAGACTAGTCATGTGGTTTGCTTGTTGTGTTTTGTACTTATTATTGCTTATCGTATCGTAATGAATAATGGAAATATTACTTTGAAAATTTTATGCAATGAGCATGTGGGCTCTTTTGTAAATGCTTGAGGTTTATAGAAGTTGAAGTCTGCTATAGGAAAAGCMAGGATGTTTAATTTAAGACACATATACGAAGATTAGATATGARAAGTATAGCTATCTAGAGTTGTTGATACACGATTACTATTAACGTTAGTAGTGCAAGTGCAGTTTAAAATGCATGCAAGTATTACACCAAAAACTCTTCTGCCATCATTTACCATACCAGGCGCAGTCCTGCCAGCAACTGGAGACGAAGTGGCCTCAGCAGTAGCTTTTGGCCCTACGCAGTTCATAGTACAGCCATCAGARCAGCATACTTTCCCGTCTCTGCATTCGCTGTCGGATATACACTCATGCCGGAAGTTAGTACATCTTGCATTCCGACGTAGAACGGGGCATAAACTTCTTCCTATCGTGCATGTAAGAGATCAGCTGTGGAAATAAAACTTTGCGCACCCCCATGCAAATACAAAATGCAGTGGTACAAAATACAGGAAACCCATAGGTGTTTGCATGCAGTAGTCCCCCTTCACAGTTCCCGGCGCCATATTGAAAGGTAGCATGCCTTTGCATCTAAGCGAGACGAACGGTGAGCTTGCAATGATAAAGACAAGTGAATAATTGTCCAAGGTGTTAAAAAGAGCTCACCGTTCGGTTCCCTTCGATGCAAAGGCACGGCTACCTACCAAGATGGCGCAGGAACTGTGAAACGGACAATCATAGACATTTAAAGCACTTCCATTAGGATGAGCGTAGCGACACCAAAACTCCCACCGATGTTCAAGTGGGAACTTGTAACACTTACAATCTTTAAAGAAAATCCTTTTTACGAGTTTTCAAACTTCAGATGATAGGCTTCGACTCGCCAAATTTTGTTCCCGATTCCCATTATCACGGTTCAAGTTGAAGCACGGCAAATCATATACCGAATTGTTCCTCGGTTCCTAATGGAAATGCTTTTTCTCCATACGCAATCCTGACTATTGTATATTATTTTAAAGGTGCAGTTATTTATTGGTGCTTAACATATTAAAATTAACTTAATTAAATCCTTTTTCCTTTGTTACAGAGCATGCAAAATACACGATCTTTGATTAACCCTCTCTTTAATTGCATGCACTAAATGTGATTTTATTAGGGCTCCAGTAAAGCCAGAAACTAGTCGTCTGCGTATGGAATTATTATATATGTAAAAAATACGGCGGTGAACTGATTGTACAAAAGGCTATAACTATTTCCCTCTCTCTCGTCTCCTAATTCTATTCTGTCTTCATTCCTCTTCTCTTTTTCTCCCTTTATTGCTATTTGACATTTTCCTTTATTGGATATCCCTAACTGGCTAGTTTCCGGCTGCATGGCAGCTTTCACATATTTTCATATTGARCATTCAAATAAAATGGTAGCAACTACTAACAATAATGGGACTAAGACAATTCATGATAAATAAGTCTTATAAATGCAATTTAAACCGAATTTGGCCTTTTTCTTAAAGCAAACAAGTATCTACTCAGGTGCATTCTCAGACATACCTTTCGTTTGCTCTACTTCAGAAGGGTTGAGACAAATCTTCCGACATCCATCCCAGCAGCATTTAAAGGATCTACCTTGATCATGGCAGTTGGTATCGCTGTTGCATTGGTCAGAGGAACCAGCGGGGCAGTTGGTGCTATTGGTTGGAAAATGAGGACAAGTCGCATTTCTTTGTTCTACGTTACCATTTTCTGTTAAATAAAAAACTATTTTAATAGTATGTTAAAACATACTTGTACCGGTTTTCTCCCACCGCCGGAAAGGACAAAAGTCAAGTGAAGTTATCTGCCATTTGTCTTTCCAAATTTCTGACGGAACTAGACAAGTGTCAAGACAAGAAAACATAATCCTTGAGTCCAACCTAAGGTAGACTTGCCCCCAATGTTAACCTCTCTTGTTTCCTGAGGAGTTTTCTATATTACTTATTTTAATCAGTTTGTAATGCGCGTGTGAGCATCTCCCTATGTAATACGCGCAATATAAGTATTAAATCATTATTATGTCGTTTTCGAGAACTTAGAAAAAAGTAATAACTAATACTGCCGCGTTTTGCATGAGTTTYTTCTAATTTGTAGCTTTGGTACACCTACTATTTTTTCAGTGTTTTCTTACCATTAGCTTTTCTTGTCGTGGCAATATAACATCTCTTTGCGCATCCATTTGAACAGCACTTGAATTGGTCTTTACAGTCGAAGTCATTAGAGCATCCGTTTATTTCTGGAATACAGAACTTCGGCACTGACAGAAATGGACAGTTCCCAGGCCTGGGTAGTTCAGAAGGTGCTTAAAAATTATCAAAAGAATTCAAAAATGAAAATAAGGTTACGCAAAGGGCAAATCAGAGTGAGGGCAGATTACAAGCACACCTGACAAAAATTAATTTGCAGAATTTGAGAAATCCCAGATCTAGATGTAAAGGATAATATTGATGAAATGGCATTTTGACCAGATTAAACCTGTATTTCCCTTGCTTTAATTTTGTTGGGGTCAAGTTGGCAAAGAGATAAGTAGCTAGTCTAATATTCCCGGTTATGGATAGACTAGCTAAGTAAACATGATACACAGTGGTCTACTAGAGTCTTGAGTGTAGCGAATGTGTTTGTCATCTCTCACAATGTTATGGTAAGTTGCAGCAGGTCATTGCATTCAAAGAGGAAGCAACTGCCGGTTCTATTCTTGTCAGGAGAGTACGTGAGTGCATGAAATGAAAGGTGCAGTAGAAAACAACCTCACGACGTTTTCCGTACTACTGTTTGCTTTTGAATTGCACACCGAGCGTACGTTTTCTTGCCTGGAGAACAATTTCTGCAACACTGTTAGTTTCCTACTGAGCGTGACTTGAATTGCGTTACCACCTCTTGCATGCGCAAARTATTTACTGTTGTTGTTTGTTGTTGTTTTTGTCGTACGGGGTTAAACCACAATTTACACTTTTYATATTTCAGGTTATGTGGTGTAAGAAACATTCTTTCTCCAACTTGCAAGACAGTTTACATACCAGGTGAAGGTACTTCTGACTTTTCTGTAACAGAAGCAGCACAGATCTTCTTGCAGCCATTTGAGCAGCATTTGAAGTTAGTTTGAGAAGTAGCACAGTCAACATCACTGTTGCAGAGATTATAATTGTCCTGACAGTATGTTGGCGGAGGAAGATATGGACACACTCCCTTTGTTATGGATCCGCTTGAAACTAGAAAGATGGAAAACAAATAGAAATAAAATTGATTCCAAAATGTTAAGCAATGTCATATGTACCTCCGAGACAATCGTGGAATCTGAGGCGTCGTATGGACTTTGGACCTGACGGAAAGGCCAACCTGCCTTAACGTATGGATTACATAGGATAATGTTCTAGCCCTAAGGTATCACAGGAGAGACTTGCCTGCATCCAGACCATGCCTAAAGCTAACCCTTTGAACTATCTGCTACGCTGTAATCCAGTATTTTATATCCCGGCATATAGACATGTTTAATAAATGTTGTTTCATGTTACTGTAATGTCCTTGACTTTGGTCAACAATATTATAAACAAGCAAATGGCAAATAATAAACTATGGCATATCGATTAAAGCGATTAAAGCAAAAAGTTCCCTTCTATTTCATTTTCAAAACGTCACTGAGTAACTGGGATAACGTGTTTTGGGGTTTCAATCAAGTCTCCTGCAGATTTCGGTACGTTCGCTTGCTGATGATTACTTTTATCCAATTATCATATTACAATTTTAACAAGATTTCATAATGGGTGGTAAAGTAAATGGAAGGGACATCTGCCCACGAGCATTATTTACATACTATTGAATCCATGAAATTCAGTACTATAATTGATTTATAATTGCCACGGCCTTATTTATGATATTGAGTAATAAACAATAAGTTAAATACGCCCATATTTCCTTCTCTAGCTATCTAGAACACCTAATTCGCCTATATAATTTAAACAAAACCTTTGGGTTTGTTTCATGATCGATAGAAAAGTTGGAAGTCTCATTTTTTGCGGAAGAAGGATAAGCAGACAACCTGGAGAAAAACCCTAGACAACAAAAGATATCCAATAGTTAACTTTACCCCCATATGTTAGCAGTTCTAAAGATTGCACGCTGTCAGATTCTATTGAATTTGTTAAAAATGAAAGGAAAACGGTTTCAGAAAAACACGCTAAGATTATATGAGCTTTAGATCCATGCTATGGAATGGAGTTAAAGCTACCAAAACTACATGACTTCGTTGGCGATATTGATAGATAAAGAACAATAGTGAGAATTAAGACTATCGCAGTTGCTGGAGTGCAGTCAGCACTAGTACTTGTCATGAGAAAACACAGGAAAATAACTGGGAGTATAACATGTACACCCATGTTATGGCAAGTCGCATCAGTGTCATTGCAGCTACACGACGACTGTGTTTTTAACAAAAATATCGAGAAGCCTAAATTACGACAAAAGTATAAGATTGGTGATATTAGACGAAAGTATAACAAGGATGATACGATTAGTGAGCCGAGTACAGCCAGCAAGCACCAGAGCTTGCTCTGCGGAACATACAAAAAGGACTAATGATGACTTCCGTGCAACAAAAACAAAAAACAAAAAATACATTCACTATAGGGTTACGTCTTATTCAACACTAGGGGGCGAAGGCTGCACCTACAAATATCTTTACATTTTAGCATTCTTATAAAATTAAAAATACGGATTGCTTATTATCTACCTACCAATCGACTTTGGTATGTAAGTAACTTAAAATCAATCTATCMGTTTTGTCCATAAGGCAAAAAGGCCTGCTGATAAGACTTATATAACCGAGAGATTACAACCATGCTAGAGCTAATGAACATTATCTCTTGTCACAAATGCATCGAGAGGGAGTAGTATAAAATAATGCACAGCTTCTATTGGTTAAATCCTAAAGGTGGAGGCAATGTTGCCCTATCTTAGCTTTTTTATCGTTTTTATCAACCATAATCGCGGCAAAAGATCCTATGGGGCTTGACCTAGTTCATTATCAGGGTGGCCGTCACGCACGAACAATACTTTAGCTGTGACCTTAAAGGAAGCATAAGAGTCGCACGAGGTGTAGCTTATCCAGCAAACAAAAAACAAACACAAAAATACACACACACACACACACACACACACAATACAGCAACCAGTGTAAATCTAACTTGTATGCAATGAGTCGGTGTAAAGACAACTTGTAAATATGGCAGTATATGTCGTGGCTCTTTTACCCTGGCAAAGGGTCGAAGTTCCGAAACGTTATCCTAAATAACATTTGATATTTCTCGGCTATTCTGCAAACACAAAGTTAACTACAGTTCACAAACTCAGACAAGTGCCTTTGCCAAGCGCTTTGCGTATTTTGACCTCGACACACGTCCAGGCTCGTCTTCAAAACGTCTAGTGTGTAAAAAGGATCTTAGTTTCCATTATCGGGTACCGATTCTGACCTTTGAATATTTTCCRAATATTTTCAAATCGTAGAGAAGGGTTTTTTAGGACATTTCTAGAGGTTTGACGATCTTGAAGATAAAACAGTAAAAATATCGATGATTTTCCTTTATTTTTTCAATAATCCTTTTCTTTGCTTTGAAGAAAGCCTATGCAAAACTGACAAGTTGGTGTTGTGGCCAAATGACCATATTTCTATGAAATTTAAAAGTTTAGATATATATATATATAAATCTATAAAACTATCAACAGAAAACGTCTCAGTCGTTTGTCATCAGCAGTATCCTCAACTGTAGAAGGACTCGCTGACAAGGTCTCATTTGCTGATAATGATTTCACTTTTTGATTAATGTGATGATAAGATACCATTTTAAAATCCAAGCGAAAATAATAGGCTGTAAATAGGTTGAGGTCTGGAGGCAGCAATGATAAAACAATAAACAATAAACAATAAACAAATAAGCAAGCACAAATCAAATAGTATTTCTGGAGTGATTGAAGTAAATCAAATAAATACACTTTGCGATAAAAATCAAAGCCTTTATCACCAACACTAGACTATTATATTCCTGATATTCTTTGGCAACCGTTGACGCTTCCGTCGAAGGCGCCTTGATGGATTTCCACGATTGTTGTTCTAGCAAGAACGATAGCTCTGTGGTCGATATGAGATTGATAAAGCAGAAACTTAAATACCAATAAAAAATGAGTGCACGTCCTCAAAGAAACAACGAAGCATTTGTTTTCAAAAATACATTGATGCGGATTAAAGTTCCGTATCTCTCAACGCCATGGATAGGTACATCCTCTGTCGATTGAAGCTTCGCGATCGTGTGCTTTCACCTACTCTATACTACAATAAAGTATCATAATAATGATACTCTTTATCGCAAAACACGCAACACTCTCTAAAGACTAAAGGGAAGACCAGATCTTGAAGAAACATGGTCGTTAAGTCAATCTGCACACGCGAATCTATAGGTAACTAATTACTAAGGTTATACTAAACAACTCTAAGATTTAAAGGATTTAATAGGCAATAAATGATCACATCGTGTTTCATTTAGAAATAAAATAAACCGTTTGAATGATTTCAAAGACTTGGTAAGAAGTGGTTTGAGTTCAACAGAGTACGACTTACCGAAGACCCGTACATGGATGAAGAGAATAAAAGCCAGTAACACACTCCAACGTTCTCCAGCAGACATGGTTCTGATWAATAGTTGCTCCAAAGTCTGGGAATATCTCCTGAATTCTCAACACCAAAGGCAATTATGATAGCCTGAAGCAGTTATCGCTCTTGTGAGATACACAAGTATGTGACGCAAGCTTCTTTCTCTTCAAGAAGCGAGGCGTGAGAGAAAACCCTTGCGTGAGTACCGGCAAGCTGTCGATGAGAGAACGGAAGAAAAGGATTATTAAGAGGAAAGATTCAGTGTTCAGCTAGAAAGTAGAATAGAATACCCCTGTTCACGCGTCACAAGCAAAGCCGTGACACAAGGGTCTAATGAGGAGAAACACCACAATATCACCTTTTCGCAGCAATTTTTCCAACGTTTTCATGCGCGCGTCAAGCGTAACAGAATACTTGGTACTTGCAGTGCGCTTTATGTGGCATAGAACCCTGCTGTTGTGTATGGTTTTGAAACAAGTATTCTCCCCGTCTCATGCTGTTTACTCAAACACATAGGTCAAATAGCAAACTTGGAACACACGGCATAAGCCATGTTATACTTCTCTTCAGTGGAATTTTAGTTGATTTTGAAAAGACAGTGCTCTCTCTCGATTGCCACACACGAAAGTCCAAAATAGACGTAAAAGTTTGAGGCGTGACATGTTAATCGTATTCGAACGATGGCACAAATATCGCCTCGCCTTATCCTTTCCAGCACTCTAAGCTGACCTCAAATATTTGCGGTGACAGTTGAGCCCGTGATTTGGATACGAAGTTTTTGGATTTGTCGTAAACATGACTGATAAAAGGTCGGATTATACACTCCTGTTTTTRTATCAATAAACAAAATTGAACTTCAGGAAACCTTTGTCGGAAACACTTGAAATTAGATCTTGAAAGTGTTCTCTTAAAACATCTTCTATTACAAAGCACACGTTTATAAATGATTACTCTTGTGTATTGTAACTGTTTAAATGTGTTTGGAATAAACAGAATGAGCTACGATGAGAAGATTTCCCGACGTTGTAATCGTTCCTACATCGGTTCAACCCAGGCGTTTAGGTAACTATCAGTTCAAAGCTACCAACTTGTAAGACATTTGATTTATTCGAATAATTTCAAACTTGCTGGAAAGCTTGATCTTTGGGGACMGTATCTTCAGCCAATGGCGGACGACTTAGGGGGAGGGGGTAGCTTTTCCTGTATCGTGTTGAACTTTTTAAAGACGCTGTCGATGGTATGGTACTTTTCAAGGTACTCTTATTTATTAGCGGCCCTAGGCTATTTTGCTTACTAAATTGAGGTTCATACCGTACGCGCGGGTCAGTTTTTTCAGTCTTTGTAAATAGTAATGGCCGACCCTATGCATTGCCATGGAGAAAGTTGAATAGGAGAAGAATCTCCTTTAATTAACCTGCYATTCTGCGTCAATGAGGGCGGTTTGCTTTGTGATTCGTCGGAAATGGGTGGATGAGTAGAATTTTAGTGGACAAAAAACTCAGAGGTGAATATCGCTATAGAATGTCAAAATATAACAAAATCAAAATAGCAACCGCTTTGCTTTTACTGGCTTGATTTAATTTATCTAGCGAAGGATTCTTGTTGTTACCGCAACAATTTTCCGTACGCTGTATTGTGAGTAATGGTCAGTGCAGTTAAGGTCAACAATATAGAGGACTTGCGCCATGCCATGCTCCTTAATCGTCGAATAAAAATAGTGACCCAAACTAGGGGGCCGCATTTCAAGCAAGACGCACCAGTGTATTCCAGGATAGATAACTATATACCAAGTTATAGTTTGGCARCTATTATGTATTTTTAAATATCCTTGTGGTGTACGTGATTTTCGTGGCGAGGGTCACTTCTCGCATTCAAGTGAACGAAACAGGAACATCCCTAGCCGCAAGAACGAGAGCATAAGGCAAATGTTGAATCGGAAAAAAACTACGAAAACATCTCTTGGAAAATATTACCACCAYACCATAGCCAGTGATCTCGATAATTTCGGCGAAGGTGGAGAGCAGATATCGCCGGTACCAGAGCAAATCGGTCTTGGCACGTTACAGGGATGACAGTAGACAAGGGTAGATTTCTACTGTGAAATACCATTAGCGGATTAAAAATAAACGTCACCACACGGCTTTCACCTCTGATCTTCCATGCTTTTTCAAGGTGTCAATGTGCGCACTGTTTCCTGTGTGACATAGAGACCTCTTTTGATTTCTCTTCTTTCATCTATCGGAGGGACGTAAAAGAACCACTGAAAACCCTGGCAGTGACTACCCTCAGTGCCTACACCTCATATTAACCATTTCTCATGATTGTAAATTGCATAAAAAGCAATCTGAAATTGAAAACTTAATACAAAGCGCCTTTGATTATATCCATATAGAAAGAGCGCTATATAATTTAAAGCATCATTATCTGCGGGCGCACTCTTCTGATTGATTAGCTTTATTACCATAATTTTCAAAATTTATCTACAAGATAATATTGATACAGGTATTGGTAATAGCTACTCAGAATAGCTAGACTAATCGAGCTGAGTAGCTGCTAAGATTAATTCAGCTATAGTAGGCTGTAGTAATAAATGATAATAAAGAACAAATCATATATAGTAGTATATGATCATACAGATRATGAAAAATATATATAATATGTATTATTGATATTCCTCGAGGCGTTGTTTCGCTGCTTTCATTCTCGAGGTATCCCCTATTGTGTCCGTTTTCATGTTATAATATTAAACTCGCAGCTTGGTTTTCTACTCTTATCTCGATCATTAAGTTATGCGTTAATGTTCGTACTTTTATTTGCTATTATTGCTTAATTCAATTTACCRAGCATCGCATCATGACACACTAAGTGATCGCAGAATCCTAAGGAGTTCTTATTTTCATGTTCTCGATTTTTACTATATAGACCAAACCCACTTGGGCGGAAGGTTTTCCCATTTAATACCACGTGTCATTCACCTAGAGTTTCAATTCTTTGTTTGATGTAATTGTAAGAAGACACATGAATATTGATACAACTCAAACAAAGAAGCTTATTCTCAACTTATTAAAATGAGCAAGACGCCCTACAGGCGTTCACTGGGTTGCCTGTATCATCATGGTACAGAGGCCTCGTTGCAATGTTAGTCAAAAGATAATGGAATGGTTCACAGAAAATAATGATTTCGTTTAAGTTGTCTAAAACGATCTTCTCCCTCAAGGTGTCCTCTACATGATATTAAAATATTTGCAGGTTCTGCCCTTTTGTAGGCCACAAAATAAACAGTTTTGTGTTACACATGTCACATTACTTGTGAATTTGATCTTGCGCCATGACGCAACACGATCAAATATCCCAATGTGCCTGTCAGAATCACCAAAATAGTCAATAGTACCCGGAAGTCTTCACGGCACCATCCAATAGTCCTTTGCGGGCATATGATGATCCAAATACAGTAAATGTTTCTCGTAAACTTTGACATAAAAGATAAGAAAGCATAGGTCTACTTTTTGTAGATCGATATTGCTTATATGACTGATAACGTCTGATCGAACTTATACAGGTTTCAACTGAATAGGAATAGATATGTTTTCACTTAAAAGATTGCATTATCGTTGAAGATTTAAATCTAATAGAAAAATGGATTTAAATTTTTTTTATGTGGATAAGACGGGATTCGAACCCACCAAAAGTAAAATATAAAAAAAGCGATTCCACTGTGCCATACCCCCGAGACATCCGCAGAGCTGAGGCGGCGTATGGACTTCGGACCTGACGGCGATTAAATCCTTCTGCCCTTGGGTGTACGAATTACGCAAGAAAATGTTCTAGCC